TCATAACCTTTACCAATAAAATATCCATGTTTAGACACGACTACTTTATTAGACTCAAAAACCAACTTAAATCCGTCTCTAGTCAGACGGGAGCCACTAACAAGATTCCTGTCGATAGAAGGGACATGCTGCACGTTCTTCAGCTGCACGATCTTTCCCGAAGTAAACTTCAGATCTACCGTGCCAACACCATGAACAGAAGCATGTGACCCATTCCCCATTAGGATGGTGGAACCCCGTGCGACCTGATAAGAAGAAAACAATGAGATGTCAGCACAAACATGTACATTGGCCCCAGTATCAACCCACCAATTAGTAGATTGATTAACTGAAAAAACAGTAGGTAAATTACCATACCCGCTTCCATCTCCAGTGTTGCCAATGGTCACATTAGCAGACTTAGAAGTCTGCCCTGCAGGTGCCTTCATCCCCTTGCGCTGTGGACACTTCCTAGCCAGATGACCAACTTAGCCACACACAAAGCAAGTCCTCTCATCCTGATTAGGATTGTTGTTGTTCTTCTTCTGCTTCTTGAAGTTGGTGGTCTGCTGAGCTTTGTATTTCCCCTTGCTCTTGTTCTGGGCCTTGTGCACAACATTGGCACTGGACTGCCCACCATCGCCCTTAGACGCGGCATCTTTTTCCCGAGCTTTCTCCTCAACATCAAGAGACGCAATCAACCCCTCAACGGAGTATTCCTGTCTCTTGTGTTTGAGTGCAGTACCGAAACTCCTCCAAGATGGAGGTAGTTTTGCAATAATGCACCCGACCACAAATTTGTCGGGTAAGACACACTTAAGGAGTTCGAGTTCCTTAGCCATGGTTTATATCTCATGAGCCTGTTCGACTACAGAACGGTTGTCAGCCATTTTGTAGTCATGAAACTGCTCCATGATATACAGATCATTGCTAGCATCAGTAGCACCGAATTTAGTATTCAGTGCATCCCACAACTCCTTAGCGTCGGTCATATGCATATACACCTCGACCAGACGATCGCCAAGAACGCTAAGAATGCATCCCACAAAGAGAGTAGTGGCTTCCTCGAATTGCTTCTGCTGTTCAGCAGTAAGAACTCCTTCAGGTTTGCCAGTACTCACCCAGAAGCATTTCATAGCTGTCAGCCACAGAGTGACCCTGATCTGCCATCTCTTAAAATGCACACCGGTGAATTTATCCGGCCTCAGTGCATCGGCAAAACCAGCCATAGTAAAATCACAGTGCCTATAATAAGGTTTTTGGATTGTTGAGATTATAGACATATAATGATTTAATCTATTCCATAAATAAATCATGACATTACAGATGAAAACTAGCATGAACACATCATTAGATCTACACATGTAAACTACACAGTATAACATGAACAGATCAAATATGCGCAACATATTGAACACGTACCGAGGTGACGAAAAGACCGGCTGCTTGGTCGAAACTTTTCGCAGGTGTCTACGAAGGCACGAAACACGCGAGCGAAGAGGAAGGCGAGCCGTCGCGAACGAACAGGGAGCAGTCGCGCGAAGCGCTTCCCAAAAACCTTATTGCCGCCTTCTCCCGGTGCAGGGCGTCAAAGGCAGAGGTTCCGGAGACCTGCTCTCCCGATCGCTGGTGCACGCCGGCGAGCGGGATGGAGTAGTCTACGAGCGACGGCGCAGTACAGAGTAGAAGGCAAACCCTAGATTGATTTTGCGTATATACTGCGTGAAGACGGCGGGTCGGTTTATATAGAGAAGGGTCGCTTGATCAGGGCGCCCGCACGATCTCTACTGCGCGTAACCGAACCGGATAAGTCGCGCGTAACTTATCCGGACTCCACGCCGTTTGCACGCACCAGATTTTTCGGAACGTTTCCAAAACAAAAACGAATCCGAATTTGCAGCAAAACAAAACTGCAAAAGGAGGCTGCATCTGCGCAAGGGTGAGGAGCCAATTTTTCGGACCATTCGACGCGTACGTCGTGCACGCGCGCCGCCTGCCCTGCCAGGCGAGGCGAGCGAGCGCGCGCGTGTGTTTCCCCTCTTCTCTCCACCACACATGCTTCAAGTGGCTAGGAGGACATCCTCCCTTTTAAGGAGGTCCCCCTCTCCTAGAATAAGCAAGGTGGTACTAAACTCCACATGCATGCCATTCCATGAGGTGGGCTTTTGTGATTTTCCAAAGAATTAATCTTCGAGTGGGCTATGGCCCGTTCATTAATTCCAACAGGAAAAGGAGACGGAGGCCTCAAGTGCGGCGCGGCGCGGCGCTAGAGCAGTGTGAGTGCTAGCACGACGCAGCGGCTAAGCTCGATCTGGCGTCGGTGGTGCCCCGGCCGCGGCCTCCGTCTCCGGGCTCTCGAAGAGGCGGCAAAGGCGGGCGCGGTGGTCGCGACGGGCAAGGGGCAGCGAAGCCGCCCTGGGCAGCAGCGGCGGTTGAAGCACCACCGGATGCGGCGGCGGCAGCGCTGGAGCTGGAGAAGAAGAGCTGAGCTGGAAGAAGCAGTCCCGAATGAGTATTTTGGTCAACCCGGGTGCAAAAATTGGTAGAAATGGAGTGAAATGGTGAATATGGCAAAACAAATGCTTGGTATCGCTTGGAGATGACATTTTAACGAATCCAATCGGCAGAATGGCATTATAGCGAAACCCTCTTTTGATAGTGGCAGAATGTCCAATTTCTCTGCCGAGCCATATGATATGATGCCTCCTCGACGAGCTCTGTTTACTGCCATGGCAGACCTCCGTGGACAACCACCTTGCCAGCCTCCTTCTTCCCATCAATTAAACCCAAAAATATATTCCATCAGGCTTCTGCTGACATCCATGGTCGATCAGCATCATCCAGCTGGCCTATGCTGACACAGTGATCGTCCATGGTTGTCCTCACAGTCCCAGGATGACAGCGCCAACAGCCTAACACATTTCATATTTCAAAATTCTGCGCACATAAGTTCCAAGTTTCAGTGGCCTGCGAGCATTGAGGCAGCCAGGCAGGTTCCATGCGTCGTTAGAGGAATATACTGTAGCATCAGAATAAGTGTAGCCGCATATGGAAAATTGCAAATTTATCAATATAATACTGTTAAACATCAACGTATTCTTTGTGATAAATTTTGCGGTTTCTCTGTTGATAAAATTTGTAGGTTTTTTTTATCTTATGGCACTTGATGCTAAAATTAATTATTCTACCCGTGTGAAATTGCATGCATTCTGATTTTAAAAGTTTCATCACAGAAAAAAATAACTTGTGATTGTTTCCGATCTACCATGAGCAAGCTCCCTTGTTTTTTTTAGCACTGTTGACTATGTACGTTTGTCTCACTATTAGCATTTATTTTGTTGTGTTGTGATTTGTTTTTTATGGTTGAATGTATTTTAAGCGTCATTTATATTTTTTTTAAAAAAATAAATAAGATAAATGATCAAATATGTATAAAAAAAATAATAACGTCAAACCTAAAAAAGAAATGAAGGGAGTATTATAAGAAGAAAAACATATAGCCAAGTATTATAAGAAGAAAAACATATAGCCAAGAAAACCAAGTATTTGCTATTTTTTTAAAAAAATGGATTAATATGATTTTTTAAGTAACTTTCGTATATATTTTTTTTTAAAAAAAAGTTATGTTTAGCAGTTTGAAAAGCGCGCGCGCGGAAAACGAGGGAGGAAAGTTGGAAACGGGAGGTAACGAACACAACCTAAAACTTGCGTTTAACTAGCATAGATCCATTGTTGGACTTCTATCTAGACCCTCTTTGACAGTTTGCACTTCGCCATCATACGTAGGGCTGATTCAATAGATGTGTGGCATAGGGGACAATATTGCTAGTTCGTCCGAACCCCTTTTCTATAGTTTATCTTCCGTCCAGACCCTCTTATGTAATTAGCCATGAGAAGCATTTGCATTTAGGTGGTGCCCACCATTTACAGATTATTTGAGATCGTTCCAACTGACCCCATGAATTGTAGCATGTATGTGGATTTGGCTGAGTAGACTCCATTGGTCGTAAGCTTCCAGGCGATGGCATCCCTTTGTGTGCTCAAAGGCCCCACACGGTGCACCATTGTCTAAAGCTAGACATACTGTCGTAGGTGCTTCGCTTCCGTAATCCGCGGGAGGTTGATGCCTCTGATCCACGTGTTGGACTACAAGGCATCGCACACCGTTCTGCTTTTACACTTCACTGGAGGAGGACTGGTTGTACAAAATTTCTCAGCTGCCCCAAATCCCGCGAAAGGCTCTAAAATCGATGATCATCCTGGTCACGTGGGAGCTTTGGTGTGAGCGATGCGCCTAGATCTTCCGGCATATTGCTTCTACGTCAACCACAATCATTGCCAAGATTAAGGAGGAAGCGAAGACCTGGATAAAGGCAGATTGTCCCCTCAGGTGAATAGATGTAGCTCTTCCCTCTTTTTTGCGGGTCACCCTGTAAATTCTTGTTGTGGAGGCTTTTTCCTCCTTCTCTATCAATACAAAAGTGGCAAAGCTTTTGCTCTTGCTTAAAAAAAAGCATAGATCCACAAATTGAGAAGTAGTAAATGATATTATCTCTTCCATAGTGCTTACCTACCCACCTAACAATAATGAGCCTATTCGGCTACCTGTCTGTGGTGGCTGCGGCTGCGCCATGTGGGTGTGGCATTGTTGGTGTCGGCTGCGCCGCAGCCACAGCACGGGCAGCTGAACAAGCCCAATACTAATTCGCTGGTTAATGCTGGACTCTTTCGTCTTTTTAATCCATATTAATTTAAATTGCTATTGCTAGAAATCAACCTTGTTTTTTTAGCTGAGGCGGCAATACCGGGTGAACCATGACAATATAATAAAGTCATACTTATTGTTATTTGGAATGATCCCACCTTTGCACATTGTGATTTTAATGTTTTCCAAACTGAATTGCACAAATTAAATCAAAACAGGAAACATTTTTGGTCTCAAATACTTTTTTGTGTACAAAAATCAGCCCCGCGGCCGCGGCGTGTGTGTTAGCTCACTGGAATTAAGATAACCGATCACGAATGAGAGACTGGATGGATGGGTCCACCACACAGCCGTGGCCTGTAGGAATAGGAGCCAATATTTCAGTTCCCCGCGCCGCGCGGAGCCGCCTCTATCCCCCTCCTTCTCCCGGTGACCCCGGCACTCCGCCGATCCGCTTCTCCTCCTCAAACCCTCTCTTCTCCGGCAAGCTCCGAGGCGTAGCCATGGCGGACGACGTATCCAAGAGGTGCTCTCCGGAGGAGGAGGTAATTGCTGACATACTGTTCGCTCTGCCGAGAGGGCCTCGCCCCGTTCTTCTCCGCCGCCGAGGAGAAATCAACCGCACCGGCGGCGATTCAACTCGAGATGGAGACTCAGCGGAGAAGTCTCGCACCGGCAGGGGGCATGAAATACGGGGGAGAGCTGGCGGCGTTGAAGCGGAGGCAGCCAGGGGCGGGTACTCGAGAGAGGATCTCGCCACCAAGGGGGGATCCGTCGGATCGAGGGATGGCGGCGGCGAGGCCTTTCAATCAAAGAGGGAAGGTGCCCTGAGGTACAGATGCACTATCGAGGACCTCTCCACCTCGAAGGGACCCGGTGGCGGCGGGGGCTATGACTATGAATTAGTGGGGAGGGGTGGAGTCGCGGCAGCGGAGCGGGACACGAGGTGCAGGTACTCGGTCCAGGACCTCTCGACCGTGGGGAAATCTGGGGGGATGTATGATGGAGGCAATGGCCCTGGGTTCAAAGAAGGTGCCCAAGAAACTGTAGATTGTGTCCAAGGGTTCAAGACTCATCCTGAGTTAGGACTTCCTGCCAATGATTCTGGCACTGACACGGAAACAGTTGATGTATCAGTGTCAGAAGAGTTGATTCGGCTTCAGACCACGATCAGTAAGCCCAAGACTAATACTGCTACTGATGATTCTGCCGATGATTCTGCTGCTGAAATCGAAGCATTTGATGTATCGGAAGAATTGATTCGCTTTCAGACTGTTGTTAGTAAACCATGGGATGCAATATGGAGAGAAGCACCTCTGGTCTTCTGTGATTCGTTCCTATGTCCTACTGGTGATAGGAGTGGTTTGAGTCAAAGTGAACTGAAAGATGCAGTAGCTTCAATACTTCTTAATCATAAAGGTGTTGTAAGCTATTTCAGGATTGACTCAAGTAGATCACTGAACCTTCAAACTCTTGAGACCTGGTTTAATATCTTGTCTGAGAAGAAGGTCAAAGAGATGGTTCTGTTTAATTGTTCAGGACCACAGAAATTGATAGAGTTTCCTATGGATATCCTGGATGGCAGCCAAGTTGAGGTTCTCAGGATATGTTTTTTCAAAATTCCAGAAGTTTATGCATTTGATCTCTCAAAGCTACATCTACTGGATTTCTCATACTGCAAATTTGATACCGAGCACCTCCTTCACTTTGTTGAAGCATGTCCTAATATCAGAGAGCTGCATCTGGGCTACTATGATGGAAATGTCCGGATACGCTCTGACAAGCTAGAAATTTTTCAAGTATGGTGTTCAACTATGAAGTCTGTGAACATTGAGCATGCTCCTGAATTGAGAAAACTTACCATAGCGGCATTTCCTGGAAAGTACTCATCCTCATTGTCTGTGAGGGTCATAAACTCACTTTACTTGGAGCATATCACGTGCAACATCAGTAATCAATGGATTACAATAAATGGCTCAAATATACAAACAGTACGTGAGCTGTGATCATATAAGCACAATTGTACTACTTGGAGCAATAACCCAATACTGCATACTAACTATTTGTTACTTTATTTGTGTTGCAACAGGATGATAAAGTTCTTCTCAATGTCCGAAAACTGTACATTGGACTTTCTATGTCCAAAAGAAGGCAACGGGAACAGCTCTCTAACATTTTGAATTGCTTAACGCATCTAGAAGATCTGACTATTTGGGTAAGTATTCAAAGCTGTTGTGCTCACTCTTGTTCTTTATACTTTTACTGACCCTATTTTACAGCGGATGGATACCGTCGCTAACAATGAAGATTATGATGCGGCACTCGAGGACTGGTCACCTAAACTGCGTGTGAAGACCTGCTTGAAAAGCCTCCAAATATGTAAGATGGAAGGATACCAAGGTGGGAAGCTTGAGTCGGACTTTGCATCTGCTGTTCTGGTGCGTGCAAATCGCTTGAAAAGGCTTATAATTGAATCCGATAAGGAAGATGTCTTTAAGAAGGCTGTTGGCATACTTCAAAAGGTCAAGTGGACGTCACCCGATGTCAGTGTAGAGAGAAGACTAAATCCACTGGTCAGCAACTGACAGTCGAAGGTAAAGCTGGTTTTCTTTCGAAGCATGTAGACCTATAATTGATTTGCATATGACAAGAAATGTAAACTCTGTGATATTCCTATTCTCTGGCAATCTACTGATTTTCAAAAAGAACCAGACAACCTCTTAGCGAGTCCCTGGTAAGAACTAAAAAAAATGAAGATGATTGGAGAACATTTGACATTTTCTTGTGTTCAATATTCACATTTGATCATTGTCAATGGAAGAATTCAATATTTCGACCAGTACTTTTATGCATAGGATTTTTAACCTTCCCTCTGTTTATCTCTAAAAGATAACCTTATAAGATCTTGTTAATTGTAGATGCTGTAATTTGGGGTATTTGGAAAACAAGAAACAAAGCATGTTTTGAAAACAAATTGCCTACTGACCCCACTGACATTGTTTTCTTGACCTGCTATTGGATTGAATCTTGGGCTTTCTTGCAGACAACGGAGGCAAGTCAAGAAAAATTGCCACTGGAAGCCAAGCTAATAAGGCAAGTTGCGAATGATGTTTTCAACTCAAAGTTTGGATGGAACGCTGGAACAAGGAGGCTGGGAGCATAGAGATGTGAAGATGTTGACCCTGCTGCAATTTGTCACCAGAATTGTGGAAGTTTTTTGTGTTGGGCCCTGTGAAGCTGATCTGGTGTCTCTTTGCTGCAGTTAGCTAGACTTTGTTTTTTGTTTGGCAGCTCTGCTTTTCTTTCTGTTTAGTCTTCTATGGCCTGCCCTGTTTCCCTGGAAGAAACTTATGTTATTCTGTTGCTCTTTTCTTTCTGCTGTAAGAACCTTGTAGACTGTATCCATTTCTGATAATAGAAATGTGGGCTATGACCCTTGATCTAAAAGAGAAAAAAAGATCTGGTTAATTTCCTGATACTAGAAATCGGTATTTTGATTGTGTTGTGCCTTATGATTTTGTTGGATGTGATTGATTATTTGATGGACTGTAGAGGACACAATTTCTAATAGGCCCTCTGTATTTGATATGGTATAGTACTATCCAATGTGCAGCATTTTGTGTTTGAGAATTCTGCAATATAAAGTTTGGCTTCTTACGAATTAGATCTTAAATTTTGGAATTTCTTGAGTAAGTTCTAAGTATGCCTTTTGGGTTATTCTGGTTTCTGGTTGAAACTTTTGTAGGGTTAGAAATGGCTTTTCATCAATGAGGTGTTCTCTTTTTGTTTTTTGGCGAAGGATTCAAGACTGAGATGCCAATGTTCCCTCTGCTGCCATGTTTTTCTGTTTTCTTCACCTGGTGTATTCCCTGATGATGGAAAGGTGCAAACAAAAAGTTCTCTACTGATGGCTATTTTGTTGAGGACTGTTTCTTAGTGGGAATTCGTTTTTTGTTGGTAGTCTTAGCTCAGCAGTCCTTATATTCCTTCCCATGCTCTTCATCAGGCTTGCCAGAACATGACTTCTCTGCTCTTCGATATGGCTGGGAGGTGGCATCTCCGGTCTAACCCAAAGGGTTTTGACATGTTTGTGTAGATCCTGTTTTGATCTTTGTAGAACCTTGATCATTTCCGTTAATGGAAATGGAGGGTTTGAAGCCCTTTGCTAAAAAAAACAATAATAATTGGGAACTAGTTTTGTTTTTTCAAAAATGGGCTATGGCAGGAGCTTTTAAAGAAAAAAGAAATATTTATATAACAAAACTCTGAGGCAAAAACCTTCGCAAAACGGGGAATCTTTCTTCATGAATGGTTTAATGAAGGTCAAAGATGAATTTCTTAGTTTTTGTTCTAAGAGTATTGGAAATGGGGAAAGCACTCTGTTTTGGGAGGATAGATGGAATGGGTTACAAACTCTGGTGGCATATGTGCTGGATAACTGCAAGCTATCTTTTCTTCTTGTTATGCTTGTTTTCGGTTAGTTGGGGCTCTGTAATGGAAGAGGTTAGTGTGGGGAGTTTACACAGGCAATGGGATGGCATTGCTGTGGTGAAAACCCACTATCCCTGCTTTTGTTTTTTTATCTTTCATGGAGTCTGAACTTCTTTTCCTATAATGGAAGTTTGTTTTTATCAATTTTTGATAAGGGAAAAGCTATATAACATCAGATATAGTATCTTGTTCTAATATGTTAGATGTAACTTATAATATAATTATACTGCAACTTAGAGGTAATTATATTACAATTGGAATGTAACTAGTTTGTGTACACAAAGTTCAGCCAGCTTAGTTGGAAATCGATACTTTGACAGAGAGTTAGCTATGTCGATTAATGAACGGTAAGATGCCGGGGGAAGATCTGTTAACACAAAATTAGAGATTCCAATGAATGACTTGCAAAAAAGAAAAAAAAAATCAGATCCTACTACTACCTGAGATTAATTAAATGCTTGGCTTTGCATGTAGTATGTAACTGACATGTGGACCCAGGAATCCAAGATGCGCCCCGAATCGAGATAGCCTCTCCTCCCTCGCTTTTGCTTTTCTTCCCGAACCTATTCGACGGGCGATTGGGCAACCGGGCAATCACAATGGTGGATCAAATCTTTCCAGATCCGCCTCCCAAGATGACCAGCCGCCAGCCGCCGTACCCGTCGCCGGAACCCAGCCGCCAGCTGCCGTAGCAGTCGGCGGAGCCCTAGCCGCCATCGAGCCGTTCGCGCGGTACCTAACCCTTTCCCTCCCAATCTCATCGCCGAAACCCTAACTCTCGCGCCTCTTTACCGTACGGTCATCTCCGACGAGAAATTTTACGAGCCCTTTGTTCGCAAAGGCAGGCTTGTGAAATGTGCGGCGCAGTTGCTTTACGGTAACGTGGGGTTCAAGGCTGGAGAGGTCAGAATTGATTGTGACGAAAACCGCGGCGTGGTGGTCATGGTGCTCGACGCACTCACAAGGTGATACCTCTTTTTTCCTTTTCCGTGTTCAATCCAAATAGTTGAATTATCACATTACGTGCATATGAAAGTGGTGGTGCTTTGAGACATCTGTGGACTGCAAGTTCCCTGATTCATTTAGCTAATGGCAATATGTCTTGATTAATGTGTTAATTGTGAGTGTTTTGATTGGTTTAGCAAACAACAATATATGTTGATTAGTGTGTGAGCTGCGAGTATGCTGATTCGTTTAGCAATGAGTGATCATTGATCAATGCATGTTGTTGCGCTTTGCCTGATCTGAATTTCTGCTGTGTGGATATGATTTATAATCTATGTGATGATTTATGCATGTTCAATTTTATGGGATTTGTCTGTATCTGCGTTTTATGATTCCCTGTAACATGAGTATAGCTATTATGTACATGAATCTGGGAATTTTGTTCGAAATGCTTAGGTGCTAAGCTATGATTCAGATTTTTTTTTATCATAGTTTTGTAAAGTATGAGGAAAAGTTGAATCATTATCTATTTCTTGAGTAAAATCTCAATATTCTTGGTTAAGCACCTAAATACCAATTAGAATTATCATATATTACTATATGAATTAGCCAGTAGCCCAGTACTGCTATGATGATTCCATTAGATAAGGTGGAATCTCCACATGTAATTCTGTGATATGCTTTGGATGATGTGTCATATATATCACTGGAAGAAAATAATCATCATACAAAATACTTCTGTAATGTTGTACTTTTGACTGGATAGACTACTTTTGGAGAAAAAAAATGCTGGGAAACTGCTGCCTGATAATAGTGTCTTTTTTACCTTCAAACCATGTTGATTTCTTTTATTTGTTTCTCAGATACCAGTGGGTACCAGACACTCACCTTGCAAAATCATTAAAGGTGCAGAAGAAAAAGTTATGTCTGATCCTTGAATTTCTTGAAAAACAAATGTTCGTAAGAAGATGTGAGGTGAAGGTAGTGTTCATTGAACCATGCTATTCCAGCCGTTTCAACTTTTATGCGATAGAGACATCATTGGGTTTTTTGGAAGCATGACAGTTAAATGTGGGAGAGTCAAAATCGCAATGTGGTTCTAAGTTTTATCAAGCCAGTCACTGTTTCCTGAAAGTTATGCATGGATAAAATTAACATTTTATTTTTAAATTAGTAGAAAAACTTTATGATAGGAGAATTTTAAGTGAGTTTGAAGTATTTCTTCAAGTAACTAAAAATGAAATATTTAAACAAAAACATTTTCGCATATCCAAACATAGCTGTTGCATACTTTGTGAAAAATATAAGAACCAAAACCATTCCAACGGTTCAGCTGTGTAATAAGGATTCGACCATGTGTTAATCTACTGAGGAAACCAACATTTGCAATCACTGATGGCATTGGGTCAGAAGTTTGGATCGTCAATTTAATTTAATGAATCATTGCTGTTATTTGAAGTTGTTACTCTTTGTTGAAATCTGTAGCACTTCAGTTTCATGCTTCTACCATGGGGTGGAGAGGGAGCAGTTCTGTACTTGAATCTGAAAGTCTCTGTTGCACTATTGCTTCCTTTTTATATAGCCTTTCCCTTGTATTTGTGACTCCACAGGCCAAAACTGGACGAAATGTCAGTAATACTGCTACGACAGCTGGTGTTTCTGCTATTCCCAGGAACGAGAAAGTGAAGTCAAAACATCCTAAGTGGTATTGCTGTATAAACTATGCCAAGGTTATCTCTTATGGTCTACTTTTCAGTATTCTTGCTTGCCTTTTTAACACATAAGGACCATATTGTGAAGACTCGTGGATAGCTACAGCATCAGGAAACCAGAAGCAGTAGTGCCCTATGTGTCCCATGGAATGTCTGGATGCATTTGTTATTTTACTTACATTTTGGCAGGCAAAACGGCAACACAAACTTGATTTGATCTGAGGACCAACTTGTTTGACACTTGTGACCTGAGTCTGTGCAGTGTTGCTGATGACATGTATGTTCTTCTGAAACAGATATGCTCTGTCGTAAGGTATCACATAATGCAAATGGAGGCTAACTTGAAGTCTCAACTAGAGAATACAAATACAGTCGATAAGTACACATGCCCCAATTGTGGAAAAAGGTATGAAGTTTATTCTTGTTCTCGCAAGATAAAGGGAAACATTGAGCTATACTTGTATTGAGTTGCAGCTTTTCAGCATTTGATGTCAAGGATTTAGTGAGTTGCACCGATGGAAATTTTTACTGTGAAAGTTGCAAGCATGAACTAGTTGCATGCAGCGAATACGGAAATTATAATGAGAGAGAGGGAAGAAGTGCAAACTTGTTGGACTTTCTTGAAAATATGAAGGTTTGTTCACTATATCTGTTTAGAATTCGTTAAGCAATGTTTGAATGTACTCTTTTTGTAATGATTTCATACCTTTTAACTTTTGAGCATGATTTATGAGGATTTGAGATGGTCTTTTCTTTATGTAGAAATAAGCAAGCAAAATAAGTCTGCACTGGTTGCTCTACCTGTTTTAATATCTCTGTTTGTGCTTTACCAAGAATATTAATTTAGTGCGTGCATTCTTCAAAAAGATATTTAGTACATATATCAATCGAGCACTGGTAGGCATATGCACAGTACGCACAGAGAAATCACACTACACACTACTTGAGCATATGTTATAGTAGTCAGTGCATCTTTTATTTCTCAATTAACAACAAAGATAAAGAAAACTAAGTTAGTCCTATCTATACAATAAACAATGTCATATGGGAATTATATTTTCATCGGTTATCAATTTAATACCTGTGATTTATAGATTGCCAAATTTATCCCACTTAACGTTTATGGGATATGATGCATCTCTTGATGTTCTATAATTGAGGATTTTGAAGCGACTGGGGCAGTATGCATTCTCTGTTGCGCAAAAACAATGGAACATTATGCTCTGTGCTATTTTGTGACTTTTCTAGTCCTTGATCTGCACATTTATGCACCTTGCGGAATGATTGGTGATCTTGTTGTTTTATAATTTATTTTCTTGTTTGAACCTGAACTTTTACTATGAATGCAGGAGAAACTAAGGCCACTCAAGACAAAACTTGATCTGCTAGAGGACCTACCTGCTCCAGACTTTGGGAGTACCCCAGACTTCAAAGGAACTTATAACATTTCAGATTGGTCGAGGACCAGTGTTCCACTTCCAGAACCTACAAACGTAAGCTGAGGCCATTCCTTGGAGGGAAAATCAATGTAACTCTTATTATCAGCTACGCTACAGTAAAATTTAATAGTTTTGGACATATATAGATGTGAAACTAAGTACTACCTCTATCTCAAAATATAGCAACTTTAAGCTATGTAGTCTAGATTCATAGCTAGAAATGTTTATGTTTTGGGACGGATGGAGTACTTATTATCAGCTATCTTGCATTAAGTTTAGCAATTTTGGTAATATATGTATGCTTAGTCAGACTTGAATCACTTTGTTACATTTGAACAATCTATTTCTTGTGGTGTTTGCTAGTTGTACATGGGAAATTGATATGCTTGATTTGAGGAGTTGAACACTTTGTTATATTGTCTGTAATTTGGTTTATATGATATTTTCTTTTGATTAATTTGGGGTTAAAATAGAATGTCCCATACTCTCATTGAAGTATCACTACAACACACGAGTTCACCTAGCAGGATCTAAGAGAATGCATGTGCTAAGTTTTGAAAAGTTCTTTTATTCTGACATATCATACGACATGCCTACACCCACTAGGGTACGCTAGCTGTTCCTGTCAGCATTATGTCACCCTTCATATGAACATAGGGTGTTTTGCTGTTTATCTAATACTCACCCTGAAATTACTGAAATTTACTACTCTCAGTTTCATTGTTCTGCTTCAGCAGTTTTTTATGCTATTCCTGACTTTCTCCTTTTGTTTTTATTAAGACAGCATCTCGTATACTTGTTTATTTAATAGCTTTTGTTGCTTTTTTCTGTTAGGGGCAGATATTCTCCTGTTAATTTTAACTTCCACTTTCTGTCTGTACTTCAAAGTCATCTGCATGAAAATGTATCTACCTTGAACATGGCTACCTATGCCCTTTCAACAGTACATTTGTGAGACCTTACTGAAAACTCTGTGAGCTCAAACCTGATATTTTTCATCACAGTCTACCTAATAGTCATGAATCAACGTGTAACCTTCAGGCACGTGCACGTTGACACTTGATATCCTAGCTAGTATTTATATGCATATGCTACTAGTGGGTTCTATTTCTTTAACTATACAGTAGCTTGATTAGTTCAATTATCTCTTTTCCAGGGTGATGATTCTTTTTCAAGCCCTTGTGCAAAAGACGATGAATCTGATGCAGGTGTTTCAGAGTTAAAGATCTTGCCTTCATGGCTGATAAGAAAAGGTATGAAACTTAAGCAAGCACACCTCAGTAACAGTTCTACTGTGTGTGGAGAGGGAGGTACAAATATACAGGTCAGTTTAGAAAACGTGCTATGATCTGAAAGTTGGATTTACAGTCAAAAGTGTTCATTACTGTGGAGCTTCAGTAGTTCTTTCTTTAACGGTGTAGGAAGAATACATGAAGGCATATTATGAGGCCATACAGAAGAGGCAGGAAGACAGAATAAGACACTCTGGTCAGTCATCTGTCCCTGGAGGACCTTCTGTGAGTTCTGAGAGGCCAATGGGCGTAAAGCGGCAGAAACTTTGTAACGACATCAATAACAATGCACTAGAGTGCCAAGGGGAAGAACCGCCAGGTATCGCTCTCTTCCTTTTCTTTTTTAAAGCTTTAGTACTTGAATTTCGCCAAGGTAGTGTCTTTCCTGCGTGCAATTGTTCTGCCGTATACCTTAATAAGTTCCTGCAAAAACATTGTGCCTGCTTGGGAAGCTATATGAGTCATGTTCATTTCAGTTTATTACGTTAAAAAAGAATGGACCAAAAGTTTGTAGATGATGTTTTCCTTTTCATGTCAAAGCTTCAATTGCTGTATCTTTCATACATTTGAAAATTTGTTGTCTGCTGGTCTAATTTGTTCTGAATTGATATATTTGTTGTCTGCTGGTCTAATTTGTTCTGAACTGATATAGGGGATACATTCAGGACATAAATTGGATATCGAATGCTGGGAACCTAAGAATCAGGTGAATATGAAGATGGGAAGATGGCATTGAGTAAAGAGGATTTCAGGTCTACGAGTCAGTGGCGGTGTCCTTTTCTACAAACAACAATACGATGCATATGCCACAAAAACAGTAGCGTAGATAGTGCATCAACTGCCTTCTTACCTCTGGTTACCTAAAACCGAAGTGTGGTACTACGTAACTGTTTTTTTAGCCTTGATTACCTAATTGCTACAAACTGCATTCTACTCACCCTTGCCAGAATTCAGAAGCTCAACGGTTGGCAGCAAGCAGCTTCATTCGCTAATCGCCTAACAAATTCGTACTCGCCGGTTGTTGGGCTAAGTCGTTAAGAACAGGGTTTTTTTTTCAACATTAACTTTTAAATCGCTAAAAACACAAAAAAAATAATTTATGTATAAATTATTATTTTTCGCTAATAAACTGTTACAACTTATAATAAGTTTGTAGGCAACCGATGAGTTCCAAAAATACATAAAGGATTGGCGGGAAGACTGGACACACAAAAAAAAATTTCAAGAATTTCAGATATACTCTTTCCATCCTATAAAAAAACAACATTAAATTACGTTAACATCTAGTCTAGTACTAAGTTTGTCTTTTTATAGAACGGATGAAGTACAAAGTTGTCTTTTTATGAGACGGATGGAGTATTAGACAACCACAATAATCACACACTGATTCCACCGCCGGCTTCTCCCCAGGGGACGCGGGGCAGGGTGACAGACCCTGCAATGGAAGGTGTGGGAGCAGGGCATCGAGCAGATGTTTGGACACTAATTATAAATATTAAACGTAGATTATTAATAAAACTCATTCTATAACTCTGGACTAATTCGCGAGACAAATCTATTGAGCCTAATTAATCGATGATTAGTCTATGTAATGCTACAGTAAACATGCGCTAATTATGGATTAATTAGGCATAAAAAATTAGCTCTCATTTATATAATTAGTTTTATAAATAGTCTATGTTTAATTCTCTAGATTGGACTAAAGTTTTAGTCCATGATCCAAACGACACCGTAGTCGTCGTCCTCGAAATTCTTGAAGCACACCGAGCAGCTCCTGCAGTCCTGCTTCACTCCGGAGTCTCTCGTCCTCTCGGGCCACCCACCAACGGGGCTTTTAACTATTTGTCACTCTTATGAATGGTGTTTAATGATTTGCCCATGGTGTGGCAAATCGGTAATTGCCATGTCACAAGAGTGGCAAATAGTTAAATTTCCCCCCACGAGCAGCAGTTGATCCCATCAATTTGCACAAACCAGTCCACCAGCCAAATAAAAAAGAGAAAGCAAGAAAACGGGAAAAAAATCCCGTGGTGGATGTGGATCTCGTCCCCACTACTCCACCGCGCCTCTCGCTTCCTCCGTCCCCAGCCGCGCCGCTCGCTGCCTCCGTTTACAGCCGTGACGCTCGCTAGTCGCTACCTCCACCCCAGCCGCGTCGCTCACTGTTTTCCTCCACCGCCGCAGTCTCTGTCCCCACCCGCGCCGCTCGTTGATCCACGTTTGGGGGCGGATCCGAGTCGGATTCACTCTCGATTTCGATCGGGACGCGGAGTCCGATCGATTTCTTCGTCTATAAACTCTGCAGGTAGGGGCTCGATCGTGTCTTGGTTTCGTTTAACTCCTGAATCCTGATCCATTCCCCCCCACCCGACCGCCTATTGATTTGCTCGCCTCCACCATTGTCGATCTCTTGTGCAGGGGACGTACGGTGAGCGCCTCCGGCGTGTGTTGCTGCCGCAGATCGATGGAGGTGGATGCCTCCGCGGTCGCAAGAGCACTACCAAGAGATTTCCCTCCCATCGAGAACTTGAGCTTCGAAGGCATCCCCCGTTATACTTTCAAGATTGGCAACCGGATCCACTGCACCAACTTGATGTACCGCCCAGGTAGTCGGACGCTATTAACGCAGGAAGAAGCTCATGAGATCATTCGCGAGCGCTTGAGGTCTGACATTCGTCGGGGCCGCATAGAACTGGACGCCGACTTCTTGCAGCAGCTTGTTGATCAGGTTCGCGATCATATTCTTCAGCGTCAGCGCCGTGGCACTGCCACTGCCATTGCCATGGATGGAGTAGTGGAGGTGGAGGATGCGTACAGGAACGGTGGGTTCGGCGCTGTCCCCGCGTCGAGCAAGGCCATGGCCGAGCTGCAGGAGGCGATGGCAAGCGACGCCAGGGAACGCGGGTGCGCTGTGTGCCTGGAGGATTTCGAGGCGGGAGAGAAGCTGACGAGGATGCCCTGCTCGCATTGCTTCCATGCGACCTGCATCTTGGATTGGCTCCGCCTCAGCCATCGCTGCCCGCTCTGCAGATTCCCGATGCCAACCCAAGACCAATCTTACTAGGCTGTAAGAGGATAACGCCGCGGCCAGAGATGAAACAAATCATACAACTCTTGTGCGTACTCATGCTCCATCAAACACCATTCCATTCATGTACCATCTGTTATTATTCATGTTTTATGATCGGATTGCTATTGTTTCGGGGTATTACAGTGCCAACATTGGGATTCCCCTCGAAAGATGAACATACTTTCCCGCTAAAAGCTTCCTCTAGTTCTTCCCAGCTCGCTTGCTTCTCTTGCAGTAGAAGCTTCATCCTCTACCAAAGAAAGCTCCTTGCACTCCTCATTGGCGTTCATGTCCTGGAGCCCGAGGACAGCCATTACCACAGCGACATCACGACATCGCCATGTATGAGCTGTTGGAATATAAACATGTAATCTTGAGCATCGATTTATCTGTTTGCTTGCATGTAGTTAGCCGGCTGGAAACACTTTGGATTCGGCCGAAAGAATAGTTCTTTTAAGGTTTACATGTTTCCTGTTTTATAGTTGCGATGACCCGGTTCAGATCGTATTGAATTTGAACTTGCATGTTTATGGAATGATATATTACATATTAAAACATATTCTTAATTTTTTTCATAACTATTAGAGTGGCATGTAAACAACGAGGGGACAATCCCCTTAGAGGTATCAAAATCCATCTCCCTTGTTTCTCTGCTTTCTGAGTTCTTCAGTGTACTGTACACGTCCGACAATATTCAGAGATTTCAGAGGGTGAGTGCTTTGGTGAGTTTGATCTTGGGAAATTGCTGACACGAGCTCTGCTCTTGCTTTGGTTTCAGAATGTTCAGAAAAGAAGAAAATTCAGACATAGTAACAGAGGTAGGAACACCTTCGTATAAGGAGGAGCAGACTTGTACTATGAACATATTTGCGCAGAAACAAGAATGAGAACAACAGAGAAAAAGAAGGATAATGCAAAGAGCTATTACAGACTTTGAATTGAAGATCAAGAAAGCAGAAGTATATAACTATGTAAATTTCAACATTTCGATACAAATTTCCATAAGGGATTCATGGGAGAACTGGAGACGGAATATTCCATAAGGGACTCGCAGGAAAACTAGAAATAAAAAAAATTCAGATAATGAAGTTCTCAGAGAGTTGCAGGTTTCTTGCAATTTTCAGAGAATTGCAGATTTGTTGCATGGCCACGACATTGATCAGTTAAACAAGCACTGATTCCGCGCGAATTCATTCAATCAATGCATAGTCCGAGGGGCTTCCGGCTTTTCGACGGTGGACGGCGGAGCAGCTGGGTGACAGACCCTGCAGGAGCGGTCGCCCAAGATGCAGAGCTGATGGAAAGTGTGGGAGCAGGGCATCGACCAGATGCAGTCGTCCTTCTCGAAACTCTTGAGGCACACCGAGCAGCTCTGCTCCATGGCGTCCGCGGTGGCGGTGGCGGCGGCGGCGTCCTTGCCAGACCGGCCGGCCTCCATACATAGCATAAGCGGCTTCCTTATCATCCAACTAGGGATCTGTGGCAAGCGGTTGGCCTCCGTCGATAGCATTGGCAGCTCCGTTACCATCCAACTAGGGATCTTCTTGGTGGAGGAACCTGTCCCGGCCGTCGGATCCATGCGTTTTTGCGCAGAGAACTCTCTGCTTGGTAAGAGGAGGCGATCTGAGATCGATCGATGGATGTTGCCGGTGGCGAAGAATCGATGGGGGAATTGGGGATGAGTCATCGTCGTCGTGTGGAATTTATAGGCGCACAGGTGTTGGCTATACACGGAAACCTGGAAGGAAATTCGGATCGGAGAAGGTAAAGGACAGGATTACGGTGGAACGGGGGAGACGCGCCTGCAGTTTTTTCCTAAAAAAAAATGATGGGCTGAAACCACCATGACGGAGCTTCCGGCCCGTTGCCAGCCCATTCGTGTATTTCTGCAAGTACAACTATACCACCATGTAAGGTCTAGTGAAAATTATTTTATTACTCCTGAGTGTACTGATTGCCAAATATATCCTGTCAGTACAAAGTGGCATGCCGATCCATTACTGTCGTGCGTATCAAAAGCAATGAACCGATGATAGACTGGAACTCCTTGGATTGATATGTGGCCATACATCGGCAAAGTTTTTTGGTAACACAACAGAAACCAGCATAGGCAACCAAGGGAAAATGGTTCAGCTCAGCTACCATTACTTGTTCAAATCAAGAAACAAAACTATCAGCCTCGAGCAATTCTACGGTCCTTGAATAGATACCATGAGGTACCAAAATTTACACTAAAATTTTGGTACCTCATGGTACCTCATAGTACCTAGGTACCATGAGGTACCAAATTTACAATAGAAAAAATGGTACTTCATGGTACCTCCTCAAGGACCGTAAAATTGCTCATCAGCCTCAGGTGATCGATACGGGCGTATGTATATGTTTTCAGATCGAGTAGTCAGTCACTCGGGCAGCTCCGGCGATGAACCTTTTCTCTAAAGAAAACAAAACTCAGACAACTCCTTGCATCATGACTTTAAACTCATCAAAATTGATCATTCCATCGCCGTCTCTGTCGAAAACCTTGAGCATTCTCTCACACTCCTCATGGCCAGCGTCACGCTGCAAACACAACCTTCTCATCACATTCTGCAGCTCCAGGGGACTTATGAATCCATCGCCGTCGCCGTCGAACACGCTGAAAGCTTCCTCTAGTTCTTCCCAGCTCGCTTGCTTCTCTTCCAATAGTACAAGAGCTTCATCCTCTACCAAGGAACGCTCGTCGCCCTCCCCGTTGACACGGAGCCCAAGTGCTGCCATTACCACAGAAACTCTGCTTGCCTTCTAGCTTTAGCATCGGCATTGTGCTAGTCCCGGTTATATATAAATCTGTCATTTGCTTCATGCAGCTTTGTGTCAGGACAACAATTTGTTAGATCAGTAGGAACTATATAGAATGGCATCATATGGCCCAAGAACACTGATGTTCGTCAGGCAAGATCATATGGTCCAAGAACACTGATGTTCTTCAGGCAAGGAACCATACATCAACATGTGTGTCGCACTGAGTGTATAAACCTGATGTTTAGTTAAACTAGAGCATTTCTGGGAAATATTGGGACACTGTCATTGTCATATATAAAACAGTAATACAATGAAAATAGGCATAGCTATTCTTTTTTAAAAAAATGATAACAATCATCGCCGGCATAGCTTTTTCCTTGTAACATTTTTATGGACACCCTCCCTGAATTATTTTCAGGAACTATATATGCACTGAATTACGAATTCTCAAATCTGTTGATCCCTTTTGTTTCTCTTATTGTCTGGCCCAAGAAAACCAGGCTAACATATACTAAGACCCAAAGAGCTATTACAGACATTGAACTGAATATCAAGAAAGCAGAAGTAAATAAATAAATAAATAAATATATATATATATATATATATATATATATATATATATATATATATATATATATATATATATATATGAACTAGGGCATGAAGCCCCTATTTCTTTTACTAGAAATGAGATCAAGTCAGAGTACAAGAGTACCAAACAACAAAACGGAAAAAAACTAAAGCATCTGAGGGAGGACAACCGACCCTTATGCAAAAGGCCATAGCTAGATTATCTATTACAGAGCTATCTTTGCTCAATCCATCCACACAAAAAACTCAGTAAACATTCCCTTTCCTGAGTTATGACCCAATCCTTCTAACGCCTCCTCTCCAGCCGAGCTTCGAGTTGTAGACTTCATTTACCACTTGCTTTAGCAACCTGGCCCCCAATTGAAGATTTCTTCGACTTCCCTCCTGCTTCTGTAAAGTTGCCCACGATTCCACCAAAGAGCAAGCCATAAACACCAGATCAGTAAGATCAGCTGGGAGTTTTTTTTCAAAACAAGCTTTATTACGAAATTTCCAGATTGTCCATATTATTGCCGCAAGACCCACTACCACAAGTTTTTTTGTAAATTTATCAATCTTGTTCATCCAAGATCCAAACAGATCTTGTCTATTCAACACAGGATTTATATTGAGAGCACATTTCACAATATTCCATAACAGTCTAGCTAAAGGGCAATAAAAAAAGAGGTGTTGTAAAGTTTCTGTTTGATCACAGAATTGGCAATTAGCCTTCCCTTTTCTCCAGCCCCTTTTGAAAAGATTGTCCTTTGTGAGAATCTTGTTTTTTGTAAATAGCCAAATAAAAATTTTGATTTTCAAAGGCACTTTGAAACCCCATAACTTTTTATGCGGGAAAATCACCTGTTGCATCTTCAGAGCTTTGTAAAAGGAATTCACAGTGAATTTCCCATCTTTGGTCAAACTCCACCGGAGTGTATCTTTGGTTCCATCTTCCAGAACCAAATCACCCCAGAATTGTTTAATTTTCAGCCAATTCCTCAGTTTATTCCCCAGGACATCCCTTCTGAATTTAATAGAGTCAATCCCCCCTTGTTTCACATTTGCCACAGTAATCTTTTTTGTCAAAGTAATATTATACAGATCAGGGAACTGTTCAGCCAAAGGTTTACCTCCTATCCAATTATCTTCCCAAAACAAAGTATTCCTTCCATTGCCAACTACTTTAGTACAAAATTTATAAAACATTTCTTTCACATCCATAATTCCTTGCCAGAAATGAGAGACTCCAGGTTTCACTTTCAAACCTGACAAAACTTTGTTGTGACAGTACTTTTTTGTGAGAATATCCTGCCACCAACCCCTCTCATTTTCCAACCTCCATATCCATTTTCCCAACATAGCACAGTTCATGATCTCTAGATCCAAAATTCCCAAACCTCCCTGGTCCCTAGGTGAACAAACCAAAGGCCAATTAACCAGATGATATTTTCTTATTCCCTGATCCTCCTGCCATAAAAATCTTTTTCTGAAATAATCCAACCTTTCTTTGACTCCTTTTGGCAATTTGTAAAAAGAGATCATATACATAGGTGTATTGCTTAGGCTTGAGTTGATCAAAATCAACCTCCCTCCAATAGATTGGAGTAAATATATATATAACTATGTGAATTTAAACATCCGGTTACAAATTTCCATAAGGGATTCACAGGATAACTTGAGACAAAAAGAAATATTCCATAAGGGATTCCCAGGAAAACTGGAGACAAAAAATTCAGATTATTCAGAGAGTAGCAGGTTTTTGCAATTTTCAGAGAAATGCAGATTTGTTGCACGGCCACAACATTGATCAGTTAAACAAGCACTGATTCCGCGTGAATTCATTCAATCAATGAATAGTCCGAGGGGCCTCCGGTTTCTCCTCCGTGGATGGGGGAGCAGCCGGGTGACAGACCCTGCAAGAGCGGTCACCCAAGACGCAGAGCTGATGGAAAGTGTGGGAGCAGGGCATCGACCAGATGTAGTCGTCCTCCTCGAAATTCTTGAGGCACACCGAGCAGCTCCGCTCCGCCGTCTTGCTGCCCACTCTCGGCCGGTGAAGATCGCCGCGGGGGAGTGCATGTTCCAGCCGCGCCATATCCATGGCGTCCTTGCCAAAGTGGCCGGCTTCCATACATTGCATTAGTGTCTTCCTCATCATCCAACTAGGGATCTTCTTGGTGACCTCGCACCCGGAACATGTCCCGGTTGTGGGATCCATGCGTAGCGCGGAGCTCTCTCTGCTGGAAGTGGAGGCGATCTGAGTCGGGGTGGAGATCGATCGATGGATGTTGCCGGTGGCGAAGAATAGATGGGGGAATTGGGGGATGAGTCGCCGTCGTGTGGAATTTATAGGCAGACAGGTGTAGAGGCTATACGAAGCAAATTCGGATCGGAGAAGGATTACGATGGAACGGAGGAGACGCTCCTACAGTTTTTCCCTGTAAAAATATGATGGGCTGACACCACCAGGACGGAGCTTCTGGCCCATAGCCAGCCCGTTCATATATTTCTGAAAGTACATAACGATACCACCATGTAAGGTCCAGTGGAAATTATTCTATGGACTCATTACTCCTGAGTGTACTGATTGCCAAATATATCCTGTCAGTACAAAGCGGCATGCCGATCCATTACTGTGGTGCGTATCAAAGCAATGAACCGATGATAGACAGGAACTCCTCAAATTGATATGCAGCCATACATCGGCAAGGTTTTCGATAACACAACTCGGTTTCAAAAAAAAGAAAAAAAGGTTCAGCTCAGCTACCATCACTTGTTCAAATCAAGAAACAAAACTATCAGCCTCAGGCGATCGATAGGGGCGTATGTATATGTTTTCAGATCGAGTAGTCAGTCACTCAGGCAGCTCCGGCGATGAACCTTTTCTCTGAAAAAAAAACAAAACTCAGATAACTCCTTGCATCATGACTTTAAACTCGTCAAAATTGATCATTCCATCGCCGTCTCTGTCGAAAACCTTGAGCATTCTTTCACACTCCTCATGGCCAGCATCGTGCTGCAAACCCAACCTTCTCATCACACTCTGCAGCTCCAGGGGACTTATGAATCCATCGCCGTCGCCGTCGAACACGCTGAAAGCTTCCTCTAGTTCTTCCCAGCTCGCTTGCTTCTCTTCCAATAGTACAAGAGCTTCATCCTCTACCAAGGAACACTCGTCGCCCTCCCTGTTGACACGGAGCCCAAGCGCTGCTATTACCACATCGACATCGCCATGCGTGAGCTCTGTTCTTGCTTTGGTTTCAGAATGTTCAGATGGGCATGTGCTGTGTGTGTTGTGCTTGTCACAGAGAAGAAAATTCAGAGGCTGGAACAGAGGTTGTTAGACAATATGGTTTAGATATGTATATGGTTGAGTTTTATCTCTAAGCCTAGATCCTTATCCTCCCGATTCTGTTGCTATAAATCGGTAGAGTGGTTATGGACAGGCATATATATGTACGCACTCCGTGATTAATCCAATCTACGTTGAATTCCTCCGTCTTACATGGTATCAGATACGGTATCGCTTCCGCTCCACACCTAAACCCTATCGCTGCTTCCCTATGGCGCCCGAGAACACATCGACGGTGTCCACTTCCGATGCAGCCTTCGCTGCGATCGACGAGGCTGTCAAAGCAGTCGCCGACGCCGTGCGCCACTCCTGTGGATACATGTACCAAGTTATCTTCCACCGACGGTCCACCAGTGGCAGATCCTACAGATTATCGCAGTCTTGTAGGAGCACTTCAGTACCTCACTTTCACCAGACCAGACATTTCGTATGCGGTCCAGCAGGTGTGCTTACACATGCATGATCCTCGCGAAGTCCATCTCGCCGCTCTCAAAAGGATTTTGCGATATGTCCGAGGTACAATTGATCTTGGTCGCCATATTCAGCGTTCTCAGGCCACTGACCTTGTTGTCTATTCTGACGCTGATTGGGCTGGCTGTCCAGACACTCGTAAGTCCACATCCGGTTATGCAGTTTTTCTTGGTGACAACCTTGTATCATGGTCATCCAAGCGCCAGAACATTGTCTCTCGGTCGAGTGCTGAAGCTGAGTATCGTGCTGTGGCAAATGCGGTTGCAGAAGCCAGCTGGTTGCGCCAACTCCTCCATGAGTTTCATTCCCCGCCGTCTAAAGCCACCTTGGTGTATTGTGATAATGTGAGCGCAATTTATCTCTCCTCCAATCCAGTACAGCATCAACGAACGAAACATGTCGAGATCGATCTACACTTCGTGCGTGACAAGGTTGCTCTAGGTGCTGTCCGGGTGTTGCATGTTCCAACTTCATCACAGTATGCGGATATCTTCACCAAAGGTCTTCCCTCTCCTGTTTTCGTCGAGTTTCGCTCCAGTCTCAACGTTCGCTCCAACAACGTTGTGACTGCGGGGGGGTGTTAGACAATATGGTTTAGATATGTATATAGTTGAGTTTTATCTCTAAGCCTAGATCCTTATCCTCCCGATTCTGTTGCTATAAATCGGTAGAGTGGTTATGGACAGGCATATATATGTACGCACTCCGTGATTAATCCAATCTACGTTGAGTTCCTCCGTCTTACAGAGGTAGGAACACCTTCGTCATATGGACGAGCAGACTTCTAGTGAACATATTTCCGCAGAAACACAGTGATAAGAATGAGAACAACAAATAAGAAAGAAGGATAATGAAAACCAAATGCTTAGGTAGCACTAGCTATACTAACACTGCGTGAACAGAGTACTGGTTTCTGCATGGTTCTTGAATTTATAGTGCACGCATGAGGCGTCAACTGGCTGGTCGTCTCTATTTATGTATTGAAAAGATGATAATGGGGCAGGAGTAACTATGAAAGTTCAGCGAATTGGCCAAGAGAGAGCAGTGGCTTGACTCCTCAAGTCCACGTTTCAACGTACACAAAAGTGAATATGTACTAGTGAGTATGTACTTTCTATAGAAATTTATCACTACAATTAACTTTCTGGTTATCATACAAGTTTGTTAATTCTTCAGTGTGAAACCATGTGAACACTGAAGAAGTCAAACATAGGCTGTCATTGCATATTCAGGAGCTATATCCATCCGTATTGCTACCAATTGCATATAGAGAAGTTCCGTGAATATCCACCATGACCGTGTATTCTGTGTTATTAATGTCAAAAGATGAAAAAAAAAACGAACTCACAATTGTGAGATGGGCTGAGAAAAAGAAGTATAATCAGACTGAACAGAGTCCAGCCGTTTGTTTTGTTTGGGCCTGTTTTCCTTTCCGTGTTTGGTGGGCCTTACTCTGTCCTAAGCAGCCGCAGCCGCCGCCGCGGCCGCCGCCATCATCTCCTCCTCCTCCGGCCTCTCGGCGACAGCATAGACCAGGGATGGGCAGCGAAAAGAGGAAGACGAGAGACCGTCATGGAGCAAGGGGCAAGGCTTCCTATGACAAGCCCAAGCCATCCATTACAGATCCAGAGCTAGAAGAAACGGAAGACGCCGATCAGTTTTAGTCGGGGCATCTGGGGATCATCGGCGGTGATTCGGACGAGGATCAAGCGGATTGCGATCAGCCGATGCAAGAAGCAACAGAGGATCTCAACCAGCCGGGGATCGTCGGCGATGAGTTGGATGAAGGACGTGGTCGGTCTGTCTACCTTGTGGCGTGCCACTGGGATTGGTCCAGGTATTCTAAGCCCTACTCCGTATACAATGTAGGCGTCACCGCCACTGCCACCGCCACTTCATCTCCACCGCAGGCGAAGCGGAAGCGCCTGCGCCGGATCACCCGCCTGCCCACCGCTGCCGGCGGTAAGAGCTTCACCTCCGTGCGGTCGATCCACCGCGCGTGGATCGTCGGTGTCGGGGGTGATCCCGGCGACACCGTCATCTTCGACACGAGGACAGAGAAGGTCGTCCATGGCCCGGCTCTCAACTCCGCAAAATGGTGCCCTGCCCTGATGTCAGTGGGCGACAAGGTTTATGCCATGTCCAAGTCCCCCTCCTGGATTGCAGACCCCGATTTCCCGCCATGGTTCGAGCTACTCGATCTCTCCCAATCCAAAGTCGTCGCTGCTACTGCTGGCCGCGGCTACCACCTGGAGGGATGTTCCTGGATTAAGCTACCGCATCCACCTTGCTTCCCTTGGAAGCTTCGCCCGGTAGATTACACATTGCTGCCGGTTGTAATCGTCATGTCCTATGTGGTGGTTGATGCCTACATATTGGTATCATTCAATCAGCCATGGGGCACGTATGCATTTGACACCAACTCAATCAAGTGGCACAAGGTTGATGACAAGAGGCTACCTTTCACCGGATGCGCCGCCCCACATGGCTCTGTGTTCCTTGGCTTATCGAAAGACAACGGACCCATCAATGCTTATCGCATCAATGTCACAACTTCTGACAAGGAATATGATCCTTGCTTATCCATCGTTGTGCTCCCGGTGAAATACATGGAACATGAAGTTGATGCAGGGTCATGCTTCTTTTCCTTGGAGGATGGACTCTTCTGTTCTTTACGTTTCTCGCTTGACAGCAGCAGCGTGATTCGCTCCAAGAACCTTGAAGTTTTTCCAACCAAGGCACATGTAGACCTGAGAACCTATCAAACAGAGAACACTTCACCATTGGAGGCTCCAGAGGAAACATTGCTAGCAGTGAAGCCGGAGGTTACAGTCTGCAGCCAATGGGAACAGGCCTTCAAGATTTCCTGTTCATCCCATGGGTTCTCTCCCTTTGCATTCGCTCTTTTGTCCATATAAGTAAGTCCCGTTGGCACCTTTTATTTCAGAATATGTTCCTTAAGAACCCTTTTAGCTGCAAATATAAAATGCCATGTTACCTTAATGCACGCCTGTTTCATCGCTCACAGTTTCTACATTTTATAGGATGTTTTTCTTGCACAGGAATATTACCTTAAAAAGATATCGAAACATCTTTTATTCTTTTCATTGCAATCAAGCCTTTTCTTTATTTTGGAGGCTAGGAAACTTGCCATCTAGGTGCCCTAAAACTTATTGCTTCGAGTATTGGATGTGCTAATAATCGATGGTTATGTTGCTACCTCTAATCAATTTTGGTGCTAAACATGGTAAGAAAGATGAAAAACAGCCTGACTTATTAACAAATGACAAATAGTCCTGTACTCCCTTTATCTCAAAAAGATTATAATCCTAGAATGAGTGGGGAATTTAGTGGTAAAGGAAAATGACATAGATACCCCCTCACCTCATTAAATGAGGTGTGGTCGAGAGTAGGAGGGTAGTTGGTAGTTAAAATAGAAGAAATTTGAACAAGGAGTAGTTGGAGGGAAAACCGGAAAAGTAACATGATCGGTATGTGTGACATTACATCAGCGACATTGCGATGTGTGAGCTCTGTTCTTGCTTTGGTTTCAGAATGTTCAGATCGGCAACTGCTGTGTGCATGATGCTTGTCCCTGAGAAGAAAACTCACTGGTCAGAACAGAGGCAGGAACAACTTTGTTATGTGGAGGATCATATGCTTCTAGCGAACATATATACACGCAGACAACAAGAACAGCTAAAAGGGCGGTAGCAAAGAAGAACCAAATGCAAGATAGTTTGAGCTACTAACACTGCATGAACAGAGTGGTCTCTGCATAGTTCTCAGATTTATAGTGCAAGCTTCGACTGCCTGTCTAGTCCTGTTTATTTACGTTTTAAAATTTAAAGAGACGATGAGATCAGGAAAATGAGTGTGGAGTAACTCTGGAAGTTCAGCAAATTGGCCAAGTGATAGCAGTGGCTTGACTCCACAAGTCAATGATTCAACTAACAGAAAAAGTGATTGCGTAGTACTCCGTATAAATAAATATACTCCTATCTAACAGGGGCTACAGGAAATTACAACTTTTGGCAGGAAATTATCATGCCAGCTTGTTAACTATTCAGTTTGAAATAGTCTAAAACTAGGCTGTCATTCGTATAATCGGATTGGCGCCAATGCATTCGTATGGCTATTATCATTCGTATAATCGTATTGGCGCCAATGCATTCGTATAATCTTATTGGCGCCAATTCGACCGTGATTACATCGTGCGTCTCTCTCTACTCTTTGTTTTTTTTTTCTGTAGATGTGGAGACGAATCATGCAGAAAGTTCATTGCATCTGTTGTATAATCTGTGTTATTGTGTTAATGCGAAAAGTTCCATATTAAATATGAACTCACAATTGTGGATTTATGGGATGGGCTCAGAAGCACAATTAATCACTAATCAGAATGGACAGAGTTTGGTAGTCTAGTTCTGTCCGACAGCCCAACCAACGTGAAGAAGCCGGCAGAACTGGAATGAGGTGATTACTTTCAGTAGTTCGGCCTTCAGTGAAGATACCTTAACCTTTATACTAGTAGCAAATTGTTTGCTGATGTAGTAACACATTGTTGTGAAATTTGTCACCAGTAACTGATTGGATTCAAGGATCTTTTCATTTCGTTAATGAAATGGGAGGGCTTCGCCCTCTTTCTCAAAAAAAAAACCTGATTGGATTCAAATTGGACCGAGTCAAAGCACATTCATATCTGTCTTGTTTCAGCGAATTCGGATGTGTACTTGAATAAAATCACAAACTAAATGGGAGTATAATAGATAAGAACAAGAGGGAGACTCCTCATGTGCTTACATGGAGAGGGCAGCAACCACAGGAATGCCAGAACCCAGCAAACCATGTATTTCCTTGGATTCGCATGAATGCATCTGTTCCTTCACTTGTAGTGCAAGTAGCTGATCCTTAGCCTTAGATTCCTGGGACTGACAATGAGTCATGATAGCTTCAATGTTCTCTATCCGAAAGGCAGTCGAGATAACATGGACCTCCTTCAAGCAGCTGGTTTTTGGGCTGCGCCAGCGACGATAGTTGGTTTTTCGTCTGTGCCGGAGACGAGATGGCCCCAACCTGATGCAACAGAAGCTGCCCTTTCCCATGGGGCAGAAGAGCGGGAAGGTAATCTTGTCCACTGATGCCATCACCTTGAACTTTTGGATTGATAATGAGGGAATGGACGAGGAGATTTTGATGGACATGTGGAACACAGAGGCAGATGTTGAGGTTGAGGCAGTGTTGGATATGGGACAGGCGGCGAAGAGGCTGCCGCCAAGGTGCACTGCCTGACCAACAAAAGGCAGGTTCTTTTCATGGATCTTCTCCCAAATTTTGTTCACCACATGAAAAGCGTAAGTACCTACCACTAGTTCCGGCTGTGGGGAAATCAAAATGTATGAGCCAATGACAGCATAGGATGAGACTGAAAAATTTCAGGTGGATTGCGAAATTCATAGGGATTCAAGAAACACGGGAAGAAGGGTGGTGGCGGCAGGTGATGCCATGAGACCCAACGGCCGCACTCCTTGGAGGGGACACCATCTTTGAAGCTGAGAGATTCAAACCATGGCTCGCAGTCCATGGAGGGCTTCACTCTGGGGGTGCCTGAGATGGCATACACCTCGCTGCCATGGGAGATCAAGACGGGCTTGTGCTTGGGGTAGCCGAGCCGCGTGATGATGGTGCCCGGGTCGAAGATGATGGTGCCGGCTCTTAGCCCACCGCCGACGCCGACAATCCACGACCCGTGCCTCGAACGCGCCGTGACGAAGGACATGCCAGGCTCGGTGCCGGTCGTCAGCACGGCGACGGCGCGGACGCGCCGCGGCTCGTCGTTACCGGCAACGGCGGCGGCATCGATCTTCAGAACGGAGTAGGCGGCCGCCTGGTCGTCGTCGCGCACTGCCACGAGGTAAACCGGCTTGGCGAACTCCATCGTGTCGCCCGATGGATTTGCGAACTCGTCGGTTGATTCCCCCACGTCGTCGTCGTCGTCCGGCTTCCTCTTGGGCGCCATCGTCGTCTACCTCGAGCAAAGGGTTTTGGTTTGGCAGCGGAGTCGGGCAGCCCTTGGGCCCACGGAATGCTAGTTACGGCCCACTAACTTGCAGCCATTGGGCCTTTCCTTATATGGGCTTTATTCCAAGTGCGGGCCAAAAAATTGAAAAGTAAAAAAGGAAAAGGAAAAAAAAAAAGGGAAAACCCCATTTCGATCTGGTGCGGCGGTGGCTGTGCTTCGTCCCGTCTCTGCCGCCGACGAGCGACGATGCGGCGCCTCCTCCTCGCCGGCATCCTCCGCCGCGCCTCCTCCTCCCCTTCCTCCCACCACCACCTCCACCTCGTCAGGGCGCTCTCTGCCTCGTCCCCGCTCCCGGCCTCCGATGCCGACCTCCGCAAGTACGCCGGCTACGCGCTCCTCCTCCTAGGCTGCGGCGCCGCCACCTACTACTCCTTCCCGCTTCCCCCCGACGCGCTCCACAAGAAGGCCGTCCCCTTCAAGTACGCGCCGCTCCCCGACGACCTCCACGCCGTCTCCAACTGGAGCGCCACCCACGAGGTCCACACCCGCGTCCTCCTCCAGCCCGACTCCCTCCCCGTCCTCCACGACGCGCTCGCCGCCGCCCACGGCGAGCGCCGCAAGCTCAGGCCCCTCGGCTCGGGCCTGTCCCCCAATGGCCTCGCGCTCTCACGCGCCGGCATGGTCAACCTCGCGCTCATGGACAAGGTGCTCGACGTCGACGCCAAGAAGAAGACCGTCACCGTGCAGGCCGGGATACGCGTCGCCGAGCTTGTCGACACGCTCCGGGAGCATGGCCTCACGCTGCAGAACTTCGCGTCCATTCGGGAGCAGCAGGTCGGCGGCATCATTCAGGTCAGTTCTGTAGCTTCTGCTGGAATGAAAAGAATTTGTAGCTATCTAGGGTGATTTATTGGAGATTTGATAGTAAGAAATTAATGATTTTACCAGTAGTACAAAAATATAATTGGTAAATTTGTTGGATAATATGTTCAATGAAATGTAGTAGAATTTGTTTCAATTGACATTAATAGAGCTTTCCCAAATAAATTGGTGAGATAGTCAAGAGAGGCTTTCTGATTAGAAGATAGTCATCCAACAAAAAGTAACAAATCGGAAAAATGTCACGGTTATCTCTACTCTACAATCTTGTTGTAATTTTTTTCTGCATTTGATAGCAATTTGTGGAAGCTAGAAATGCCTTCACTGTTTGTTCTTAACATGGCATTGCATTCCTATATACTGAAAACTTTTGCAGTTATTGTTCTTCCTTGTATTTGGACAAGGAGTATAACTTTTTTTTTGTCACTCTGTTATCTCACATCTGTTAATTCTCCTGTATGGTATGACAGTGATTACCTTATAAGCATTCACTGAGTTTACTGTTGAAATGATGGAAATAAGATCTACTGTATGTTGTTTCCTTCTATGAAAGTTGGCTTAAGCTTGTTAGGGAAGATCCGAAGATGTGTTTGTGGATTAGGTAGGGAGGGATAAAGAAGTACTACCTCCGTTTCATATTATAAGTCGTTTTGACTTTTTCGTAGTCGAAACTTTTTAAAGTTTGACCAAGTTAATAGAAAAATATAGCAATATTTTCAACACAAAATAAACATATTATCAAAAATACATCCAATGTTACATTTAATGAAACTTGTTTGGTGTAGTAGATGTTGCTAAATTTTTCTATAAATTTGGTCAAACCTAAAGAAGTTTGACTAGGAAAAAAAATTCAAAGCGACTTATACTATGAAACGGAGGGAGTATTACTCAAACTAGAATAAATAGATGGGACTTAACATGCAGTTCAGGCCATATGCATTTCTGTACAGCTTACCTCGGATGATCATTTCATGACTGATTGCAGGTTGGTGCCCATGGCACTGGTGCAAGGTTGCCACCAATTGACGAACAAGTTATTAGCATGAAATTGGTTACCCCTGCCAAGGGGACAATAGAGTTGTCAAGGGAGAAGGATCCTGATTTATTCTATCTTGCTCGCTGTGGGCTTGGTGGCCTTGGAGTTGTAGCAGAAGTTACTCTTCAATGTGTGGAAAGACACCAACTTATTGAACACACTTTCGTTTCCAGTGCAGATGAAGTCAAGAAAAATCACAAGTAATGTTATCTCATTCTGATCATTAAATGGATGTCTGGAATTGGTTTGCTTATCAATTTTGTCATCATTTACTGGAGAAAACTGACTTTCTTTCACTCCCCTCCTTTCTCAGGAAATGGCTCTCTGAAAATAAACATATTAAGTACTTATGGATTCCATACACCGATACAGTTGTTGTTGTCCAATGCAATCCTCCTTCAAGGTGGAGAACTCCAAAGTTTACCTCAAAATATGGAAAGGATGAGGCTATCCAACATGTTCGTGATCTTTATCGTGAGTCATTGAAGAAATATAGGTACTACCTCAAAACAATATGCACTGCATTCAAACTGTAGCTGTATGCACTATGCAGATCTACTCAATGGTTCTTTTTTTTTCTTTTGCACTAAACATTCTAGCTTTACTCAGCAATAGCATTCCATTAGTTTCTAGCTAATGCCATCTTGTAGATGCTTTTCAGAACTAAAGCAGAAAGTAATGACCCAGAAGTAGATCAGCTTTCATTCACTGAATTGAGGGATCGGTTGCTTGCCCTGGATCCTCTAGACAAAGATCATGTGATCAGAATTAACAAAGCAGAAGCTGAATATTGGAAGAAGTCAGAGGGCTATCGCATGGGCTGGAGTGATGAAATATTAGGCTTTGATTGTGGTGGGCAGCAGTGGGTTTCTGAAACCTGCTTCCCTGCAGGGACCCTAGCAAAGCCTAATATGAAGGATCTGGATTATATAGAGGAGCTGCTGCAGTTGATTGAGAAGGAAGATATACCCGCACCGGCACCTATTGAGCAGCGTTGGACTGCCTGCAGCAGGAGTCCCATGAGCCCAGCATCAAGCTCTCAAGAAGATGACATATTTTCATGGGTAATTTGCTCTGCACATTACCTTTTTCATTATATTTAACAAGGATTCCTTGTTGCCACCATCCACCTCTGGTTGTTTATATATTTTACTGCTAATTTGTTTCCTGTTGTAATGAATATTGGATAACTTGGTTAAACAGTCGGACTGGGCAATTGATATACAAGATGACAGATAGTTACTCTGCCTACAAATCTACAATAGCTATCATTTGCATTTCTGACAGCAAATCTGTCTACATATAGATATAGGTAGTCTTTCTTATAATATATTATTACATATTTAAACAGGAATCTCTGTTTAAACAATAGAAAAGAACCTTGGACATTTGCTCTCATGGGCTTGAAATTACCACATTGATTGCACTTGGAATTTGGCTAGTTTCTGCATATGATGTAGTTTAGAGGATGCTCCCTCTTGCTTCAGTGGTACTATGTTTACATGTACAAAAAATATTTTCTTCAACTTCAATGTAGATGATCTGTTCACATGTTCTGCAGCATTTGTTATGTCCCCTCCAGAATTTCTAAGGTGTAAACCACAATCGAGCAATATTTAATGAATACATGGTAGGCAACTGACTGTATATAGATATTTAACTGGTTCCGGGAGAACCGTGCAATTTCTATGATTCTTTTTTCGAGATTTCATTATCGATACTCTCCATGTGACACTGATGTAGTAGTACTTCTTTGAGAAATGTCACAAAACATTATGCAGTTTCACTTTGTAGTGTGTAACATTAGTGTTAATGACCCGATTTATTGTGATCAATATGCAGGTTGGGATAATAATGTACCTCCCAACGTCGGATGCTCGACAAAGGAAGGAAATTACAGAGGAATTTTTTAATTACAGAAGTAAGACGCAAACAAATCTGTGGGATGGTTATTCTGCATATGAACACTGGGCCAAAATTGAGGTGCGAACTTTCACTGCTTGATGCAAGATCTGGGCAGCTACTTTTATTAATTGTTTGTTAGTACAGTCCATTGCTGCAGAGATGGTTGAAATTAACATCAGACATGTTAATTTCGAGAGAATGGCCTCCCTTGCATTGTATGCATAGTATGATGCATGATACCACTGTCCAGTCCGCTTTGTTTGCAATATCACATACTGTACTGATCAACATTTCTTCGCTTTTCTTAGGTTCCGAAGGATAAGGATGAACTCACTGAACTCCTGGCTAGGTTGAGGAAACGTTTCCCAGTAGATGCATATAACAAAGCACGCATGGAGCTTGACCCTAACAAGGTTCTTTCCAATGCAAAGTTAGAGAAGCTCTTCCCAGTAACAGAGGTCCAACATGTAAAGTAAGGTTGTGCTGATTGTTGACATGTTTGAAGACATGTCGGGGATACTTAAATCAATAGCCAAAACTACAATTCTGGTGGTTTCTCGTTACATAACCGGATATGAAGAGTTAAATTCTTTGTAGAACGTGGTCTGTTGCTGGAGAAGGGTTTTAGTGCTCCTCTTGGATCAGTGCTTAGTACTGAACTGACGCGTTTGTTGCTGGAGGCTTTTATACTTGGGAACATCCATGCCTGTTATGAGACTAAATGGTCTGTTTTATCAAGAGAAACGGCATGTAACCTTTTGCAGCAGAAATAAAGTGCGTGAAATAACAATTTGATGCGCTTCAAGAAATTAAAGATTTGGCCAGTCTAATTAGCTTTTATAAACCAAAATGATAGTTATTATTCGATAATAATCTACTAGTACTTGCTTTTAGCTCGCCTATAATTGTGATAAGTGGTGATTAACAGCGGAAAAAGGGAGTGGACCTGCAGTAGTGTAAAAATAATTATAAAACCTTATTTCGTTCGGTTTGAAAAGTTTGGGGTGTGTTTTTCTCCGTTATCAGAGTTTAGGGACAAATCAGACAAGTGCAAATTAGAGGGGAATGTCTATATGAGTATTTTGTTAAAAAAAAAGCCCAGATCTCGGTTAATAAGTTCTGATGCAAATAGATAATCTTATATTTTTGCATCTTTTAGTTCTTAAGGTACATGGTTTTTGTCTTTTTATTTGGTTTAAAAATTGCGAGACATGTTGTCCTTGCCTCGACGGTGCTGTCACCAGCGTCGACAAGCCCTCATTGACCGTTTTCTATCGCGCTCATTAACCTTGCCTTCCTCTGTATATCCACTCCCTTCTCAAAGCAAGTTTCTATCTTCTTCAAATCTAGTGAGATGTCTCTACAAACTTTTTTGTTTGGTTTGAAAATTGCGAGGCATGCTGTTGTCCTTGCCTTGATGGTGCTACTACTAGCGTCGACGAGCCCTCATTGATTGCTCTCTGTCGCCTCATTAACCCTGCCTTCCTCTATATATCTACTCCCTTCTCAAAGCAAGTTTCTATCTTTTTCAAATCTAGTAAGATGTCTCTACATCATCTTTTAAGTCTAGTGAGATGCTTCCACATCACCAAGCCACTTGATTTCTTGGCTACATATCCCGCCCACCCCATGCCTCCTACTCATGACTCTGGTGGTGGCGCCACATCCTCGTTGCATTGTCTTCACTGTTACCTACTGCCAGTCAACTGCTACCTCGTTCTTTCTAGATCAAGAACTACATCACTTTTAACCTTCCCACAAGCCCCCGAACTTGCCCGAAATTTTATCCTTTGTCTTAGCCATTGTTGTGTTGCTGCCGAAGTCGGTAAACTCACCAAGAGAAAGAAAAGTTGAAGTATGAATGTTTGTACTAACCAAAGGTTGGGAGCTAAATTATTGTTGTATAAACAAATCAGTTGAGCGTTATTTAGGAAATCTCTTATTCAATAATCTACCAAAATTATCTTTTGAGTTATAGATCAAAGTGACAGTTTTTCTTCGAATAGCTCATCCAAAGTTGTAATAGGTGAAGATTAACCGTCAAGAAAGGTAGACATGGAGTAGTGTAAACATACTCTAAACCTTGGGTTCTCTTCGGTTTTGAATAGTTTGGGACGTGTCTTCTCCGCCATTAGACTTCAAGGGCAAATGGGACAAATGCAAACTAGAGGGGTAATTTGGACTTTTCTCATATAAACACATTCTAGAACCCCATTTTGTTCGGTTTAAAGAGTCCAGCGCGGATTTCGTTCATTATTACCGTTTAGGGGCAAATCGGACATACTAAATTTTTACGGGGTATATTAGACATTTCGATAAAAATGAATATACTTTTACAGTATAAACACGTTCTAAACTCTATTTCATCTTATCAGAACATTTCCAAAAACTTAGCTAGACAGAAAAATATTAGGTCACCTTAAAAAGAGGTTAAGATGAGTCACTCCTCCCCCTCCCAGCAATCCTTCACCACAATAGAATCGGCTGAGAGCGCGACCGCCGCCACTTCAATAGAAACCGCCGAGAGCACCACCGCCGCCCGCGACGTGTCCCCTCCCGCCGCCGTCTCCGCCGCGCGCGACGTTTCCCCTCCTCCTGCCGCCGCCCGCGACGTTTCCCCTCCCTCAGCCGCCGCCTCCGCCGCCCGCGACGTTTCCCCTCCCTCGGCCGCCGCCCCCGCCGCTGCGCGCGACGTTCCCCCTCCTCCTGCCGTCGTCCCCGCTGCTGCGCTCGACGTTCCCCCTCCCGCCGTCGTCCCCATGGCGGCGGAGATGGAAGTCGACGACGTCGACGTGCATGAGGTCCCCGAATGCATAGCGTCGATGATCGACCGCGGCAGCGTGGAGAGCCACCGCCTGTTCCTGGCGCGCCGCACGGCAATGGAGATGCTCCGCGACCGCGGGTACAGCGTGCCGGAGGCCGAGATCGCCCGCACCCTCCCTGAGTTCCGCGCATGGTGGGCTGAGAAGCCTGGGATCGAACGCCTCGCCTTCACCACCACCCTCGTCTCCGACCCCTCCAAGAAGGTATATCTCGCCCAATCATTTCTTGCGATACCATTTCTTTCATCTGCTCATCTGCTCATGTGTTTAAGTTGCGACCTATGGAGTTATTAAATTATTATCGTGGTCATGATTTATTTTTACTCATTAGCGTTCGTCTGGGATATATACATGACGGGAAAAGTGTTAGATTGAAAAATTAGGACAACTAGGTATACACACTGCACATTGCTTCAGGGATGTTGGTTCTTCTAGAAAATGTTTGGGAGTAACATAATAATGAAGTTGTGTTTTCATTTGTGTTATAGTACTATCCAGTGGTTGTTTAATTTATTCTGTGGAATGCGAAATATACTTTTCAGGAAAAAAGTTTGCTAAAAGATTGCTAATGCGTATGATAAAGAGTATTTTACCATGGCACATTTGCCTTTTTGTGTTCCAGTGATATCATATACTCCTACTTGTTAGTTTGTAAATAGGTAAAAAGGGGGATAAACCCTGCATCTGGTAGGGGTTTTTATTATGGTTTAGCAAATTAGTATTCTTGTGGTTTTATCGTCCATGCATAGCGCCATCTTTAAATGGGTTCAATTTATTATTTAACTGTTGAAACTTAATGCTTACATAATCGGTATACTTCCACGCCTGCTGTTAGAGTGCTTATATCTATATCATTTTTCCATGCATAATGCTATTTCTTGGAGTGTCTATTTTTGTTACCTTTTGGTAAGGGGGTTAAAATAAACTCTAACTCAATCACTACTCAGGTACAACTTGTATTCTGTCCACCAGAGCCTGTCAAAATCGCAACTATCCGAGAGATATATCTCCAAACAAAAGAAGAGAACTTGTCCAGGCTTGTTCTGATACTGCAGAGCAAAATATTATCTAGAGCTAGAGAGGCTATCAAGGAGATCTTTAAATTTAAAGTGGACATATTCCAGGTTTGTTTTTGTTTAGTTTTTATGGCCTTTTTTCCAACGGAAAGTTCTGGCAATAATGCTATATATATATCTAATTCATATACATGCTTCTGCAAGTTATGCTCTTAAACCAATAATGCTATGTTCGATTAATATTTCGTGACTTTAATCATGCATACGTTTTGTTTACTGTCTTATAATTTGTTAATATACTCTGGTTTACACATAAATTGAGGTGTTTTTCCAATGGTAGGCCACAGATTTACTGGTAAACATTACTAAGCATGTCCTGAAACCCAAGCATGAAGTGTTGAGTGCAGATCAAAAGGCCAAGCTCCTCAAGGAATACAATGTGGAAGACTCACAGGTGCTTGTCTATAATTTGCTAACAGTGCTTTAGAATCTGTTACCAATTTTTGATGTCAGTAATCAAATAATGTGATGCTTTTGTGAAACTACATTTGTTGTAAAATATGGTTGCTAATGTGAATAGTAAGTTGTATGGTAAGCGGTAAGCCCAAAGGGCAAACAGATCCAAGTACAGTAGAAGTACCCTTGAGTGTATTAAATTTACCATATACAAAATATGCCATATTTTACGATAAATGTTGATCCTCTACATTATTTGCATAGTCACATGTTGATCTGCATCATATTTGTTATTGCTGTATCCTTGTTATGTGGTAAACATACCAGTGATCCTCTTTATATTCATTATGAGAAATGGATAATTTTCTTTGTTTTGATAGATGGAATCTTGTTGTGCCTCAAAGCCAAATCACTTTTGTTTTCACTACCATTTTACTCCTTCCGGTCATTAATATATGGCATTTTAACACTAAAATTACTGTCCTGAAATACCTTTACATCACTTCGCTGAAATGGTGCTTGTATCTTTCAGTTGCCACGCATGCTAGAGACTGATGCTGTTGCTCGCTACTATGGCTTTGACAAGGGAACCGTGGTTAAAGTTACATATGACGGCGAACTTACTGGGAAGCGTGTGGCATACCGATGCGTCTTCTGAGGGATCCATGTGTTCCTATGGATGAAGGTTGTAGTAAGTTATTAGCTACTAGTTGTTGATCTATCATCTATGTGACTCCTCTTTGCGTGATTTACCTGAATGTAGTTGGGAAACTTGCCCTGTTGCCCATGAAAGTTGGGAAATTTACCTGAATGTAGTTGGGAAACTTGCCCATTTAAGTTGGGAACTTTACCTGAATGCAGTTGGGAAACTTGCCCATTAAAGTTGTTCGGTAGTGGTTTTAAGATATTCCTTAACAAATATGGCACAAGATGTTTTCAGTGGCCCTTAATCTCAGCGGGAATTTGAAGGCTTAACTGGCTTAAAATCACAATGTGATGAACTGAGAATCACCCATTCGAATTCAAGCAGTATCCGTTAACGGATTCCATTCTATTTTGTAAACTAGATGTTAGTATCCCTTTTACAAATCAGTATGTCAAAAACCGATCAGACAGAAGCAAGAAAAAAAAATCAGTGTCAAATGACCAGTCAGATGCTAAATCAACTATGCCTTGGTCTTATTGTGTGGGGCAAAATTTCTTCATCGACTGCCTTTCTCTTGTGGCTGTTGGTGCTAGTGCTGCTGCTGCTGTTCTCGCTTGTGGGGTTACTGCTGTTGTTGCTTTCGCTGTTGCTTTGCAGGTGTTGTTCCTGCTGGTAGTGCTCCTTGCATCTGCTTTTCAGTATGTGGGGCTTCAGCTTGCTCATGTCGGAGAGCCGAACTGGTTTGAGGAAAAATTCATCAGCTCCTTCCTCCAGGCATCTGATTCAGATAACAAAATCATAACTGTATCAGAGTTTATTCTAAGATCAAAAACCATGATATGCAATCCAGAAATTGAACACAGAATTATTCTCCATGTACTATCCATTACAAATTTCTTTTTTTATTCATATCTTATGATATCTGGAGGATTTTTTTTTACTTTACTTTTAGAGTGCCCTCTTGTTGCTCCATTTGTTGTGCATGTATAATAGAATATATTGTGACAAAGACATGTGGTGCTAGTTAGTTGTCTGCAACTAAAGACCATTTTATTAGACACCACATCATGGAAGATCGACAAGATTGATTTGCGTATCACTCCATATCTTCATTATTGATTTTACACCAAAACTGTCGAGATAGAATATTAAGACGACGTGAGCTGTGGGGCTTGTTCCTTAATTATACTACATGTGACTCCAAATCAATTAAGGATTCGGAGAGATCTCCATATCAAGTTTAGCCTTAAACCAGCTTGGTTCTATATTTGATTATTTTTCACAAATGATAAGGTTTCCACTACCTTTTTTCTCTATATGCATACAAAGATGTTCTCCTTTTTTGTGCTCTATGTTTTTACTAAATTATCTGCACATCTGACTTTGGCATGTTCATCCAAATATCATAAGATGCTTGTATTGTAATAGATGGTCGAAATAATATGGTAGATCCATAAGAGTGTTCACCTATTGATCCTTGAAGGAATGTTATCCGATGACATGATCACAACTGGGATGTCCCTTAAATAAGACGATTCCTGATTGAACAAACCAAAAGGGAAAAAACTGTATTCAGGAACTGACCTCACTGTCATCTTGAGTAGATCAAATCAAATGGTTGGTACAATCAAATAGAGCAGAGATGGTAATTACCTTGATCTTCTTGAGAAGATCATATCCTGTCATGCCAGGCATGCAGTAGTCTGTGATGATCAGGTTCACTCCAACCTCCTGTTTATCCATAAAAGAGCAATTTAGAAACTCTTGTTCAGAACAAAACACAATTTTTTTTCATGGTTAGCACCTATGGTACCATTCATCTTCTTACCTGCTGATCTGATTGAGTAGAAATTGGGCTGTCCTCATGATCATGGAGCCCCAAGAACTCCAGAGCCTTGCTCCCCGAATCAACAGTGGTTACTACACAAACAAAAGCCAAACCTACCATCAGGTGCCAATTCATACAGCAACTGAGAGAAGAAAAGAGTCTGCAAGCACAAAAGAAAAATCTTGTAATACCTTGGAAAGAAGAGGTCTTGAGTAGCCTCTCGATGAGCTTCCTGTCAGGAAGGCTATCATCCACAGCCAGGACATGGAACGGAGCCTCTATAGCCACTGCCATGGAAGAAGGCAAAGCTTGCACAGATATGTTTCTCTTCTCTGGAAGAACAGAAGGAAGAGGCTACAAGGAGAAAGCAAGAATGGTAGAAGAGAAGATGCAGATGGTGTGTGTGCTTGGCATGAAAGGCTTTGCTTTACAAGGTTGTTTGGGTGTGGTTGAGCTTATATATATACATAAGCATGTGAAAGGATTCTTGGAGATATGAAGAAAGAAGAAAAGCTGATGGGGAAAACAGGTGTGATGACTAAAGAAAATCCTGCCTCATGGAAAGCAAGATCCCGGGCAGATTTGCTGCAAATCTTGCCAGGAATTGACTCCACAAAGAATAGGCCCCCGGCAACATCAGTAGTACTCTTTGTATTCTAGAGCAAGAAAGATGGTCCACCATTTTCTTTTGCTCCCTATCCCTTTTTCAAATCCTTTTCTTCTTTAGTTTTTAGTTAATTGGGTTGTCCTCTTGTTGGATGACCTGAAAGACTGAAAGATACGGATCGTTTTAGGCGATTTGGTAAAGCAAAAGAAAATTCTTCTCCATGTGTGACCTGCCAGTTTGCTGCATCAGATTTGTTGCTGTACATCAACACATATATTGCTACAATCACAGTCATTTCTTGGCACTCAAACTGTCAGTCTGTCGCACATATCGTTTCATCAAACTTATGTGAAGTCGCATGTTTGCATGGTAACACTGCACACGCATCCATCATCCATGCATCAGAGAACAAATCAAAGATTAGCTGGTAATGTTCAGGGCCAGGCTGGCAGATATCTGAATTCTGTAGCCACATACACAGACTGCTAGTAACTGATAAGCATCGCCTGTACAAGATTAGAATATAATCAGCTAGTAACTGATAAGCATCGCCTGTACAAGATTAGAATATAATCAGGCTTCAAATCCTCGGATCGGATGGGGTTGCCACACCAACCAAGAAATCCTCCTGATCGGACGATTTCTCGGTCGCTACCAACTTTCCCCAGCCAAATCTTGGCGATGCAGCCAGCAACTTTCCTTATCATATCATCAGCGACTCAGCGAGTAGTAAGGCAGGCAAAACACTTAAAACACACACACATGGAACGTGAAGTGGTTCGCGGAGTCACCCAAATCTGAAGGCGTGGATCCGGTGACGCCTGGCACGGCCAACTGAATAAGATCGAGAAGTGGAGATGATTCGATATGATATCGCGTTCGATCGCCGCGTCGCTTTCCAGGGCAGCGATGGTTTTGACATGATCGAGCGCGAGGAGAGGAGACGAGAGATTTTGCTCGGAGTATCCGCTGCCGATCACCACGAAAGTGGCGTTTTCCTGTGCCGCGGATACGCTCCCGATTCCTACCCCACTTGCGCTTGCGCCTTTCTCTTTCCTTGCAACTGCCGGGCTCTTGTCGTGAACATATTTCCTCTCCCAAAATAAACCAAACTTCTACCTTCTTACGGTCTTACCTACCGCCAATCCATAAATCGAAAAATTTTATTACTTCAATACCCCTCACCTACTCACCAACCAATACAAATTTTACATTAATTAAGGATAATTTGGTCTTTTGCTTCTTTCCTTAATGGTTTCTTGGGATTTTAGGGTCTGGTTTTATCAAGGGGGAGAGGGAGTATTTTGGCTCGCGTTTCCTTGACCTGTTCAATCCCAGTTTGTACGTACGCGCGCGCTTGCGTTGCATTTGCATGTACGTGTATGTGTGGTGTGGACTTCACTTGGGAGCGAAACGGAACAGAGCGTGGAGGATTCCGTATCATCAAACGCGGATTCAAAGGCTTGGGTATCTTCTCAGATTTCCACGTACTATTTGATATGAACGTCGTCTCTTCAGTACAGGCGTACAGCTGTACAAGCAACCGACGAAAACAGCAAGAAAGCATCCAGTACTATCACTGTATCACATCGCTGCTGATTGTAATGGAGTCGGTAACGGAGAGGGATTCATGCAGTCATGTGAAACGTGCGAATCGATTGTATGCTCAGAAAAGTCAGAATAGTTTCCGTCCAGACGAAAATTTTGTAGCCGAAGCGAGGCTCTGTAGTCTGTACACGGACGAACGTTACGTTACGACCGGCGGCCGAACCACTTATGGGCCAACACAAATGGGCCTCAGATACATTCCAGTCCAGTTCAGGCTCAAACTATATGGGCCGCACCTACACCACAGTCCCTATCCGGCCCAACTTATAAAGACTGCACGCACGTGGAATAAGTTCATCTGAGGTCCCTTAACTTTACACCGAATCCGATTTTCGTCCCTCGATCGGAAAACCAGACACAACGGGTCCCTCAAGTATCAAAACCGGTGTAGATTAAGTCCCTCGGCGGTTTTGAGGGCGGTTTTGGCTGACGTGGCACCTACGTGACCAATTTGACTCGGTCTTCGTCCGACGTGGCATTGACATGGCGCTTACATGGCAATTCGACCCGGAAAAATAATAAAACCCGTGGGACCCACATGTCGGCCCCACATAGAAAATAATAAAACAAATCGTGGGACCCACGTGGGTCCCACATGTCAGTCAAACTCACCCTTTCCTCTTCTTCCTCCTTTCTCCCCGTCTCCCTCTCTTCATCTCTCTCCCCTTTCCTCTCCTCTTCCGGCGAGAGCGGCGAGCTGGAGGGGCGGCGAGACCAGCGCCCGCCGGCGAGAGCAGCAAGCTGGAGGAGGAAGCCGGGGCAATAAAGGGGGATCGGCGACGGCGGTGGGCGGAACAGATCGACCCGGGCGATGGCAGGTCCTCCCGGAGCAGTGCCGGCAATCAAGATCCGACAGTGGCGGCCGGGAGAAGGGCGGTGGCCGGCGGGGAGAAAGGGCGGCGTGCAGCGATGGTCGCCGGAGGAGGAGAAGATGCGGCCATGCTGGGAGGCGTGGCGGTGGCAGCTGGAGGAGGACGTCCGCCACGCGCTGCTCCCCCCCGGTAGTGGCGGCGGCGCGGGGGTCCTGGGAGTCGCCGAGGATGCCGAGGTCGACGTCGACGTCGTCCGCGGCCACGGCCATGGTGTCCCCGTCCGCATCCGCGTGCGCCACAGAAGTGGCGGCATGGGGAGCGGCGCCTCAGCTACTGCAGCGGCGGCGTCAATGGGAGGAAGGGGAAGCGGAAGCTTCTCGCTCCAGTGGGCTGCTGCTGACGAGCTCAGTGGCGGTGAAGCGCGACGGATCGAGCGGCATGTCACCCTCACTCCCCTCTTCTTCCACCTCTCAACCTTTTGTCGGTGGGGAGCCGGCGTGGTGACTGGGCATCGGCGGTGCGCGGGAACACAAGGTAACGACGGCGTGAAGGAGGGCGGCGTCGTTGGCGCGGCAAGGGAGGTGCTGGCGACGACGGGGGCGGTGGGAGATGAGGAGAGCATCGGCAGCGCGGGAGAGGGTGACGGGCGGCGTGGCAAGGGAGGAGTTGAGCGGCGGCGGGAGAGAGGGAGGAGGCGACGGGCGGCAAGGGAGGAGCTGCGCGGCAGGAGAGAAGCTAGGCGGCGACCGCCGCCGGGGAGGGCGTCGCGACGGGCGGCAGAGAGATGGGCGGCTGCCGGCTGCCGGCGGGAAGAAGGTGCAGTGCCCCGCTTCTTGCCACTGCCGCTCCGCCCGCCGCCGCTCCACCTGCCCCGCTCCGCTCCGCCCGCGGCCCACCGCCGCCCTGCTCTGCTCCGGCCGCCCCGCTCCGCCGGCCCGCTCTGGCCACCACCGTTCCGCCCCCGGACCTGCTCCGCTCCGGCCGTCTCGTCCATCGCCCGCTCTAGTCGCCGCCGCCCCGGTCCACCGGTTCAGTGAGGAGAGAGAGAGATGAAGAGAGGGGATATGGGGAGAAAGGAGGAAGAAGAGGGGTGAGTTATGACACGTGGGCCCCACCATTTTTAATTAATTTCTATGCGAAACTGACAGGTGGGTCCCACAAGCTTTATTATTTTTCCGGATCAAATTGACACGTAAGCGCCACGTCAATGCCACGTCAGACGAAGACCGAGTCAAATTGGCCACGTAGGCGCCACGTCAGCCAAAACCGCCCTCAAAACCGCCGAGGGACCTAATCTGCACCGGTTTTGATAGTTGAGGGACCCGTTGTGTCTGGTTTTCCGATCGAGGGACGAAAATCAGATTCGTTGACAAGTTAAGGGACCTGAGATGAACTTATTCCCACGCACGTAGACCTTCCAGCCCAACTTATATGGGCCTCGCGTACACCACAGTCCCGTTCCGGCCCAGCTTATATGGTCCACACGTACGCCACAAGGCCGTTTCGGCTGATGGGCTGATGCGCGCGCGGCCTCTCGGTGCGGATTTGATCCACAGCCGTTGTGTCTGTGTGCGGACGGCCTGGTGCTCGTGCGTTGGTGCGGCACACGAGTTCACTGTTGAGATACAGTAGATAGGCAGATGGCCGCAACAGCCATACTGTATACCATGCACTAGCATACAAAATGGTATCTCTTATAACGATTTCAATGCTGTTTCTCGGGCAACTAGCCCTGCCACGTGGCGCATCCTAATTTCTGGGTTTGCTCCCCATGCACAGCCATCACTTAATCTCAAGCTAGCGGCTTGCCAGCGATTTGATTGGACCACGTGTCATATTTAAGTTTTGAGATAAATGGAGGATTTTACTATTGGTAAAAAAAGAAAAAGAAACTCAGTAGGCTACAACGAGAACGTTCTCGCTTCTTGGGCCAATCGGGCTCTCAACTTTATACTCCTACACAGTGAAAAACCAATCACTTAACTGGTCCTTTCCTACTCATTAATGGATCCCCTACCATAAGTGATGCATGAAAAAAATAATAATAATAAATTAAATCTAGAGATTTCAATAAACTCAGCATCTAGAGAATTCTGGCTTGGTTGATCTTATGACAAGAGATGGTAGACAAAAAGATTTGAGACAATGGCCGAGCATGGAGTGTCCTCTTTTATAAATAAAAAAAGATAATGCCTCATGCCTTGCTGCGAATTTATGTTAGATATTGTAAAAATGATTAAATGATTTGGATTGAAATATTATGAAAAAGATTTGAGAATGATGATTTAGCATGTGTATGTTTAGTTTTAGAATGAAATAAATTATAGATATAATTAATACTCCATCCGTTTCACAATATAAGTCATTCTAGCATTTCCCACATTCATATTGATAATAATGAATCTAGATAGATATACATGTCTAGATTCATTAACATCAATATGAATATGGGAAATGCTAGAATGATTTACATTGTGAAACGGAGGAAGTATATGCTTGTATGTTGAGCTTTATGTGTATTTTTTTAAATCTGTACACCTCACAATTGAAACGTAATTTCAAATCCATAATCAATTCATTATCTAAAAAATTCATTATCAATTTGAATTTCTTTATACAAATTCATCGTTTTAAATTTAAATACTAAATACATTTATCTGTCAAACTCTGATTCATTTTTTGAAATTAAAAACAGACAAAATGATTCACTCAGATCTAAAACTTCAGCAAAAATTATATACATTGAATTAGCTCTGATAAATAAAAGTCTTGCAAAGAGCACATGGGAATGTAACATAGAGGGAAAAAATAGGTGATAAACTAGAATGTCCGCCCACAAATTATAATTTTCCACACATGTAGAAACACAAAATACTAGGGACGCAAAACATGTGAAACTTATTGAGTTTTGATGATAATGCAATCTTTATGTTAATTTGGAACTTAAAACTTCATCAAAAATTTTATTTGAATATACAACTTTTGCATCAATTTTAAATAAATAAAACTAATTCTTATAAAATTCATAAAATGTAAATTTCTTATTAAAAAAATGTGCACAGGCTATCAAGAAGACACGTTATTCTGCAAGATATAAATTAGGCGCACCAATGGGTGCGCCCATTTTCTAGTCTCCACCGAAATAACACCATCAGCAACAGACAATTCATGCGTGTGTGTGATCTATCATTACTATAGTAGTATAATAGTATGTCGCTACAGATAACATTGTTATCTTGCACCTTGCACGATGAAGTCGTCACATCACTTACCGCACACATGCTCTTTCGGAATGCTTAGTTTAATATACATGAAATTTGTTCCAAATGTGGCCTCTCTTTTCTATTTAGAACTCCTAAACTCCCTTCATCTCAAAATATACATCTTTATAGTTCAAACATAGATATATTATTGTCCGATTTGAATTGTAAAGATATGTATTTTCTCTATCCTGAAATATATAGTAACTTTTAACTATATATTCATGTTAGCATCTAAAGTATTGTTTACTAGAGTTGAAGAGGATTTTGAATACATTGAGAAGTACCCCCTCAGCCCCTCTTCTAAACCAGTACTCCCCTGTTTCAAAATATATTAAATTTTAGCTATAAATCAGGATAGGTTCTCTATACAGGGTGTGACACATGATAGTACTACGGATATGGATATATCTCTATTAAGTTCGTTGTACTAAAAATATATCATATCTTATATCTTTTAGATTCTTTCTTTAAGATGGAGGGAGTACTTCTCAGTGATCTTATACTCCTCTTAATCTCTTCAAGGCTACAAAGCCGTATTTTCGGTTCTAATATGAATATTTTTTATGATATGATGTATGTATATGATTCCTTTTGAGGTGCATATGAAACTCCATGTTCTGATGTTCTTTTTCTCAAAAGTCATTCCATCATATTTTCCCATCATGTGCATGCTGCCCCATACATTCCCCTTTTGGACCAAACAACATTATTTTATGCATCCAACTCTAAACTAATAATAATCACCACTCCAAAAAAAATCTAAACTAATCCCTTTTATTAAACTCTTTCCTCAATAATTTAATCAGCCACCTACAAATACCCCCACAAACATCCTACCCTTTGGAGCAGATCCTCTGGTTGTCGGAGCCTCATCAATCTCACTCATTCTCACTCGCTCCTTGCCCACGACGCGCACGGCCACGCCGCCATGGCCGCGGCCGCGCTGCTCCTCCTCGCCGCGGCCGCCGCCGCCGTCGTGGTTGCCATGGCGCTCAGATGGCTCCTCCTCCTCGGGGGCCCCGCCGCCGGGAGGCTGGGGAAGAGGGCGCGGATGCCGCCGGGGAGCACGGGCCTGCCTCTGATTGGCGAGACGCTGCGGCTCATCTCGGCGTACAAGACGCCCAACCCGGAGCCGTTCATCGACGAGCGCGTGGCGCGCCACGGCGGCGTGTTCACCACCCACGTCTTCGGCGAGCGCACCGTGTTCTCCGCCGACCCGGCCTTCAACCGCCTCCTCCTCGCCGCCGAGGGCCGCGCCGTCCACTCCAGCTACCCGTCCTCCATCGCCACGCTCCTCGGCGCGCGCTCCCTGCTCCTCACCCGCGGCGCCGCGCACAAGCGGCTCCACTCCCTCACCCTCACCCGCCTCGGCCGCCCCGCGTCGCCGCCCCTCCTCGCGCACATCGACCGCCTCGTGCTCGCCACCATGCGCCAGTGGGAGCCCGCCGCCACCGTCCGCCTCATGGACGAGGCCAAGAAGATCACCTTCAACCTCACCGTCAAGCAGCTCGTCAGCATCGAGCCGGGACCGTGGACCGAGAGCCTCCGCCGCGAGTACGTCAAGCTCATCGACGGCTTCTTCTCCATCCCCTTTCCTCTCGCCTACTTCCTCCCTTTTACCACCTACGGCCAGGCCCTCAAGGTGCTCGTCCTTTTGCCTCCATTCATTTTTTTTTCTTTCCCTATGCATCTTGCCTAACAACAAATTGGCGTAAGCTATTGATGTACTCCTATATCTCTCATAAAAATGTGGCATTGCACGATTTGATTCCTGCAGGCGAGGAAGAAGGTGGCCGGTGCACTGCGGGAGGTGATAAAGAAGAGGATGGAGGAGAAAGCGGAGAATGGTGGCTCCATTGGGGATGATGAGGGGAAGAAGGAGAAGAAGGACATGGTGGAGGAGCTTCTTCAGGCGGAGGGTGGCAGCTTCTCGGAGGAAGAGATGGTGGATTTCTGCCTTTCTCTGCTGGTGGCTGGGTATGAGACTACGTCCGTGCTCATGACGCTCGCGGTCAAGTTCCTCACTGAGACGCCTGCTGCGCTAGCTGAGCTCAAGGTATAAAACTATTCAAATTAGTTGTTTGGTAATTGTCAATTCTTGTATACACGTGCGGTAGTAGGTACCAGGTGCTGTCAATTGTCAAATAACGGCTGAAATAGGAAGGAATTTCATTTATTATAGTTGGGTGTTAATTGTTAAAAATATGGTTGTTAGACTATCTTTCACACCAATTCTGTCCAAAAGAGAAGTTTCTACTTTCTATTTCCGGTCTGTTGTTTTTAGTCAAGTTCAACTACAGCTTTGTTCCTGGTTTGTTATTGACTTGAATACTTGATCCTGAGTATTAATTTATTATTGACTCGAATCATTTATGTTCTTGAGTCCTGACTTCTTTTAGTTTAACTGTGTAAGAATGAATCTTCACTTCAGTCAGTACTCTGGTTTCCTTTTTTTTTTTTCTCATTTTATTTACTTGCATTGATGAGTGCTAGGTTCCTCAGTCTAACAACAAAGTGAGAGAATCGTAGCAATAATATCACAATAGGTCCAAATCTTAGAAATCTGAACTTTATGACTTTTCCTGGTACAAGTTTTGTTTCCAATATGTTAAGCTTTGAGAGTCCTCAAGATTGGTCCAAGTGGTATTTTTTACTTCACTACATGTGTAACTGATTCCAGATATCTTGCTGATTTTACAGGAAGAGCATGCCAATATCAGGGATATGAAAGGGAAAAACCAACCATTAGAGTGGAGCGATTACAAGTCCATGCCATTTACTCAATGTGTAAGTTGGAAAGCCCTTGTTTTCTTAAAAATTAGCTACTCCTAAAAATATCATGCCAACAGCACGAATCCATCTAGTGTAAATGGCATCTCTTAACTGAACCTTTGAGACAGTACAGTTGGTTTACTCACATCATGATTAAATGAAGGGTTAACATTTCTTCAGGTGATAAATGAGACACTCCGTGTGGGTAACATTATTAGTGGAGTATTCAGGCGAGCAAACACTGATATTCATTATAAAGGTATTTCAATATAAACTATACTAAGCCCACGTACATTTTATTCATTATCTAAAAGAAGTCCCCATACATTTTTCATCAGAAATGCTCATTATGTATGGCATTTTTCTTTGTTTCTTAGATTACACAATTCCAAAGGGATGCAAGATTTTTGCTTCATTCCGAGCTGTGCACCTTAATAATGAACACTACGAGAATGCTCGGACATTTAACCCTTGGAGATGGCAGGTACTCCTAGGGGCTCTGTGTTATTGCTATTGGGTCTACTTATTCAATTATGTCCTGTGCTACAAAAGTAAAATGCACGCTGAAGATATCTGCAACAAATTTGTTCCTGTGCAGATCAACAATAAACTTCAGAATGCGGTAGGGGCCAATATATTTACTCCATTTGGTGGTGGACCTCGGTTGTGTCCTGGCTATGAGCTTGCCCGGGTTGTCGTTTCTATCTTCCTCCATCATCTTGTAACGCGCTTTAGGTGAGCCACCTTAATCTCTCTAATTCAATCGCTATCTTGCTAGCCAGAAAGGTGTAGATAATCTGCAAATGAATTTTCCACAATTGTGATCCAAATTGGACACCAGTCTGATTCCATAACAACTTGACCAATCAATTTGCAGCTGGGAAGAAACCGAAGAAGATAGACTTGTCTTCTTCCCCACCACACGAACTCTCAAAGGATACCCTATCAATCTTCGGCTGCTTTCAGAATCAATTTGCTGACGTTAGATTGTTTTGCAGCTGCTCTTATCTTGGAAGAAAGACTAAACATAGATAAATTTATAGAAAAATAGTTCTCGCATAGGTAGTGCATTTCCCTCTTTTTTGTTGATCTGTAACCTGGTATGTAAACAGTAGGCAGCAGAGTTGTGCTGCTTGTAAAATGACCTAAAATGCTGTGGATACCGGTTACAAGCAACATTTTGTTGTGTACTAGTAGTACTTAGCTAGTCCTATCATCTTGTCGTTTATATGGCTATCCCCTACAGTATCATCAGCAAGATGCTGTTCTATGAGCAACGGGGAAAGGTCACATTCCGTTTCCTCGTTCCACTGTGTTTGGGTGGCAGTCTTTGTCATACCACTATCATAAACTGTTAGCCCAAAATCACTCGGTATCAATCTTGAACTGTTAGTGATTTTTTTTGCTAGACTGGAAAGATTCTGTGACAAGTTCAGTTCTACAGTCTACTGTACATAGATAGCACACAGTGATGTTCAGAAATGGGACCTGCAGGCAGGAAAGCTTGACTGCTTGACCATCCGGTTACCAAGAAAGCAGTGAATGCATGATCTCAGACTTCACAGAATGCAACTATTGATTGTCTAAAAGAACTATACATTGGGCTTAAAACTGCATAAATATGAGTGTGCAATCGAAACAGTATACAGTGCATAGTTCAGATGCAGTAAACCAGTAATAACAACACACATTTGCCTCCATCTTGCACACTAGCTAGCCTGAACTCTGAAGAATCACCACCACTCGTTCAACCATCTCAGTAAACACACAGCAACTGCATGCAGAGCCGACGCTGCTCCAGTGCTCTGTGCTGCTTCCCCTTTCTCTCTCGACGGATCACATCATGGACCTGTCCCTAGCTGCTGTTTGCGACCGATTGCGCACGCTCGCTTGCCTCCATCCCTGCCGACGCGAGTTCGTACTGCGTACATGACAGTACAGTGCAGCAGTAACGTCATCGATGTTGAAACGCTAGCTGATGAGATCGAGTGCATATGGGCCTATCTACCTTTCTCTGTAGGCGATGGATCTGCTACTACTGCTCTGTTAGGCTGTCGCGATCGTGAAAGGGCTGCAAAAGTTTGGGCACTGTCCTGTCGGAGCAATCATGCAATCAGCCATGTTCCTTGCTCGTGCGCATCTACGCTTTCTGGGAGGCGACGATGCTTCCTGAAGCCATCCCGAGCATGCATGGCAATATGGTGCTCTCATGTTCGTGCATAGGATCGATCGCCCTTTGGAGTCCCGTGTAGCCAAAGCCCTGCAGTTTAGATCTTCAGAACATGCAGTGCCTACAGTGACAGTGTTTATGGCAATCAACCGTGGACGCCGTTCTGCTGAATGGGAAACAGAATGTAAGGCCAGTCACATTGCAGGCCACGCATTAATTGACCTTCATGCGCTAAACTACAGGCCAAAGGCCACAAGCCTCACAGCGCAAGTGCCCTCATGAATGGCTTCAAGTGGATCCATGTTACAGTAGTTCTAATAATAACCGAACAGCCGGTCTCTAGCATACCGTATCCTAACATAATTAAAATATCCCGTATATCTCTCACCAATGTTAGGGCACCTCAATATTATAAAAAAAACCAGGTAGTAAGCACTAAATCACTGCTTACTACCTGGTATTAAACATTGTGAGAGTGGTGCATAATTACAATCAGGTCATAGCACTGCTACCGGAAGAACCGAAATAAAAAATGATATGTACCCAGAAATCAGTTCATGAATGTAATGCGCGCGTAGAAAGGTTTATGTCAGAAGCGATTTTTTAACCCGTGAATCCCACCTTATTGTCTGTTTCACAAAAATATAAATTGTGGAGGGTGTCTTTTCCTACTGCCGCTTGTGGTGTGATCCCACACTAATACTCAACCAGTAAACATACATTGCTGATGCCCTAAGCGGGTAGCCGTGTCTTGCAGCGATCCGCCTCAGGAGCAGGCGGGGCGAGCGTCTCCTCTTGGAGGGCTGCGTGATTAAACAGGGAGGCGACTCGCGATGCCACGTATGCGTTTTTCAGACGTGTTGGCGTGAGATTACGTGACACGTACTCGCACTGTGACTGGCCTAATAGAGTCACCTGATTGCCAAATTGCCCCCAATTCTATCTGTTGGCCATGTTGAAAAAAGCCGATCGACCATACGTGACAGCATGCGAGTATCTCGATATATTCGTGCGTGCTGCTTACCAAAAGGAGATTAGAACTGCAGCACCGTGAAAAGCAACTAGACATGCGCACTGCTGTATGTGTAGTGTAGGCCACTGCCAACTTGCACACAAAGGCTGTGTTTAGATCTAAAATTTGGATCTAAACTTCAGTACTTTTTCATCACATCAACATGTCATACACACAACTTTTCAGTCACATCATCTCCAATATCAACCAAAATCCAAACCGACAGACGAACTGATCACATTGCATGCGTGCATGTTCCTCGTTTGCAAGTTGCGACTGCTGCAAATTGCAAGAGCAATCGCCGACCACTTAATTTTTTTTGTTAAAAATATTAGCATGCATGATGCATGCATCTTTAGCGACGTGACGAGTATATTGTAGCATATTCGCAGCAATTAACTATTCCAGAATAGTTGCAAGCGGCGCACCTTTTCAGCATATGGAGTATGTGATTTATCACTCGCAGAAGACACAATGAGCACCAAAGCTCCGTGGCAGAATTTCATATATGTCTGAAAAGAAAAGATTAATCTATATTTATGACGCTACATTTTTTTCTGAAAAAAACAGTCAGCATGTAAGTGTAATGCAACTTCTATATCCCACTATAAATTATATATATTGATATAATATCTACTACATTAGATACATGAATAAATGAACTAACTAAGCATGTTAAGTTGTAATTAAGCATGCTATGATAGCCGCAACGTCTCATGATTTGAAAATTGACATCTGTCAGTTGCCACGGCAATATGCACGGACAGGATCACACTAGCATGGGACTAGGGGTGGGTGTTCGGTCTGACCAAAAAATCAATCTCGGTCTTTGGTCTTTCGGTCATTTCGGTCTTTTGAAAAGTGAGGACCGAATTTCTTCCAAAAAACTCAGGACCGACGAATTCGGTCTCGGTTGGACCGAATTTTGACAGCTTCGGGAGATAAGTTTGGAATGAAGAATTTTGATGAAGGGCGGGCTGGCTGGTTGGAGACGGAGGCGGCGCGATGGCGGCGTTGAGGCAGAGGCGGGCTCGCTGGAGGGCGGAGGGCAAAGGCAGAGGGCGGACCGGCGGAGGGCGGTGCGATGGAGGCGGAGGGCGGAGGCGGCGCCGGCGTGATGGAGGCCGAGGACGGACGGGCGAAGATGGCGTCGGCGCGATGGAGGTGGAAGGCGGAGGCGGCGCACGAGCGCCGAGCGGCCGAGCGCGATGCGATGGATGGGATGGGAATGGGAGGCACGCGCGAAGCTGGGTGGGAGGGAGTGGCTCTGTGGCTGCCTTTAGGGTTTAGTAGTTTACTGAGCTTATTGGGCCTTCTAGGCCTATTGAGCCAAAATTCGGTTTTCTCAGTTCATTCGGTTAACCGAGACCAATGACCGAATTGCCCAAATAAATTTCGGTCTTTCAATGGCTGAGACCGAACTATTAACCGAATTTCTCGGTCTCGGTTTTTTCAGTCGGTTCTTTGGTTCACTCTTATTTTGCCCACCCCTACATGGGACTCAAGGAAATCTGACGCTTTAAAACACTGACTGTGATGGAGAAGAAATCAACCAGCTTTGACTCAAACAAAGCCAAGGCCCATAAGCCCATTTGGAAGTCCAACTTGTTCGCCCGGCAATTGGACCGGTTTCCCGGACGGAATTGGGCCTCCTAAACGGGCTCCCGAACGATGCCAATGCTGGCCCACCTGTACATCTCCCCATAGGAATGGCGTTATTCCGATCAAAGCATCGCAAAGCGGCAACAGCGAACAGTTCAGTAAAATTAAGGGTCTTGGCATATGTTACAGTGTCTACAAAGAAATAATCAATCTGCTTTTGCCTGTTACAATTTTCCGTGCGACCGACTCAACAAACTGATCGAGCCTTCTCTTCCAAAAAAAAACAAACAAACAAACTGATCGAGCCAGGTTACAAATTAAAGACATCATATACATGTGCAGTGCATGCTTGATGATGCACGGTGACAAAATTGCCAAATTAGAGTGCTGATCATGTCCCCGAACCAGAACCAGGCGTGGGCAATGGCCACAGTCCCGCCTCCGCCTCCGCCTGGGTGGGCAGCGCGAAGCGGCAGAGCGGGCAGAGGCGGCTGACCTGCAGCCACTCGAAGATGCAGTTCTCATGGAAGGCATGGCAGCACGGCATCTTCCTCATCGGCTTGTCGCTCTCCTCCTCGAAGGCCTCCAGGCACACGGAGCAGTCCTTCTCCTTCGCCTCGCCGGCCGACGTCTCCTCCAAGGCGGCGATGGCCTCGCTGCACGCCGGGACGGAGCCGAAGCGACCGTTGCTGTACCCTTCCGGTGCGGCAGCGGCAGCGTTAGGCCTCTGGAAGTGCAGGTGGGGCGCCAAAATAAAGAGCGAGGCCGCGGCCGCTGCCGTGGGAGCCTGCAGCCTCCTGTACATGTCGTGGGGCAGCAGCAATCGTCCGGTGGTCGCCATGCTCCGGCGACTAGGACAAGAATGCGCGCGACGCTCGATCGGCACCAATGAGCAGCTAGCCGATCGAGAATTTGAAGATTGATGTGCAGGGACGCGTATATCGGTATGTACCGCGTATGCGTGCAGATTTATAGCTAGGCTCGCATACCACGCACGCGACTACGCCGCTGTGTTCGAGCTAGTTCGAATCGGACATGAAATCAGTAGTCAGGGATGGTAATGCTGGTTCCGTGTTGGAGTCCGCTTGCTGCCTTCGCTGCCAGTGAGTCAGTGCTCATCAGCTGTCGGAGCCTTTGCGGATGCTGTTGACGTGCCTGTTGGCTGTGCTTGTGTCTTCACTTAAAAAGGGTGCCCAGGTGAAAGTGCATATTCTGTACATGAAGTGGGGAACATGTGAGATTTGTACGAGTAATAAATTGCACTTCATTTCAAGTTCATCTTTACATTATAAAGCTGATTGCAAATTAAAAGGTGCTATCTTCTTAAATATCCGAAATTAATTAATTTAACCTGCTTGATCTCTTTTCATCTAGCTACGACTCGGGGAACAAGAAGCGGATGCACATCGTTGCTTCTTCTCCTTCGTCGTGTTCATCTTCGCCCTCGTCGTTGTCCTCCAACTCAGCAGGCATGGCGGAAGTAGATTTTTTGTCCCTCAAAGGGACATCCCCTCGTTTTGTGCATGACATTTAAAAAGTTATAAAAAAAATTTGAAAACAAATGTCAGGATAGAGTCTGACCTATCAGTGCACACGTTGTTCCGGTGGATCGAGTCGGATACAGATTCGAGTTATCATGACTTTTAATACACGTTGCATAAAAAGTTGCTTACAAAGTTACAAAAGAGGAGTCCGAGTGTTGCCCCTGCACATGAACAGAGGTCACTTTACAAATCGTGATTTTATCTTTTGACATGGCATAATTGTGTAATGAACAATGCCAGCAATTCAGATCCATATCTACATCAAAAACTGAAATTGCATCTCTCAATGCTGATCAACTCGTATACTCAATCAGCCGCATTAGCGAACAGTCGATGCAGGCATAGGATTGTCTCTTCACCATCGTCATCGTCGTCGTCGTTCTCTGCCTGGGCCACCTCTTCTTCCTCCTCCGTCTCAGCAGGCAACGGAAAGCGGCAGAGCGGGCAATGGCGGTTAATCACGAGCCAGCTGAATATGCACTGCTCATGGAAGCAGTGCGAATCAGCGCACGGCATCCTCCTCAGCTTGTCGCCCTCCTCGAAGCCCTGAAGGCACACCGGGCAGTCCTTCGCCTCGCCTTTCTCGTCGCCGACGGTAATCTCCGGCAGGCTCACGATCGCCATGCTCGACGCCGGCGTAGCTCCACCGCCATTGCCGTCGTCGTCCGGTTGTAGGATACCGTCCAGTAGGTCCACGATGCTGAAGCCGCCGGTGGCCTGATCGTCGAGTCCGCCGCTACGGTCGGAGTTGCCGGAGAAGCGCGCGACGCCGTCCCCGTCGAAAGTGACGGCCAGCCATGACGCCGCCGTCCGCCTGGTTGGCCCCGGCGTGGAACTTGACGACGTCCTGGAAGCACGAATCCAACTCCAAATGTTGAATCCTTGCTCTGCCCAGTACTGGTCGATGAGCTGTTGAAATTGTTCGTCCGACATGTGCGATGTGTCGGGGACATCGTCGGAGGCGTCGCGCGACCATGGTTCTTCATCCGACATATTCCGGCAGAACGAACAGATTGATATACAGTGATACTACCTAGACTGCAAGATTTATTGTTGGAATCTCTCTTTCAAAATAAACAAAGAGAGAGAGATTTATTGAAGAGCTTTGCAGGGAGATATGCTGTTCGTGTTCGGAGACGGAGTCAAGTTCGAACTCGGTCGTGGCGCACGCACGCAGGGGTGGGGGACGCAGGCCCAAGCACAGTCGGCCTGTTCGTGATAGGCCGGCACGGCCCATCTCACCGAGGAAGCGCATGAGGTGCACTTTTAGGATGTGTTTGGTTCCCGGTCGAGGTTGGATGGGATATGGCGGTCCATATTTTGCTGGAAATGACGATCCAGTTTTTTGTTTGGTGGAGTGAATATGGCGATCCAGTTTTTCGTTTAATTGTAGGGATGAAAGTGGATATGGTGATCCATTTTTTTGTTTGGTTGGGGGAGTGGGATGGATGAGTGGTTGCAATCACCCTTTCATTAGAGGTGGTGAGCATACCACCTTCAAATTCACCAAACCCAAAAAAAATATCAATCCACTACCAACAAAAAAAAACTAAATAGAAATAAAAAGTCAGAAATAAATTAAAGGGGAAGGAGAAAAAGGAAAAAAAAGAAAAAAAAAGTCTCTTCGTCGGCAGCTGCGGCGCCTCATCTCCAGCAGTCGCCGGCCGCCGCAGCGCGTCCTCTCCCGCCGGCCGCTGGTTCGCCTCCTCTCCCGCCGGCCACCGGACCTCCTCCGAGCCGCGGTGGTGGCGGCGTCCCACCTCTTCCTGCTCGCCTCCCGCGCCGCCGTCGCCCCTCTTCCGAGCTCGCCTCCCGCGCCGCCGAGCCCACATCCCGCGCCGGCCGCCGTGCCCGCATCCCGCGCCCTCCACACCGGCCACCGCCTCCCTCGCGTTGTCGTCGATGTCACGTGGTGATGGGGTGAAGCGACCGCCTCCCTTGCTCGCCCAGCTCGCCCGGGCGCTCGGGCGGCTGGATCCGGGCAAATCGGCCGGATCCCCCCATCCAGCATCTGAGGGGAATATTCCTCTCCAGGCCGCCCCATCCCACCCTTGCCCAGCAACCAAACACCCACAAAAAATGGGCCGCCATGTCCTATCCACCCATATCCCTCCATCCAAACACATCCTTAGTCTCCGTGTTCCTTTATTGCCACTGTATTGCCTAAATTTACTCAAAATAAAAATAGCCTTGCATAGTTGCATGGACAAAAATATGTGCATCAAATTAATTTCTAGTCCGTTGTAAACTCCTAATACCAATTGTGTTTTTGACAATACAATGTCCAGCCAAACTCCAATAACCATAAATCTATATTCATCTCTATCTCACGCTTCTTCTGGGTTTTTCTGTTCAGAATCCTTCTCCGCAGGCAAAGCAAAACGGCAGTGTGGACAGAGGCGGCTCACCCTAAGCCAGTCAGAGAGGAGGCGCCTGATGGGCGATCGCTCGCTTAGCCAGCGATCGGTGCCGCACCTCCTTTCTTCCCTTCCTCCTCCCCTTCTTTTCCTGTTACAGTACACCACACAAAAATTTAAAAAAAACAAAAAGTTAGAAAAATTTATGTATAAAAAATTTGAATTCAAATTCAAATTTGAATCGGGTACGTAAACTTTTGACTTATAAACTTTGGATTTATAAACTTTAGGTCTATAAACTTTAGGTGTATAAACTTTAGAGGTATAGAAATACTATATATGAAAAATATTTGAATTTAAATTCAAATTTAAATCAGAAATTTGAATTCAAATTCAAATTTGAATCAGATATAATTCAAATTCAAATTTGAAATCGGGTATAATTCAAATTCAAATTTGAAATCGGGTATAATTCAAATTCAAATTTGAAATCGGGTATATAAACTTTAGGTCTATAAACTTTAGGTGTATAAACTTTATATGTATAGAAATACTATATATGAAAAATATTTGAATTCAAATTCAAATTTGAATCGGATATTTGAATTCAAATTCAAATTTGAATCGGACATAATCCAAATTCAAATTTGAATCGGATATATAAACTTTAGGTCTATAAACTTTAGGTGTATAAACTTTAGATGTATAGAAATACTATATATAAAAAGTATTTGAATTCAAATTCAAATTTGAATAGGATATATAAACTTTTGACTTATAAACTTTTGGTCTCTAAACTTTAAATGTGTAAACTTGAGGTGTATAAATTTACTAAAATAGAAAAGTAATATGGTGCCAAAAAAGGAAACCAGGTGGAGAGAGAGAGGGGGAGGGGGAGGGGGAGAGAACCGATCGCTCTGGGCGATCCCTGGCTTAGTAGCATTTCCGAGTCAGAGATGCAACTCGAGTGGAAGTCATGAGAGCAAGGCATCTTCTTGACTTTGTCACCCTCCTTAAATCCCTCTAGGCAAACCGCGCATGCTTCCTCCTCCCTCGTCTCGGTCTCACTCACCGTCGTCTCCGGCAGCGCAGCGATGGCGTCGCTGGAGGCCGGGACGGCGCAGAACCCGTCCTCACTGTACGCGTCGTCATCTTCTTCGATATCACGATTGATGTGGATGTATGCTGATTCAACACCGTGTGGAACGTAGCTCGGCCCCTGTACGTGTGATAAGTAAAGGTTGATGAGCAGCAACGTATGGGTCTCCGACAAGTTCAGGTCTCTGATCTGTTCATCAGCCATTGTTGCTTTGAGTTTTGAAGTGGATGTGGCTGTGGGGCAAAACCAACAGAGTGTATTGAACTATTGCTAACTAAGCTGCTAGAATCGTTCCCTTTTGTAAGAGGCAGATCGGAATCCGAATCACTCTCGATCAACTGGGACATCATTATTGTTTCTCGGTCTGATTGGGATTCTGCCTCGAATTCGTTTCTTATGTTCCGGTGCTGCGTGCCTGTGTCGACCCTGCCGCTATCTGCAGTTGGCCACCTCTACATGCAATGTTTTCCCATCAACTCAAAACAATACAAGTTTTCAACTCGAAATGTTGGCCTTCAATTCAGAAGGTTGGCGCTGAAATTCTTCCACTTGACTAGAAATTTTGGCTTAAATTACAATGAAGTTGGTCTCACGAGCGATTAATATTATAATTTTGTTTAAACTCATCTGATAATTTAACTTAAGAAGTTGCCTTCATGAAAGATTCTCCACAAGATATCATAACCCCAGTGTATGAGCAACTGCACTTTCTTCTAGTTTCATTGTTACACATAACGAAGCGGGAAAAAAGTGCTTCCTTGCTGAATACCGAACATTGAACTAATCTACTCTGGGAACAAGAAACGGATGCACATCATTGCTTCGTCTTCTTCTTCTTCATCATCATTGTTATGTTCCTCCTCCTCAGCCGCAGGCATGGCGAAGAGACAGTAGGGACAAAGACGGCTGACCTGAAGCCATTTGAAAACGCAGCTCTCATGGAAGTAGTGCTCGCATGGCATCTTCCTGAGCTTGTCACCCTCCTCGAACCCCTCTAGACACACCCCACACTGCTTCTCCCTCGCCTCGCCGACGGACAACTCCGGCATGCTAACGATGGCCTCGGACAACGCCGGCACCGCGCCGAAGCCACCGTTGCTGTAAGCTTCGTCATCATCGGCTGCAAAATAATCAGCAACGCCGCCGCTGTCATCGTCGAACTCCGGTGACAAACCATCGTGTGGAGTATACGCGAACAGGACATCAGGCTCGGTGTTTTCGACCACACTTGCGTTGCGGATGTGCGGCGGCGGATCAGCAGCAGCAGCAGCACGGCGGCGTTGCGGCCTTCGCAGCAGCTCGGCGTCGGCTGGCTGCCGGGTGTGGCCGTACATTACGGCCATCAACGTCAGGCAAAACTCAGCTCGCTGTTGCTCGGACATCACGATGGACTGATCACCGGCCATCCGTGGAGCAATTCCGTTGCCAATCATAGCGGCGTCCTCCGTCTTTCTGCTTGATCACCAAGCGCGTGGGCAGGATGAGACGATGAGTCCTCCGTAGTAGACATGAAACGATTTATAGGAGGGGGTGGCGAAGTGTAGTAGGATTAATCCGATTCCGATTCAAGATGGATGTTATCTTGCCATCTTGGTGGGTATCGCCACCGAGAAGCGGGGCTTTTAACTATTTGCCACTTTTAGATTTGGCAATTAACTATTTGCCACACCTATCTCAATGACATGTGAGTCCACATGTGTCTATGACATGTGGATCCAGTGGCAAATAGTTAATTGCCACATCTAGTTCAATATCTCCCCGTTTGCACCTGAAAGTACTAATGGGCGATCAATCGCCCTAACGATTGGGTAGCGATCAGATCCCTCCTCCCTTCACCTGGTTTCTTTTTTGGCACCGTATTACTTTCCTATTTTAGTAAATTTATGTAACTAAAGTTAGTACACCTAAAGTTTACACATCTAGTTTAGAGACCAAAAGTTTATAAGTCAAAAGTTTATATATCCGATTCAAATTTGAATTTGAATTCAAATATTTTTTATATATAGTATTTCTATACATCTAAAGTTTATACACCTAAAGTTTATAGACCCAAAGTTTACAAGTCAAAAGTTTATATACCTGTTTTCAAATTTGAATTTGAATTATATCCTATTCAAATTTAAATTTGAATTCAAATATTTTCTATATATAGTATTTCTATACATCTAAAGTTTATACACCTAAAGTTTATAGATCCAAAGTTTATAAGTCAAAAGTTTACATACTCGACTCAAATTTGAATTTGAATTCAATTTTTTTATATATAGTATTTCTATACATAAATTTTTCTAACTTTTGTTTTTTTAAAAAAATTTGTGGTATATACTGTATTAAAAAGAGAAGAAGGAGAGGAGGGAGGAGCGTATATGCGGGGGAGGGACGGATGGGTAGGGACGGACCCGCCCATCAGAAGCCCCCGTTTGCACCTTCCGGTTGGGATTCCCCCTCGGATTCGTTCCTTCTGGCTTCTATTCTGGCCACTTGGCGCTGCGTCCCTGCTGCTGATCACTCTTTTAGTTCAACTCGAAATGCTGACCCTCAATTCAGAAGTTCTCGATACTGTACAACCGTAGGTTGGTCTCACGATTAATTTCTTACAGTAATAGTTTTGCAATACTCATATGTCAAACAATTATTTATTATTGTCTTATTGGAAATACAATTTTCAAATATGAATTATACACTACATACCCCAAAACTTCCTGGATGTTCAACCTTAAGTCAGGCTCCACCAAAGAAACCCAGAACATCCTCCAGATGCACTAAACGGAAAAACCATGTTTCAACAAGCACATACTCCTTGCTGGGAATGTGAAACATAGAACCATCCGATATGAAAACCAAGGAGCGTCAAGACTCATTCTGTGGTTTGAACTCTTTGGCTTTCAGATACTTCACTACTAGCCTTGATAGCCCCAACAAAACTGGACATCTTGTTCAGGGCACTCAGGTAAGCTCGCACACTGGAAACAACAATATCCAGTGCGGCACCACTCCCACTGAGGTCAATAGGCAAAGAAATTATTAGTTGATGAGAAAAATTTAATTGATAATAACAATAATAGATGTTGGAAACAACACAGAAGGAAGGTGCCCAGTGAAAAAAAAAAGTAGTATAAAGGACTTACCTGAATGCCCGGTTGAAGGAGTGACCAGTCAAAGCATGTTTAGAGTCGCTGACATCTCCAGTGACAACCACTCTAGTAGTTGCAATTGCATCAATGCCTTCTGTGACCGATGTCATGCTATATTCTCGAAGAACAGTTGGGATCTGTGAATTGCAAATGATTCTTAGATGTTTCATAATTTCTCCAGTTTTACTGAAATGAATGCAGATAGTTTACAAATCATGCCAGTAGATGTAGGTAATTTCTCTGTTAACATCAAAATAGTGCACTCATTTTGTTGAAAGCATGCTCATAAGTCATAACACATCGCATGCTAATCCTTGTTAAGTACTGAATCTCCTATTCTTGTGATTCTTGTATATTTATCATAGAGGCAACATACTGCAAGTTATGTTACCAGATGCAGGATGTTTCATTCTTACATATTGAATAAACACATCCATATTCCATCCCATAAACTGGTATACTAGTGCAAGAACAATAAAAAATATTGCAACTGTCACCTGTATTATATCATCAACAGCCTTGTAAGCTGCATCAACTGGACCTGTTCCAACTGCACATGCAATCTTCTCATCTCCATCCGGACCTATCAGTTTGACAGTTGCTGTAGACAGACCAAGTGTTCCACAAGTTGCCTGCAAAAAGGCTTCATATCAATTTTAAAATATCAACTTCTCCATTAGCCAAAAAGTAGTAAATTGTGGCAAAATTATACCTGTACATCAGCAAGGGACCAAAAAACCTTGGGCTGAAATATCTCATCAGACAACAGCGCCTCAATGTCTTCATCAGTTACACGCTACAATGATTTAAAGCACATAAGCTAGAAGTTATCAAAATGCTTTCTGCTCTACAGACAAAAAAAAAAGGTTGAACATGTCACTCGAGCAACAGAGCACTCAGGAAAACTGGCACCTTTTTCTTCTCTGCAACCTCTTTGTAGCGTTTAAAGAAATCCTCAAATTCCTTGTCAGTGATTTCATATCCAAGCTACATATTGGATGACAAAGTATTGTTCAGCAACGATAACTGAAAAGAAGGCATTTAATTCTAACTAGAAAAATAAAGACAATTCCAATACCTCCACTAGTTTAGATCTCACAGCATGCCTTCCACTGAAAAAAAAAGGAAGACATGAAAGCATAATTATGAACTTGGAGTTGATAATCTCAAATCAGATTTAAGTCATAATTGCAAGCCTATCGTAAGTATTTGAGCAGGATTGCTGCATCAACCTCACCTAATATACAAGAGTAAAGATGAAAAAAAAAATATGGCAACCTCATTTATTCTAGAGAAGTACAGAACAACATATGATAACTAGATAATTCTAAATAAAATGACCAGGCCAGGTAGAGCTTTCCTCAATGTCAAGTGAGCAATGTTTAACCTAAAAAATTAAAAAAAAAACAACAGCAAATTCACTAACTTTAAGCAAAGGATGACATCACACAATTTCTCAAGTAAAAATTGTACTGTGACATGATCTGCATACATATCTCGGAATTTAGACCTTACATGGAGTATCCATATGATATGGTCATTCAACATTTTAAGTGTTTGATAGTTGGAAAGTGTACTTTGCACCAAATTAGCTGAAAGTGCATAAAGTAGATAAACTATCTCCTCGAGTAACATCTCAGGGAGAATGTTGCAACTTGCAAGAAATCAAATTATGGGGGAACATATGTATGGATGGTACCTGAGCTTCCCAAGAACAATACCAAACTCATTTGCACGTGTTAGACCAATATCATCAGGAGAAATTATTTCATAAGTTCCTTTGTACTTAAGCATCCCATCCTGAAAACAGAATAACAAAAGTGAATATCAAGATCACTTCACTTAGAACCAACACAATTAATATGAGAATATGCAAGGCAAGGTTCATATAAAACCGTGATTGATCTATCATATATGAGAAAATGATTTCATCGGAGCTGAGAAAAAAAAAGGCATCCATAAAAATAATTTGACTTCCCTCAGTATGTGATACTATAAAAATGTGAGCAAAACTTTTTCCTAGTGCACATATGCAAACTGACAACTAGAAAGATTTCTGAAACTTCCAAAATTTAGATAGGAAATAAAAAGTAATGATAATCAATTCCTTAGTCCTAAAATGTAAATTGATGGCAAGAAACACTTTTAGAGTTATAAAATATAGATAAATGGCAAACAGAAACAAGAACCCAGGCAACACTAAAAGTCAAGAAATATAGATAGATGTGAAATTGAGGTACCACCAAAACAACACTAAAGAGAACCCAGTCAAGAAATTTGATGGCAATATTACGGCAAGAATGCAAATTTAGTTACCTGATGAATTCCACTTTCATGTGCAAAGGCATTGGCACCGACAATAGCTTTATGTGGTTGTACATGAAGTCCACTGTGCTCTTGTACCTAGAATAAGCAGAGTATTTGCAAAAGTGCATGAAATTTCCAGTCACCTGAAAAAGACAAAAGATAAAAAAAAAACAAAAGAAGAAAGAAAACAAACATAATTGTACCATTTTGCTTGACATAGTGATATGTTGGGTATTGATTCCAGTATACAGACCTCCTAAGAGTTCTCGACGACATTTAATTGCCATCACAACCTGAAAAATATATTTTTTTTAAAAAAAAAGTTGCATATATAGGAAATCAATATTACTTGCATTCATTCTTCTGCAAACCATTAGATGAACATGTGCAAAATACCAACAAACAACATAAACATAGTATATGAGTTCACCTCTTCCAAAGAAGCATTTCCAGCCCTTTCACCAATACCATTGATAGTCACCTCTAATTGCCGTGCTCCTGCATGAGCGCCCTAAAGGTTAAGTCACATTAGTGACATGATTAAACCAATGATAATGGATCAAAGAGATAAGGAAAAGGTAGTACCGCTAATGTATTTGCGGTTGCTAGACCAAGGTCATTCTGGCAATGAGTAGAAATAATGGCATTTTCAATTCCTGGAGTGTTTGCTTTTATATCAGCAATTAGTTTCCCAAATTCATAAGGAAGAGTGTATCCAACAGTGTCTGGGATATTGAGTGTTGTTGCTCCAGCTTTTATGACTTCCTCTAGTATATGATATAGAAACTCTCTGTTTGACCTACAAGACAGAGTGAATCATATCATGCCACAGCCTTTTGCGCATAAAAAAGGAGGCTAATTGATTGTGACTAATAAAACATACTACCTCCGTTTTTTAATAGATGACGCCGTTGACTTTTTCTCACATGTTTGACCATTCGTCTTATTCAAAAAATTTACGTAATTATAATTTATTTTGTTATGAGTTGTTTTATCACTCATAGTACTTTAAGTGTGATTAATATCTTATACATTTGCATAAAATTTTTGAATAAGACGAATGGTCAAACATGTGAGAAAAAGTCAACGGCGTCATCTATTAAAAAATGGAGGGAGTAGATAATAGCTTGGCATGAGCTAATGTTTAGGCATTCCTTTTGCGCCAACATGTTTGAAAGCAAAGAATGTACAGTAAATGATATGCAACAATAAGCTTCGTGTGTAGATTTAAAGATGGAACACAACCACAAAATTTTAGTAGCTGGCAACTAGCATTCTCTTTGATTTACTACTAGAACTCCTTACATATTGTAGACATCTACCAGCAGTACAAGGATGAAGGTATTCAAGATACAATATACATAATACTTCCCTTTCCAGACCAAAGTAAATTCAGTACTTGATAGTAAGCAACTAAGCATACACCGCATCGCTTCAAAATCAACCCCACTTCACTAAAGTTGGATGGACCTCTTACATGCACAGTACTTAGGCATATAGATTACTAGGTATGGTGTCAATTCCAACCCATATTATAATTACTGAAATTGTTGGACATTTCAACGCTGACTATTTTAAAAGTAACCTAATGATTACAAATTTGCAATTAAAAGTTGGATAGACCTCTTTCATTCATTGTACTTTCCAACATCTAGATTATTAGCTAATAAGTCAGATGCCAGTTCCAAACCACATTGTAATTACTACTCCAGATATGAAACTTTTGGTCATTTTAAGGCTTACAGTTTAAAAATATTGGCCTAAAAATCAAACAAATATGCAGTTAGAAGTGATACATGCCAGCATCGCTGAGTCAATGATGAATGTGTTCAAAGTAGGGTATACATGATGCATAGTACTTAATCTCCAGACCAAAGTAAATTTAAGTACTTGATATACTAAGCATATATCGCTTTGCCTCAATCAACCTAGCTTCCCAATAGTTGGATGGACCTCTTTCATTCACAATACTTTCAGACATCTAGATTATTACTCCAACCAATAGGTCAGATGCCGGTTCCAACCAACATTGTAATTACTACTCCAGGTATCAAACTTTTGGTCATTTTAAGGCTTACAATTTTAAAAATTGGACCTAAAGGTTGAACAAATTTACAATTAGAAGTGATACCTGCCAGCGTCTTCAGGGCTGAACTCGACATCAGGGCAGCCTAGGCTGCGGGCGTAGGCCACCATTTCCTTGGCAATGGCCACCACCTGCTCGGGCGTCTTCCTTAGCTTGTGCTGCATATGGATCTCGCTGGTGGCAATGAAGGTGTGGATGCGCGGCCGCCGCGCGTGCCGCACGGCCTCCCAGGCAGCATCAATGTCTCGCTTATTGCATCTCGAGAGGCCACAGATGACCGGCACGTGGCCGTCCTCCCCGACGGGCGTGTTCCCGACCTCGATGGCGATGGAGCGCACGGCGTCGAGGTCGTCGGGGGAGGAGGCCGGGAACCCGGCCTCGATGATGTCGACGCCGAGGCGGGCGAGCTGGCGCGCGACGACGAGCTTCTCGGCGCTGGTCATGGTGGCCCCGGGGGACTGCTCCCCGTCGCGGAGGGTGGTGTCGAAGATGCGGACGTAGTTGGGGTCGTCGATGCGGTTGGGGACGTACTCCGGGCGCCGCGGCTGCGCCATGGACGCCCGGACGGGGCGGGCGAAGGCGCGGTGGTAGCAGCGGCGGGAGGCGCTAGGGTTTGCGGCGGCGGCGGCGGTGGCGAGGCCATGGGAGAAGCGTGGGGCGGCGGCGCGGAAGGGGGAGAGAGTTTGGGCGCGTGGGCGTGGAGTGGAGGTGGGGTTTGCGGAGGAGAAGGAGGAGGGTTTTGGGGAGGAGAGGAGGGAGGAGGCCATGGTGGTCGCCGGGGTTTGTGGCGTCGACGACTCGGGGGTTTAGGGGAATCGAATCAAATGGTGGGAGAGGGAGATGCACTTGCTCTGCTTCTCGGTGATGTGTGTGTGAGTCAGAGGTGGAGCTCTTATCTGGACATGACAACGGGGGTTTCGTGGGATGCACGAATGCTGTGATGGCGGCGTGGTTTTTGCGGCGAAGAAGACAAGTCGGACTTGCACACAAGGCTCGGGGGAGAAATGGAGCATGCGAGAGTGGTGATGCTGGTGACTTGGGGAGTGACCACATGACATGAGCAATTGGCAAGCTTGTGTAAAACAACCAAACCAACCAACTTCTTTTTGAAGCTCTGAAGTCTGAAGATGGATGACAGGAGTAGCCTAGCTTGCCAAGGTAAGGTTGTTTGTCACATACGCATATCAAAGGCAGAATTTGGGAGAAAGGATGTTGTTCACAGCACAGTAGTGTGAGGCTTTTGCTGTGTTTCTTTTGGTTCACATTGTGATCTTATACAATACAAATAAACAAATCCACTTTTGATCGCTCAAATATGGCCATTTAATCTGATTTTGGCTTTATCTTTTGTTCGACGGTTTTAAGACTTGAGGGCCAAAGGTAAATTTTTTTCTTAAAATCAGTCAGGCTCGAGTTCTTCACAAAATAATTACACGCAATGGAAATTGTGCTTATGCTAAGTTTAAGTAGCATAAAAAATTCAAAAGGAAAACAATACAATCCACGTCATAATTCATATTTTGATTAGTTAAAGAAAAAAACAATCAAAACTTTACGATACAAACCAGACTAAATATCTTATCGAATAGGTGAAAAAAAAACTCATAAACAACCTAACATTATTGCACAATACATAGCTTTCTAATTAGAAATATAGTTGTTCAGGTGGTTTTTTATTCATATCATTGTAATCTTAAGTCTCGTTGCTGGTAGTGATGATAGACATTAGCTTTTCAATAAAAATTGGCAACCATTATTTTGAACACTCACTAAATGCTAGATCTATTATTTTGTTACATATGCTTCATATCATAACACCACGCTTGTATACTAATATCTTCACTACCTTTGTAACTTATGCATTCTCTCTCTATGTATTAAACTATATACGATAAAGCCCAAGAAAAGGTGACAAAACAGATCCTATCCAGAGGTTCCCATCCTTTTCTTCAACTTCGCTAATAGACTTGAACAACTTCCTAACATCACCATGAACACTCATTGCTTCTATGGTCTTCCCATCCTCACTCAACCTCAAAGCTATCACCTGACGACCAAATCCTGTCAAGAACGATGTGATGCGTTGAATGCGTTGAGCTGGTAGCTTCAAGATTACTTTCCTTAGCCAAGGGTAAGAAATTGACCACTCAGCGATCTTCCCTCTCTTGGCATGAAGACCAACCCAAAACCCTCCTCTAGGACTCATCTTGATGTTGTCTGGAAACCCATGTAGTTGCACAACTTCTTCAATAGTTGATGCTTTTGGTGTTTTAATCCAATATCTTAGGATCTTACCCGTTGTGGTTTCCGCAAGTAGCAAATAAGAACCATCGTTGCTCATAGCCAAACCATTAGGAAAACATAGGCCATCAACTAAGACTTCAACCTTGTTTTCCTTTGGATCATATTTCAATAATCTTCCAGTGTTGTCACCCGTTATAACTATGTTTAGAAACTCCCTATAAATAATTTGAATGAAAAATTATATATATATTACATGAATTGTTCATTAAAAAAATAACAAACTGATGAGTGACAATAATAAATTTATTTATTTTATTGGTCCATACCTTCTCTGAAACCTTGTACTGGTCTCGGTGAAGTAGATTACTCCAGTTTCATGGTCAATCTCAACGCCATTGGAGAAGCTGAATGGGCTTTCTGTCCACTTAGGAACAAGCGGCCTAGACACGTTCTCACCCGGGCTGACCACTCTCAGCCCAAGGTACGCATCTGCGACGTACAGCTCACCAGTCTTGCTATTGAACTTGAGGCCCAGTGGACGCCCACACTCCTGCTCCCGTTTCGTGTCCTTGGATCCTCTGCAGCTATCCAACCTGCAGCAGTTCAGGTCAACGACCAATCAATCGATAAATGCCGTTCCAACAATTCAGGACGGAATCTGCCATACTATAAATATTATTTGGACCATAGCATAAATGATAGTCAAAAGGAGTAGTGAAAATGAAATGAACTGAACAATAACATTGTTGATGATCTGAACTCTGAAGTTGAATTATACCAAGAACTTTTCAGTCGTTTTCCATATGTACAGATGTAACTCACAGCCTCACAGGCCATATTAAGCTCACAATTAATCATCAATTAATTGGGGATTTGGACAGTGCAACTGTATTTGTCCGGTCCCTGGACCTGGATCGTAAACTAACCAACCAACTACTACTAACCAAATCATGAGAACAACAGAGAACTATACTAGGCAGCTAGCAACACGGGTGAATACTGAATAGTTTCCCAAAGTGAAAAAAGACTTACAGCTCCGGCACGGAGCAGGAGTGCTCCACCCACCGGCGCTCCGGCGGCGGCAGCCACTTGAGGACCCTCCCGTCAGACACGCTCGTGTACGGCCCCTCGCCGGCGTCGCCGAACACTATGCTCTCCGGCCCCGCGGCGCCGTCGAGCAGAGGGATCAGCTCGACGTCGCCGTCCCTTATCTCCAGCTGCCTCACGTCGCTCCGCGAGTCCAGCGACAGGATCGCCGCCGCCGCGAAGACGGCGAGCGCCAAGAACTTGGCCGTGGTGCTCATCGTAGCTAAGTAAGCTAGGCTTTTGGTGAGCTACCCACAAATGGAAGTGTTCCTCAACTAGGCAGAGTATGGGTTGGTTTTATGCTACCTGCAGACCGATCTAACTTCCTAAGTGTTGATTTATTGATCATGGTAGGATAGTTAATGCATTGCCATCTCCATATCTACAACCATTAAAATTTTAATGGTGAAAGAGAAAGAAAGATCCAAGACCAGTGTACGGTCCAATAGTTGCCACTGTGTCCATGCTGACAGGCGTGTTCCTGTCTCACGGTTGCAACTCGCAACTACTACCTGAAATATGTTTCACATTTTTTAGAGTTTCTTATTACTCATTCTCTGCAATTTTACATGAAGAGCAGCAGGCTAATCTTAGGTACATCAACTATTCATGAAAGATGCTTCTCTATCCAGTGTTAAATAGTGCTGACTACTAGTACTACTTTGTAATGTACGTCGATTGAATAAGACGTTCTTTTAAGAGAACAGATAGTGTATGAAAAGTGGACATCTATCTCTGAACTTTGAAAAAAAGAAGATCGACATTTTAAAGTGTATTTTAAGTTCGGTGCCCCATAACCATCCCATGATCCATTGTTGACCTAAAACAACATTTTTTTTTCAGAAGAAACTAAAAAAATGCATAAAAAGGAACCAATCTCAACATAACTTATTTGAACTTACCCTACCTAGTTCAGATTTCAGAACTCCCCCAATATGTTGGCATGGTCCTAAAAGAGCTCCCGAATATATCCATTAACAGTAAACAGCATAAGGTCGATGAGGCCATAAGTGAGTTTTCAGTAGATTGGAAAAGCAAATGTAAGACTACCATGTGCCCATGAAGATAACATGTCGTTAGAGATGCAGTACATGTATGAGGTATCAAGATACTTTGCGCTTGGTTGGTTAGCTAATCAAGCTGCCATAGGTGTGTTGGAAAAGGAAAGAAAGCTACAGGCGACGGCCGGTGACCGTCCATGAAGACAGAGAAGATGGATAGTGTAGTATTTGGGTGGATGCGGGTTGAGCATCGTGCTATTGTTTTCAGTGAATTTGATTATTACTATGAGATTTCAGCTACCAGCATCGTGCAATCTTATCGAAGATGAATCATATGCAATGGAAGTGTGCCGAAAGCCATTGCAAATCAATGATGCGGCAGCTCTGCTACATAAATTGATTTACTTTCTGTAGGACAGGGGAATAATAGACTTAAGTACACATGCCATTATGCCAAGAATTATCATTGCTGAGAGGAGTTGCAACTGTACTTAGATCTGAGTAGCATCACACGCAAGTAAATGCATGCAGATCGAGAGAACAGTACTATGGGATGAATCGCTGGATCAACAAACATTCATTCAACAAGAGACAGATATATATAGATTAAAGCTTACATATGTGGCTCGATGACGGCGGACGAGTGTTCGACCCAGCGGCGCTCCAGGGGAAGCCACTTGAGCACCCTCCCGTCCGACACGCCCGTGTACGGGCCGTCGCCGTCGCCGTCGAACGCCACGCTCTCCGGCCCGACCGCGCCGCCGGCGTCCACGGTGATAAGCTCGACGTCGCGCTCCCATATCTCCAGCACTGGCACGTCGTCGCTCCGGGGGTCCAGGGACACCAACAACGCCGCCGCCGCCACGGCGGCCGCGAGCACCACGAGCCTGGCTTTCATCGGAACCAGAAGTCCAGAACCTATGTGAATAACTGCGATTAATGAAATTGTAACTGCGATTAATGAAATTGCAACGCGTGAACGGCTCCGGATTTGTTTATGTAGAGTAGAGATATGGTTGATTGCCTTGTCGCATTTGCTCCTTGACATGATATTCCACCAAATCATATACCATGTTGTCTGAAGAGAGAGACATCCTCCGAGCAAGTTTAATAGTATAACCCACTATTAACTCCAAATCATATATAGTCAATGTAAGAGCACCCGCAATAGTAAAGTAAGGTGCTATCTATAAAACATGTGTATTTCAGTAATATATTAGATTAATAGTAAACCACTTCAATGGTATGTCTACATGGGTATCTATAGCTCTCTAATCCATTGCCTCGTTTTTCTCTATAGACTATCTCCAGGTTAGTAGATAGCTTTGCTCTCTCTTTTCATTTAATCTCTTCCAAGTAGAAAAATATGCTGATATAGATCTCTTGTAGAGAGCCTATAGATAACCATTGTGGCTGCCCTAATAGCCAATTCATACAATAGTGCTTACTATACTATTAATACCTGATCTCATTTGTCATACACACATTACGTATTGGAGTCCGTGCTGCAGCTGGCTACAGATCTATAGCCCGATGCTATTCTCTCTCTTCTTTTATCTCTTTAAAATATATTTATAGCTAGCTTATAGCCTACTATTGTACCTGCTCTAAGTACACATCTCAAAGGTCCGTGTTCCGTACGTGTATGACTCTGTCTGGCAGTTGGGATTTGAAACGGCGGGTGACCAGCGCCGCCGAGCCGAGACAATCTGGTTGCGGCGCGCACGCTATTCTATTCTGTCCCCGAAAAGCGGTCTAAACCACAAGAAATCCGGAAAAAGTGCACCAAAGGTCCCTCAACTTGTCATCGGGATACCAAAACGTTCTCGAACCACAAAACCAGATACGTAGGGTCCTTTAAGTATACAAAACCGGTCACCCGAGGTCCTTCGGTGGTTTTGTCCCCGGTTTTGGTCTACGTGGCGGCTGAGTCAGCGTGAAACCCTCGTGGGCCATACATGTCAGCGTGCCACGTCAACACTCTCTTTCCCCTCTCTTTTTTCTCTTCTTTTTTCTTACTTATTCGCAGCAAGGTAGTTCGCTCACCAACGTTCATGCGGCGGCGGCGGCGTAGAGATGTGGCGGCAGCCTGGGCTCGGCGACGGTGACGAGCGGCACCTTCCGGCGTGTGGACAGCCTGACCAGCTCCTCCATGCTCACGTCCTCTGTCCGGCAGCCGCCACGCGAACCCCTGCAGCAAGCTTGCCACGCCCAGCGCCACCATCTTCTTCGCCAGGTTGGTCGCCGGACTAATCCGCCGCCCTGACCCGAACGGCAGCAGCTCGAAGTGCTGCCCGTGCACGTCCACTCCGCCATCGCAGCCGCCGGCACCGGGGAGGAAGCGCTCCGGCAGGAACGCATCGGTGCGGTCGGGCCACGACGCCGGGTCGGGCGCGATGGCCCGCACGTGCACTAGCACGCGCGCGTCGGCAGGGACGTCGTAGCCGGCGACCACCGTGTCCTGCCTGGCATGGTGCGGGACGAGCAGCGGTGGGCCCACCGGGTGCAGCCGCAGCGTCACCCACCGGCAACGGTTCGCCACCTCCACCGCGTACTCCGGCTTCCCCTCCACCACCCGCCCCGTCGCCCTCTGCCTCACCACCAAATCCGCCGCCCTGCACGCCGCCGCCGCCGCCGCCCCTTCGCCTGCACGCCACACGCCACAATTCGTTTAGCACTGAAATGACAATGTACTAGCAACTAGCAAGTACCAGGTAGTAGTAGTACTAATTAGCAATTTTAATCACCTTGGCTGCTGGCGTTGCAGAGGAGGGTGAGTGAGACGAAGACGAAGGCCGCCGCCGCTCTCGCCATGGTTAGCCAAACTGCTGTGAGTGTGAGGTGATACGGTTTTGATTTCTCGCGAGAAGGCCTCAGCTTATTTGTACCCGGATGCAGAGACATGCATGGATCGATCGATCGGTCGCTCGATTACGCTTGTTGGATAAGGGAGCTAGGCTGGGAGGATGCAGGCAGGGCACGGCAGGACAGCGAGAGGAAGGAATGGGTTGTCGTGCGTGGCGCACGCATGTCATGTGGCAGATCCAGACGACGACGACGACGGTGAACGGTCAGATGTCCAGCGATCACGCATGTGATCGATCGTCTGCATGATTGACGATCGCGCGCGTCGCAATCTCGCATGAATGAGCTCACAGGATCACCAACCAGGCAACCAAGCAACCAACCGGATAGGATCCGCGAGGAGGGAGGGAGGGGGGGTCGCTCACCCACTGGTTGAGGTCGATGTTAGAGGGTGATCTGGGCGGCGGTGATGAGGATGTCCTCGACGGCGGAGTCGAGGCGCTGCAGCACGGTGAGGTTGAGCAGCCGCGTGCCCTTAGCGTCCATCGTCAGGTTTGGGGTCACCTCCCCCCCCCCCCCCCCCCGGGCGTTCGCCGACGTCGCTGTCCTCGGCTGCGGCTGCGGCGGCATCCCGCGTAGGCTTGGACAGTGGCAGGCGCTGGATCTAAGGGAGCGCAGCAATGGAGTTGGGAATCGCTGCAAAGAGAAGTAAAAAAAAAAGAGAAAAAAAAGAAAGGGGAAAGAGAGATGACGTGGACAGTATGACATGTGGGGCCCACGTGGGTCCCACTCTGCCTCAGCCGCCACATAGACCAAAACCGGGGTCAAAACCACCGAATGACCTCGGGTGACCGGTTTTGTATAGTTAAGATATCTGGTTTTGCGGTTCGAGGGCGTTTTGCTATCCCGATGACAAGTTGAGGGACCTTCGGTGCACTTTTTCCAAGAAATCCTGGTGTTCGCGCGAGATTCATCCAGGTTGGTGGGTAGCGGACACGGGCTGATCCAGCAAGGACGGGGGCACTCGATCCGCATACGGGGCCTGCGGTTTTCTGCGTGTGGGCTGGGCTGGAGCCCGCGGTTGCAGCGGCCGTTAGCTTTCCCCTCTTCTGGGCCTCGCACCACTGGAGCGCGTGCGCTGCGAAGGCTGGAACCAGGCCGTCCGTTCGATCTGGCTACCTGCAAAGCCCAATACTTAGGCAGAGTGGTTGTGGGCTCGACCGGGTGCTTCTTTCGAGTGAGAAAGAAACAAAGCAACACGTTTCGTGCGAGGGAGACACGGAGTTTCAGGCTATAAACCCAGTCGCTGAAAACCAGCACCAAAGGCTATTTGTGTTATGCATGCCGGGGGTTAGCTACGCGGCTCATGCTCAGCTAGCTGAACAGTCAACATCCCAAAGCCTTGTTTGCAGCTTGTTTGCTGTAGAAAGCCTAGAAGAAAAGGTAGTAGGAGTACATCGATCATCAGTGCAGACGATCGAGGGACTCTGACCACGCACCGGTGCAAATGTGAGAGGTGCGACACAAAAAGGAAAGGAGGCAGCTAGCTGCAAACGCAAAGCAATCAAGTGGAGAGAAAAAGTCATGGGCCTCCTGTCTTGACGTGACACCTCCTCCTCCTGAGTCCAGACTCCTGTCCTGGGCGGCCTCTGCCGTGCCATCAGCAGGGCCAGCCTGCAGCTATCTGCGCCCGCTGCAGCATATTATTGGTTCGTTAATCTTGCAGCAATGCGAGTTTAGCAGCTTTTCAGTAGCCCGGCCACATCAACGCGTGCGTTTTCTCGTCAGTCAAGTGAACGAAGAGTGGGTTTCCATGCGACACCGTACCCTAGCTCTGGATCCTAAAACAATACTTTATCCCTTTAATTGACCTATATAAACACTGGAGTGCTACTGTTTAATTACTGCTTGAGTTGAGTACTTGGGGATTTTCTTTTCATGTGAAATGGCAAAACTATACATTAGGTCAAGGGAAGTATGAAATATAGTACACCCTCTGTTTCTTTATCAATAGCTGAATACCCATATTTTGCTACGGTAAAATATAATTTTCATGAAGCGTGCTTTGTTATGAAAAATATATTGATCTTGTTTTAATTTTATATGTGGCTATCTATTTAGATTTGATTTTTTATATTAAGAAGTTTAAGGCTTGATTTGCAAAATTTATAATTAGAGGTGGCTGATTTCACCGTCACCATCAGTAATATGATTGACAATGAACCGACAGTAATATGTTGGCAGGGATTGAACATTTTTGTACTAGTGCTTGTTATAAAGAAATGAAATACGCCTTGTATTTTTCAACAGAGGGAGTATTTCTGATGAGACATGCATGAAAGTTCTGTTTTATAAAGTTTGCATACGTTAAATTAATAGTAGGGTCTAAAACCTCCAATTTTTAGTTAGTATGGGCTAAATTAATACTACATCACTAATCTTTAATTAGTGCAAACATGATTAATAATATATATACTACCAGCTCACATAAATAGTAACTCACAAGTACATCTTACCCTCAACTTAGCTCATTTTTTTTGTGCTAGATCCATCGAGCAGGCATGTAGTACTCCCCCGTCTCTAAATATAAGGGATTTTAGATGGATGAAACACTTTATAGTACTACGAATTTGGATATACTCCCTATCTAGATTCGTAGTACGAAAGTGTCGCATCCGTTCAAAATCCCTTATATTTGAGGACGGAGGGAGTAGTAGTATATTCTAGCAGAGAATGTGCATGATGCCAAACGAAGAATTCGATAGATCGCAGTGATATGATATGACGCACTGCAGCGTGTTTGGTGTGGTCCTTCTTTGTGTATGTTCTCCCATTGGCATGGAAATGTGTATACACACTTGGCGATATGCACGCACGCATGTTTATTGTTCTTTTCCCTTTCCTGTTCTCTCGATCTTCTCTAATAGCTAGGCGCCACCATCAGGCACAGTCAGGTCAGGTCAAAAGCTTTAAAACAGTACTACTCCCTCCATATTAAAATATAACAACTTTTAGCACTTAAAATTTATCTCAAAATATAACAACTTATCCACCAACATTTTTTTCTCAACCAATCACAACTATTCACCATTCACTTTTCCCACCTACATCCACTTTTCAGCTAATCACAACCCCTTCCTATTTAATTCTACGTATTTTCTTAATAACCGTGTTCAACTCTAAAACTCTCTATATTCTAGGACGGAGGGAATACTACCAAATGATCAGCTGGAGATAGAGCTAGCACTATTCCAGCATGGCACATAGTGTTGAGCTATATTATTCCTTTTCCTGCTTGAACAAAAAAAAAGGCATCTATTCATGCCATGCCTCCCTGTTTCCCAAACTCTCTGAACATGAGTAATAAAAGAGATGGATCAGCATTTAGAGGCACTATTCATCGCCATCTCTATCTCATTCGTTCTCCAAGATAAAATATGGAGCTCATCATCGTCAGACAGGCCGGATGGAGCTAAGCTTAGGTAACACCATTCAATTGATGGGACGTTGGATATCACTGTAAAGATTCTCAGCATGGAAACAGCATGTACTGCTACTATGAGCAAACAGGAACCAAAAGAAAGAAGAGGAAGAAGAACAGTGCCACATGTTTGCGTGCACGGACAATTAGCTGGAAACAAAAGGAATTATCGGGGCTCGATCTGACGCTAATTAAATCCCCAGCTCTTGCTAATCGATGAACAAAACATGAACTCGATCGCCGTATTGCAGCAGTTGATAGACGATCAATAGATCCAGGCAGTGGTACCAAAACTAGCAGAAAACAGGTGAAGCGAGCGAGAGAGAGTACGACAAAGAAAGGATCGATATCGATGGAGATAATTGGATTTGTCACGACATAATTAAGATTCATGGATCATGGCCACAGTAGCTAATCAATTTGACAAATCAAGAACTGTATATACAGCATGAAATGAGGGCGCTGTAGGGCCGGCCATGAGAGCGAACAGCTAAGCTCAGCTAGCTCTCATCCATGGTGTCATTGGCGTTTGTGTGTGTATGCGATGAAGGAAAGAGAGATTAATAATCAATTAATATTGGCAATATGATAGAGGGGAGCATGCATAAGAGGACAGGGGCAGGCAAACAGTGGAAATCCAAGCCAGGAACAGTTGGGGAGGAACCCACCATGGGAGACCACGCTTTTATTGCGAGATGTTTTTAACAGTTGCAGTGACTGATGAGAGCATGGTACCGTGGGCCTCTCCTCTACAGTATTCTATACAGCGAAGACGAGCGAGAAGTACGTACCAGCCGGTACGTACGTATACGTAGCCAATAGCCATTGTTAACTGTTACCTACTATAGCAGTAGCTGTAATGCATGTCATGTCTATGATCTACTCCGTATACTGCTGCTGGTCATATGCATATGGATGGACAGTAATTAATTAACCGCGCGCGCAGTTTTACTGGTCTTGAGTCACAGATACTCCCTCTGCTATCTAATATAAGTGAGTTTGACATTTTATTTACACGGTTTGACCAATCATCTTATTTAAAAAATTAGTACAAATATAAAAAATAAAAAAATGTGCTTAAAATACTTTGATAATAAAGTAAGTCAAAATAATAATAATAATTTCAATTTTTTTAATAAGACGAATGATCAAACAATACAAATAAAATATCAAAATCCCTTACATCCTCGAGGATGGAGTAAAAATTAAAGAAGATATCATGCATGCATGCCGAGCTCTCTCCAAGGAATCTACTGCGCAGTTGTCCTCATGCACACATATCTGCAGGAACAATTGAAGGGATCGATATAATTGGAGAGAAAAAGGCAAGGGGTAGCTGGATATATATATTCATCCATATGCTCAATCGACATGCACGTATATATACTCCCTCTCATTTTTTTTAATGTATAACACCGTTCGCTTTTTAAGATACATTTAAACATTTATCTTATTAAAAAATATGTAATTTATTTATTTTATTGTGACTTGATTTATCATAAAATATTCTTTAAGCATGATTTAAATATATTTTTTTATAAAAATTTTGAATAAAACGAATAGCCAAACTTTGATAAAAAGTTAACAACATCGTACATTAAAAAAAAAGAGATAGTGTATCGCACTGACATGAGCAATGAACAAAGTGAATTGTGTGCAGTACGATACTGCATGCATATAAAGTGTAGTTTATCTTTATTTATATATTGAGTACAACTAACATTGGGATGTAGACTTGCAGTAGAATAAATCCCTGTACTAGATTTTTTTTTATTTTTTCTAAAAAAATTTCAAGGACAAACTCCCCGAATTTGAACTTTTCTGCCATATTATTTTAATTAGTGTGACAGAACAACACTATCATGCTGATAAAAAAAATCAAGGCGTGTTACTCTATACTAGCCACTCCATTGTTCATGGTGTTATGGTGTGGTAGAGTATGGGGGTGTTTAGATCCAGTGGTATAAAGTTTTGACGTGTCACATCGGGTATTATATAGGGTGTCGCATAGGGTGTTTGGGCACTAATAAAAAAATAATTACAGAATCCGTCAGTAAACCGCGAGACGAATTTATTAAGCCTAATTAATCCGTCATTAGCAAATGTTTACAGTAGCACCACATTGTCAAATCATGGAGCAATTAGGCTTAAAAGATTTGTCTCGTAAATTAGTCGCAATTTATGCAATTAGTTATTTTTTAGCCTATATTTAATCCTTCATGCATGTGTTCAAATGTTCGATATGACAGGGTGTAAAATTTTTGTGTGGGAACTAAACAAGGCCTACCATACCACTACATCAAATGGCGTGGTCAAAAAGTTTATTTACATAATAGCCTAGATGGTTTATTTTTTAAGTAGTTTTTAGATCAATAAAAGTTCAAACAATAAATAATTCATGAAATTTCTGCTTTTCAGATGGATTGATATCCCATCTATCGTATCCGATCATGGAAAGATATACATACATGATCCTCTAAAAGTCTCAATGCATAAATGAAGAGAAGGCCAGAGAAGGTTGATTTTTTTCAAGTTAAGTTTTTATATATGAGAATAAAAACTAGAGAAGGAATATTTTTGTGAAGAAAATTACAGATAAAAGCTAGGTTTGTGCATGTGATTGGTACACATGTACTGTTTGATGACATAATTGTATGAGTAGTACTTACTGTGTACAGGGTACATGTCATCTCAGCAGAATTAGGCAGCGAGCATTCAAATACGACACGATTGAGACCGAAAAGTTGCAACAACAAAATGAAAATAGGAATGTGCCTTTACACTATTCATGAAAATTCAAATAAAGTTGTGAATTTTATAATTTCCGATAGTGGAAGCTATAGTATTACTTAAATAATTTGACGATTACTGTTGTTGTGTATAGTTTTATTATTTTTTACGCTATCAATAGGAGGGGCCAAAATAGATGAGTTAAGGAATATTTTGATTGTACGCAATTATTTTGACTTTTTTGTTTTGAAAAAAAGAAAGAGAAATAAATTTAGGAATAACGTTGGTGTACCAAAATGAACCAAGTGAAACACCAGGCCCTATCGTTTTAATATTTCATTCGCTATATGCGTCTAGATCACAATAAGATGAAATATCCTATTTTTCTTGTCAACGTACAATGGTTAGATTGTAGGGAAGACGGTGGGTTGTTAGCGGTGTCGGTGGTGATTGAGGTGAATTGATTCCACCTAATTACCATATCCAATTTACTTTTTGTTTGCTAGGCGGGTATAGCAAGGAGCAGCATCAACATGACAAAGGAAGGCTAGCTGGCATTGTTGGCGATGGATTGATAGGGGGTGCGACGCTGGATCTAGGACCTAAATGATGTTCAGTCTGGGGTGTACGTGCTTGTATATGTTTGTGTAGCGGCAAATGTGGGTTACGTTGGAGGGGTTCTTCTCTTCGAAGGCACTAGATGCTGGGAGTCACTAAATTTGGATCGATTGGATCCATCCAGTGATAGGGATATGGTGCAAAGGAGCTGATCAAAGGTGGATATAAAACAAATAAGGGGTGTAAGAGTTCAGACTGCACATAAGATCGACTCAGTGTGGTTTTTGGTGTGGCAGGCTTGTTAGGGAGAAGAAAACTGAAGCTTAGTCTTCTAGTATTTTTGTTTTATTTTCTTGTTTCTCAATTATGAGACCTAAAATATAAGTATTTTTATAACCTTTGGCTATTTATATTCGCTTGTGGATAGATAGGCCAAATTTCTATCTGTCTAAAAAATAACTTCCTTACGCCTCAATTTTTACCTTTTGGAATGTGCATCCTTAATTATAAGAGAAAAGATGATTATACAATGTTCTCCCAATGTGTTGCACAAATTATTCTTTGAGGATATATATGTCGTACTTAATTACTAAAATTAAATAAAAAATGCACGCTTTATGAATCAGCAGTAGGAACCTAATTCGGTTTGAGAAAATATGTGCCGTGCTGTAAATTGAATTATAAAAACATGCTAAGTTCAAAATAATATATTCCTTTAATAATTGGTGGCTAACTTGGGTCGCATAAATAGAGTGAGTTCCCTAATAGAATTAGTTCACTTAATGTACCTTTTTTTTATATTCATTTCTTCAGATGAGAAAAGCCATCTGAAATGTATACCACCACATGCATATATACAAATGTAATGAATGTATCGATACATTTTTGGTTTACTACGGATGATCTGTAAAGAGAGAAATAAATAAAACTAGTAATGTAAATAATATCCTTGCTACGCCTAATTATAGAAAATTAATTAAGATGGTACTAATTTTATTATTAATAATATATATATATATATTGGATACTGTCAGGGTTATGGGTAAGGTATACCCTCTACCCTTCGATATACGTCACATATCGATATGGTATACCTGCGCGTATACGGACGTTTTCGGCATACGTTAAGGAAATTCATTACGAAATTCATAGATGGAAGGAGTCTTACTCGGACAAAACTGGGTCGTCATTGTATCGTGCCGGGTCCGATGTCTCCGAGTCCTACTTGGAGACCAGTTGACCTACGATATAAAATGGACCCCCCGGGAGGACCTAAGGCATCGAATCTCATAGCCAACACATCCACCACAGCCTACGGAGTTGAAGCCTACAGGAGCCAAGTCGCCGGTAGATCTAATCGAACTTGTCCGATTACAATCTCGTCGGTATCATCGAGTTCCGCTATTCCCTTTGTAATCTGTGGTTTCCATCATATAATCCCATATCAACTGGATTAGGGCTATTACCTATCAAGGGGCCTGAACTAGTATAATATTTGTTTTCTGTCTGCTTGATGTCGTATTACGTAGATCCTCGTACCAGCGTACCCCAGTACCCTCTATATCCGGTCTACGGGTATCCCCCGTCGACAGATACTAGTAAATGAAGGTATACATTTAGCTAACCCTAGAGTCTCATCAAACAATGGGCCCATGCACTAATCAGTGACCGGTCCCTACATGGATATATAGGAGTATATATATTAGGCCACGGTCGTCAAATTATCTTTTTTGAGGACTACTCTAAAGGTTAATATAATTAAGAAATAATATTAATAATGACACAATGAATTAGCAGGAGCTAGGATATCGTCTTTATACATCTATTAACTTAATAAAATAATAGAAAAAAGAGCTATCACGTTCGCTCTCAAGGTTTAGAAATTACCACGTTAATCGAAGAAAATAAGAAAACGTTCGCTCTCAAGGTCTAGAAATTACCACGTTAATAGAAGAAAATAAGAAAAATAAAAAAGACAAGCGGAGAAGGATATGTGTTAATCGGATGAAAATATGAAAAGAAATAGTAAAGCAATCGGACACGGATTCATGGAAACTGTCAAAGTGTCAAACATCAATCAGAAACAAACTGGAGTATTGTGGAAATGGAAATACAACTATACAAGTAAAAATACAGACTCTGGTCACAATGCATTCGTATCGTTTAGAGTCCAAAAGTAAAAAAAAAACAAAACTATTTAAAATACCTGAAATTCAAAATATAACTAACTATTGCAAGAAGAAACTATGTATAAATACAATTTAGACTAATCTGAAATTACAATTTTTTTTAGAAAATCTAATATTGAGACCATAGTTGTATAGAATTTACTTAAAAAAGAGTCAATATAAAAATATAATTTAAAAATATCTGAAATCTCTAATTAAAAAAAGAAATATTCAAAGAGAAGACTAGACTCCATACATATATACAATGTAGAACTAATTAAAATTTGGAACCAAAGTTAGAGTCCATAAAGAAATAAAATTTAAAAATAACTAATATTCGGAATTAAAAAATATTGAAAGAATATTTTAGAGTCATTATAGAAATACAATTTACAAATAATAGAAATTCTGAATTAAAAAAAAAATATTGGAAGAGGAGTCTGAGTTCATATAGGAATAAAGTTTAAAAATAATTGAAATTCAGAATTAAAAATAAGAAATACTTATTGAAAGAAAGGTTTAGAGCCCATATGGGAATAACATTTATAAATAACAGACATTGAAATTAGAAAAGAAATAAATATTAGAAGAGGATTCTAGAGTCCATATAGAAATCTAATTTAGAAATAACAAAAATTTAAAATTTAAAAATAGTTAATAACTATCACGTATATACAATACAATATGAATATTACATTGGTTGGTGCGGTTAAGTTAGTACAAAATTTAAAATTATGTTGTTATTTTAATATATTTTAATTATATTATGTGAAAATATATATGCTGCTATGTGAAAAAAAATATAACGGTACTAGCCGCGCATGCAATTTGCGCGGACCACCATACTAGTTTTAATAAAAATGGAAAACACACACATATATACACTTGCTTTGACTAACAGAGTCTGTCGATCATAGAGATATGCAAAAGTTCATATGGTGTTCTAACAGGAGGTTTGTAATTTGTCGCCTCATGTTAGACAAAAATCACGTACTGCCGGTACTAATTGTACAAGATCAGTACAGGATCGAGAGCATGCATACCATCAAAAAGCCATTCTTAAAGAGACAGAGAAAAACGACCTTACCAGTAGATATTACTTCATCCATGCAAAAGGATCGATCTGGGCCGTCCAATCCTCCAGGATATATACTGTGGCGAATTTTTATATGTATCCCAGAGAAAATGTCGTCACACAGGAGAAATGCATGTGCAAACCCTGTGACATTCAATTGCATGCACACTTAGATTCGCCTTGTCGAACGCCACTCGATCCCCATTCCTTCACATGATCTTGCACCCCGCTTTCCTATCGTCCAAAGCCTACTACAGTTACCAAAAGCTGCACTGCATAAAGACATTGTAAAAACACCAACAGCTAAAAATCCTCTTCTTCAGGCCATCAACACTAGTAGCTGCAGCTGGATCGAGCATATGCTCATCTCCTGGTGGATCGATCACATTGGAGACTACAGCTCCAATATTACAAGATGAACATTGCTTGATGGTTTGAAACTTTTTGAACAAATTAGCTAGCATGCAACAGTTTGCTGCGCGCGCAAGCGAATCAATCATGCGAAAGATCGAACAATCCACATCAAATACCACTAAATTGTTGCCCATTTATCCTAGCTATATAGTAGCTAGCTACACCATTTGCTGCTCATCTTGTCAACCATGCATAACCCCACAAATCTCAACACGGCTAGTAGAAGAGAAGGATAGGGAATAATATTACTTATGCGAAGCCATTGGGGAAGTACATGGCGGGCGGCGGGCTCCCTCGGCCGTTGTTGCTTTTCCTCCCCTCGCCGGCGGCCACGGCCGCCGCCATTTCCTGGCCCTGGTACATTAGCGTCGAGTTCATCGTCAGGCTCACCAAGCTGTCGTCGGCGTCGCTCCGCGGGAAGTTGCCGCCGTCGCTTCCGCCGGCCTCGCCTCCGGTGACAGGCGCACCGTCGTCGCGCGTGGTCACCATCACCGCCGACTGCACGAGCTCGAGGCAGAGCCTGAGCTTGTTGGGCTCGATGTGCGTCAGCCCCGGCACGGCGCCCTTGAAGAGGAACTCGGAGGTGAGGCTGCGGAGCACGTCGAGCGGCGTGACGCCGTCGAGCGTCCTGGAGTTCGGGTCGGCGTGGTGGTCGAGGAGCACGGACACCATGTCCGGGGAGACCATCTCCGCCGCAAGGTGCAGGGCGGTTTTGCCTGTCGGGCCGGCGCGGGAGTTGACGTCGGCGGCGCCGAGCTCGAGCAGCGCCTTGACGACGTCGCGGTTGCAGTGCTGCACGGCGTAGTGCACGGCGAGCGCGTCGTCGAGGTCCAGGCCCTCGCCCATGACCATCAGCTTGACGAGCTCGATGTCGGCGGCGTCGAGGGCGCGCCGCATGCGCCGGATCTTGTTGTCGCGGTCCGCCGCGGAGGACGCCGGGTTCATGGGGAGGTAGTGGTGCGTCAGGAACGGCGAGCGCGGCGCGGCCGCCGCGGCGAGCGGCGACTTGGCGCGGATCTCCTCGATCTTGGCCACCACATCGATGGGGAGGTGCTTGGCGAGGAGATCGGCGGAGAGGCCGGAGCGCGCGACGAGGTGGGAGCAAGTCGCCCACAGCTCCTGCATCTCGAACTTGCGCGACGCCATCAGCACCTTCATCACGTCGTCCACCGACGCCTCCTTCACCATGCTCTCCAGTTGCTTCTGCATCAACACATTGCATTGTGCAACTCGCCGTTAGTTCAATTAAGATGCTTAATTAATCACCCCAAATGCACGGCAGCTAATTAGCAGCATGAAATGTTGTTCTTAGCATGTAGTACTTTCTTCAGTTCTGTTCAGAGAGATATGCAAACATGTATGATGATGCTTAACTGTACTTTTTGCTTAGAACACAGCATGCATGCTGTACATTAAGAATTATTTTTGGAAATGATGCTAGTTAGGATCGAAGTGGCCACCCCGGGTTGGATCTCCAAGAAACCCTAGCAATGGAAATGCCGAAATGATGCGAATTAAGAAATCAGGAAAGCAAGCATGGGGATGGATGTGATGTAAGGAAGGGACAGACACAACAAGGGCTTGAAAAGACCCTTCCTAGTAAAGATGAGTCAGAAGCTCCATGACAAGTGATGACAGAAGCAGCAAGGGCGAAGCAGCAGAAAAGCAATCGAGACTAGAGACGACTCAGTCCTATCAGTACACTATACCCCATCTATCTCACTCCCGAAAAAAAAAAGAACACAAGAAAAAATGTTAAAAAATTGCGATGAATGAAGTGAGGGCATGCACTAGATTCTGCTGCAGCTACTGCGCATGGATCAGATGCCACAGTTGAGAGCAGTAGTGCATGAATCGTGCAGCTCAGCTCGCTCAGTAATCGGAAAAAAAAGGCAAAGGGGGCATGCAACCTAGGGATCTAGGCAAGCATGCAGCAGGATCAGCTCAGACTTGAACATTGCTTCTGCTGACTCCTTCTTAATGTCACCAAAAAGATGCTCCAATCATGCCAGCCTAACTACCATCATGTACTCTTAATCAATATCCAGTGTTAGCAGCAGATCCCAAGATCGAATTGCAAGCATATGGAAGAGGAATTTCAAATTATTTGCAGCTGCAGGATGCATGACGCGTATATACTACGTCGTGTTCCTGAATTTTTCGCAGTACCTGAACCAGCAGGGCGAGCTGCTCGACGCCGAAGGAGCGCGCGGCGGCGAGCGTGTCGAGGGCGAGGTCGACGGCGGCGCCGCACCGCGTGTGCCAGCAACCCCGGGCGCCGCACCCCGGGAGCGGCCCGCTCTTGGGCGCCGCCACCGACGCCTGCCCGCTGTACAGGAACTGCAGCACGAGCACGAGCACCTCGTACCGGATCGAGCTGACGGGGATGACAAGCTCCGGCGTGGCAGGCGCTCCTCCACCACCACCGGCGCCGCCACGCCCTCCACCACCAGAGCCGCCGCCGCCTCCCCCCGCCGTCGGCCAGTTTAACGGCGGCGGTGGCGGCGGCGGCGGCTGGTGATTCGGATCGAGCCCGCAGAACAACTTCCTGAAGAACAAGCTCCGCGCCGCCAGCACGCAGCGGTGGGCGTGCACGAGGCGGCCCTCGACGCTGAAGGCGACGTCGCTGAAGGCCTGGCCATTGATGAGCAGGTTGAGGTAGTCAAGCGACAAGGATTTGAGCGAGTCCTCGGAGCTCATGATCTCATGTGCAGCTTATCACCACCAGATAAAAGCGCCGGATTGGCCCCAACTTTTCAGGCGCAGGAAGGTGAGGAGGAGGGATTTGGATAGAGATTTTGAGGAAGCAAACCAAGCAAGAGAGGTGGAGGGGAAAGGGAGGGAGCAACACAAGGTAGAAGCAACTGTTGCAAGAGGAAAAAGAAAAGGTTAGGGTGAAGGAGAGGTGTGTGTGAGGAGAGAAATGGAGAGGGGAGCATGCGGATGCTATCAATCCCCTTTGTGCTACAGCTACAGTGAGCAATGGTACCGTACCCGTCGTCTCTTTTGTGGCAAGCTTGTGGGTGGGGACGCATACAGCTGATGGCCATACTGTTCTGGCTACAGTATCAATGGTCCATGGATGATCGGTGCATTGTTGCAGCTCACTGTGCGTTTTGATCGTCACTGACAGGAAGGGCACTGCTCTGGGTAGACCCCATCTGCCAATGACACTATAGGCACTAGTGAGTGGTTTGCACTTTTCACCACCTTATAGAAAAAAAAAACTAATTACACAGATTACGTGTAGATTGCAAGATGAATCTTTTAAGCCTAATTGCGTCATGATTTGATAATATGGTGCTACAGTAAACATTTACTAATGACAGATTAATTAGGCTTAATAAATTTGTCTCGCAGTTTACAGGCGGAATCTATAATTTGTTTTGTTATTAGTCTACGTTTAATATTTTAAATGTGTGTCTGTATATCTAATGTGACACGTCAAAACTTTTCACTTCTGAATGTAAACACAGCCTTTGTATATATTGTGTGCAACTTTAATGAACATTAGATTTTTATGTGGTAAAAAAGCGAGGAACGAAGTGAATGGGCAGAGCTTGTGATTGGTTAGTTTTTAGGTTCATAGAGATTCAGACGTTAAATGATTCCGACCTACTTATTATATCCCTTAGTTTTTTAATATATGATACTATATATTGATTTAAACAATACATTTGATCATTTATCTCATTTAATAATTATGTAAATATGAAAAATATAAAGCATGTTTAAAGTACTTTAATAATAAAATAAATTATAAGAAAATAAACGATAATTGCAATTTATAAATAATACTTACAAATGATCAAACGCAAGATCATATATTAAAAAAATGAATGGAGTATTTTTTTAGAATATTTAAATTCGGTGACATCCCAGCTAATGTATGCATATGTATATCTGTATGTGTGGCAGATATATATGCATGCATGTCACACAGTGTTTCAGCCCGGGCCACAGTATTTGCGTGTGGATGTTAGCCTTTTTCCCGATGGCTAGTTGATTATACCAGCAGGGTTTAGTTCCACTTCAGTCAATTCATGAAGCGCAAAATATCTCTCAATTATCTGATTTTCCGTCGCTCTTCACGTAAATTATTGGGTACGTATTGACCTCGCACCAATGTCACCATTGCCAACCTGTTTAGAAAGCGCTATTTTTAGGGTTAGTTGATATATTGTAGATTATTCTAATATTATGATAACTTTAACATTAAGAGTTAGAAATGGATTTATTTAGTTTTTAAAGAAACTTTTATATAGATACTTTTTCAAAAAATACACCATTTAGCGGTATGAGAAATGTGTTAACCTAGTAGCCAGTAGTTGAATCAAACAAGACCTTCAAGCTGATATATTACATATGGCTGAAATTAATTATAAGGTAAGACTTTTAGGGTCCGAAAGTTAAGGCTGAAAATAGAAATCCACAAAGAAAACCCTAAATAAATTCTAAATTTAAACTCTAAGATTTAAATTTGGTTGCAGCTACCTCAAAGCATTTTCCCCATTAATCCGACCACTGCACACTTTCATCAGATATCATTGCCCATTGCCGTGCCTCCAAACCTTCAAATTTAAAGCACAATTTAGGTTACACTACTACATGATTCATTTTCCTGGACGCCGCCCCATTTTGTTTCCATACGGTACATAAGTGGAACCGCACGGAAAATTAGGGGACCGGTGCCGGGCTATCGCCCGCACGGGAAAACGCATTATCCTGTGCGAGCGGTTTAAGCCAACCGTACGCGAAAATAGCCCATCCATTTTATCCTCACGCGCGCGCCTGTCGCTCTCAGTCCGCCCCTACCTCCCTCTATCCCACTCCTCTCCTCCCACCTCCCTCTCTCCTACCTCCCTCTCCCACTCCACTCCTCCCACCTCCCTCTCTCCTCTCCTCCCACTCCCGTCGGGTTGTCGTCACTTGGCCGGTGGCGACAGCAGGCGGCGCGCGGTGCCTCCCTCCCTCTCCCTCGACTGCGGCGACAGCATGCAGGCGGCGGCGGCGGGTGACGGGAGTAGGTGGTGGCGGCGGCGGGCGACCACGGCGCCCCCTCCCCTCCCTTCCCTTGCCGATCCAGCGGAGGGGAGGCATAGGGGCAGTGGATGCGGTGGCGCGCGCCCCCTCACCTCCCTCGCCTTGCAGATCCGGCGGAGGGGAGGCATGGGGGCGGCGGATCCGGCGGCGCGCCCCCCTCTCCTCCCTCCCCTTGCAGATCCAGCAGAGCGGCAGCATGCGGCGGCGTGAGGTGCGGCACCGGTTGGGAGGTGTCGTCAGCGGCCGATGTGGAGGTGGAGCCGCCGACAGGAGGTGCGACGGTGTCAGCGACCGGCGGATCCATCTCTCCCCCTCCTTCTTTCTTTGTTTGTGACTCTTTGTGATTTGTGATCTCTTTGTTTGTGACTCTTTGTGATTTGTGAGATGCGTTCTTGGAGTTCATTTATAGCTCTTGTGATATGTGTTCTTGGAATTGATGTGAGGTCTATTGTGTGTCAATGTGCGACTATGGATCCGGCGCTGGCGACAGGAGCGGGCGGCGGATCCGTAGCCGGCGACCGTGGGGTCGACGGCGGCGGATTAGGGTTAGTTTTTTTTCTTTTTTATTTGTTTTGATTTTTTTTTGTTTTTCCATGCGGGCGGCTTAAGCGCCCGCATGCGAAAATCAGTTTCCGCGTGTGGGTGCGCCATCCGCACGCGAAAATCATGATTTTCCCAGACGACTGTGTGCGTGCGGGAAGCCCACCTAGTGGCGGAGCCAGGAATTTAACCCTGTGGGGTCGATGAATAGCAGTTTATATTTAAGTGGGATCATTTTTCTAAGTTTTCTGGATTTATACATAAAAATCAAGGTTTTTAAAGGGGTTTTTCAAAAACCTGTGGGGTCAGACGACCCCACAGGATATGCATGGATCCGCCACTGCGCCCACCCGCACGCGAAAATCGACTCGCCCGCACAGGACAATCGGTATTGTAGTAGTGTTAGTATATATACATTCTAGGTAAGACTAGCAATTTTGATAGCAAAGTTTGAAACTCGATCCGAGCTGTAAGGTTTAAATATGTAATTCCAATTGTAATTAATCTGTCATATTATTTAAGTTTAGTTTAAATTTATTTATTTTTAGTTTAGAAGTGAAAATATACCAATTAAAACAAAGCTTTCAGTTGTTATATATATAGCAGTTGGGCTGGTGAACAGTTGAGGCTGTGTTTGGTAGGGAAGGATGGGAACATGCATAGTGCGCATGGAAAACGGAGTAGTCCATTAGCGCGTGATTAATTAAGTATTAGCTTTTTTTTTCAAAAATGGATCAATATGATTTTTTTAAACAACTTTTGTATAGAAACTTTTTATAAAAAACGCACCGTTTAGCAGTTTGAAAAACGTCACCGTTCCCAACTCTTCTCCCTCATTTTTCATGTGCACGCTTTTCAAGCTGCTAAATGGTACGTATTTCGCAAAAAGTTTATATAGGAAAGTTGCTTTAAAAAAATCATATTAATCCATTTTTCAAATTTTTTTTATAGCTAATACTTAATTAATCACGTGCTAATCTATTATTCTGTTTTTCGTGCGGAGAGGAGGGATTCCCAACCCCTCCAAAAGAACACAACCAGGATTATCCAAACCAAAAGAAAACATATATAAATGATTAACATCGCCATTTTTTGTTCTCTGGAATAATGTCGCGCGCCATTTTCCTTTATTCCATCAAAATGTTACTATCATCAATTTATTGCACGAATAAATATGACGCGCAGATTTTATTGAACACTGTTCGTTTTTATTAGGTACTCCTACTTGTCACCTTTGATTAACGCTGCACAAATCACAAACATATAATATTATTATGTTTTATAAACCCCAAAAGTTATTATATCATGTTTATATTTTTTACGACAAATTTATTCATATGAACTGTCATTTTCATGTATCCAACTTAATATTTAAAAATATTCTTAAGTAACTTTTTGAGATATTTTTGACCATTCGTCTTATTAAGAAAATATATGTAAATATCATTTATTTGTTAGGACTTGATTTATCATCAAAATTTCTTTGAGCATGACTTATATTTTTTTATGTTTGCACAAAATTTTAAAATAAAATAAATGGTTAAATCTATGTCTAAAAGTCAATAGCGTCATATATTAAAAATCGGATAGAGTATAAACCATGTTCAAACGTGCATTTGGAAATGAAGGAGAGAGTTCCGTTCTAAACATTAATTTATTCAAGAAAATAATTATTATTCGTGGTGTGCAGATCGATCGTGTCGCTCCAACTATATATAATTAAATGTGGGAACAATCATGTTTGGGAGATTAATTGATAGTGTATGGTTTCGCCAGCATATTTATTTGACTTCCTATATAGGAAAACAGGACAACATTTTGAAGCAATCATCTACTATATCTCTCCTCGTTCTTTTCCTCTTTTCTGCTTTATAATCCTGCCATCTCTAGCTTTGAGCAAACAGTGGAAGCTCTGATATATATACTTGCATTGCATATAGTAGGTGATTCTCACTTTCTCAGTTGATCTTCAATTTGGTGCACGCTGACAGGACATTTCACATGCACGTACACGGCTGGCTAATTAATTAGCACCCATGCCTAAAAACAGTGACGTAGCTAGGATTTAAAGTAAAGATGGTTCATCTATATATAATATGTCAATTAAAAGAGTGGTTTACTGTACAATTTTTATCACTACACCGGACAAGGCTACCTGTGACGGGCTCAAACTGTTACCTCTGACGGATTTGGCCCTGGTCAGAGATAAGTGGTCACTGATGACTGTCCTCATCTTTGACGGGTGAAGGTCCGTCAGTGGTGACCAACACCTGTGACGGACCATATATAAAACCCGTCACAGGTGACTATTAACCTGTGACGGACCTTATATTGTGACCCGTCAGTGATGTCTTTAACCCAACAAAAAAAATTGAAAGACATAGCGTGCAACCCGTCACTGGTGTGAAAAACCTAGCAAAAGAAAAAATGGCGCACGCTGCCATGGTGGTGCTCGTTGTCACAGTTGCTTTGCTCACACAAGAAATTCAAACCGAATAATCTCATATAGCACACATTCATAGAAGTCATATAGCACACATTCACAGAAAGGGGATGGCAAGAATTTCTCAATCCACATACAACAATATAGTATCAAAGCAAAACAAGAGGATGGCGGCCATGGCGAGGGACGGTCGGGAGGTGGAGGCGGCAGCGCCCTCTGGTGGGAGGCACATCCGGCCGCCGGAGCGAAGGGGAAGCAGAGCCGGCGTTCGATAGTCGGGAGGCGGCCTCGTCCGATGGCTGGAACGCGGATCCACATCCCCTAACCTTGTGGAGGCGGGATCTGGTGGGGGAGGCAGGGGAGGCGTCCGGCAGTCGGTGTGGGAGGCGCTGGCGGCCGGATCCGGCTTCCCGGAGGCCAGATCCGGCGTCCGACGGTCGAGAGGCGGCCGCGTCCGGTGGCCGGGACGCGGATCCACGTCCCCTGATCTCGTGGAGGCCGGATCCGGTGGGGGAGGTGGGGGACGAGTCCGGCAGTCGGTGTGGGAGGCGCTGGCGGCTGGGAGGCGGCCGGGATGCGTATCCACGTCCCCCGACCTCGTGGAGGCTGGATCCGGTGGGGGAGGCGGGGGAGGAGTCCGGCAGTCGATGGGGGAGGCGCTGTCGGCCGGATCCGGTGTCCGATGGCCGGGGGCCGGCGAGGCGTGGGAGATGGAGGCGACTGGCGGTCGGGAGGTGGCGAGACGTGGGAGGTCGGGAGGAAGAAGAGAGAGGTGGAGGCGGGAGGTCGGGAGGAAGTGAGGGAGAGAGTTGAGGAAGAGGAGAGAGTGGTGGGGAGGAGTTGAGAGAAGAGGAGATAAGGCCGGGAGGTGAGTGGGTGGTGGGCCCCCTGGGTGGGTGGTAGGGGTTTCTTTTTTTTTTAACTCACCAGTGACGGGTATAAAAATCCAACACGTTTGAGGTGAGGTATCTCACCTGTGACGGGTTACAAACTTAAAACCCGTCACAGGTAAGAGGTCATCAGTGACGGGTCTATATGTAGACACGTTAAAGATGTTGTGTGTCGGGTTCCTTATATAGATCCGTCACAGATGAGTACTTACCTGTGACGGGTTATTTTCTTGAGCCCTATCTATGACATGATTTATTGTAACCCGTCACAGATGAGGTTATCTCTGACGAGGCACTTTGGTCCGTCACTAATAGGCCGTCACAGATGGGCCGATCTGGCGTAGTGTATTATATTAACTAGCACATATACTATAATTTTAAATTTTTAGGTGGTCCATGAACCACAGTGCCACCTAGCTGGCTACGCCACTGCCTGAAAAAGATCGAAAAATTCGATCTGTGCGTGATCGATTGCTGAAGATCGATCTTCCATTTCAATTCGCATATCGTTAGGTCCCGTATTTTGATTAATTGCTACTACTAGCTGCTGCTATACAAGCTACTAACAAGCTTGTCCGGTCGTCTGTGCAAAAGTATATACGTCCATGCAAAGCATCCCGGCATGCAGCTGCTCAGCTCCTCCATGCCTCCATGCTCGCTATCTCTCTGCAATCTGCAGCTATGAGAATTATTTATTTTTATATATCGATCTGAACCTGAAGATAGCTAACAGCATGTATGCTGGTAATACTTTTACCACAGTTGAAGTGTACAGAAGACCAACACACTTTTATTAGTGGTGGTTCAGTTCAATTACTTCAGCATCTTATTTGCCAGAGAGACCAGCAACAGTGGTTGATGTCAACTGTACAGTAGCACATGTGCAGACAACGCAATAAAATGTACAGTATAATACACTGGGAAAGTATAGAGACTATATGGATGTATGGTCATGGATAAGTAGCTTCTCCTGCAATTCTACAACACCACGCGCTGGCCGGCCATGCCTCAACATTTATTAATTATGTCGTTAGCCGTTTTTGCATGTATTAATAATCTTACTAGTTGTTAGTGCAACTATAGCCGGGAGCCGGCATGAATTACTGGCTAGTGAAAGTAACATCTCATTTAGTTGAACGCACAAAGTTAGCTAGTGAAAGTACTACTTCAATTCAGTACTGCTGCTGTTCATCTGAATAATGCTATTGCTAGCTAGCTCGGTCCATTATTCATGCATATTATTTGCAACAACCTACCTATCAAATCGGCCAATATGAAACAGTAGAGATCTCTGTAATAATGTATCGGAGAGCTGACAAAAATTAAGCATGTTTTGAAGTGCCGAGGCCTAATGAAGCAATGATCAGTCACCAGTAATGCATCTGCAGAAAGATATACAATCATAATATCATGCATGCTAGTGTAGATGCCGCAGAGCAGACAAGGTTGTATTCGTGATGGGCCGGAACACAAAGAATTCTTGGGCCAGGCCGGACCGTCCGTTTGGGTTTGGGTTAGGTTGTCTCAGGCTCTCAGCCAGTACCAGCAGCGTTCAGTCTTGGACTATGTCATATTGTCATTTAGAAGCTTAAATATATAGTTAAATTTTTTTAGATAATGACATACTACTCTAAAGTTAGATAAATCTTCAAAACATATCATTCGATCCTTAGTCCAAGGAGATTGGCCACAAAGTAATCTGTTCTGTTTCTTCCTAGTAGATGAGCTAGACAGGTACCAAGAAGACAAAGAGATACCCAAATCCATTGGAAACAGAGTAACAAACAAGTATATTCCAACAAGAAATGCTTCAGTGCAAACAAATGATGAACTTACAAGGCTACAACTTGGCTAATGTCCATCCAAAATCCTGAAACCCAGGTCATAATTTATAAGCAACAAACTAATACCTTAATCATCCAATGACAAGAAATGAGGCAAGCATACACACACGCATCTTTGCTTCTATAAATTCAACAGCTGCCACAACATTGAAACCCTGCTCCTACTGAGACCACCTGATCCAACTATACTAGCTGCTGGTAACTAAGCTCTCATTAAATTACTTAGCATTTTTTATCAGAGGAATTAGTTAGCGTTTTAGCCATGTTCTCTGGTACGGACTCCTCATCGCCGGAGCTGTCGCTCTGCTCGCCATATGAGCCGTGGACGCAAGGCCGTGGCCCAACCGAGGAGATGGGCCTAGCTCTGTTGGAGTGCGCGGCCCACGTAGAGACTGGGCCCATGGAGAAGGCCACGCGTTGCCTCGCGCGCGCCACGGGCCTCGCCGCCGCCGCCGCCGCCGGCGACGGGCCGCAGAAGCGCCTCGCCGAGGCAATGGTGGATTGCCTCGCGCGGCGCCTCCTCCGCCCCGTCCAGGCCATCACCGACGCGCTCATCGACCCCTCCGTCTACCTCGACCGGCGTTCCGTCAGGGCGGCGCGCCGCGGGTTCTTTGAGCTCAGCCCCTTCCCCAAGGTGGCGTTCGTCGTCGGCAACCGCGCCATCGTCGAGGCGGTGGAGAACGAGAGCTTGGTCCATGTCGTCGGAATGTCAGGTCCATTTACCCAGCCATGTCAGTGGATCCAGCTCCTGCACGAGCTTCGCCGTCGCCCGGAAGGCCCGCCGCGCGTCGTTCGGCTCACCGTCGTCCACGACGACGGGGAGTTGCTTGCCAAGATGGCAGAGGTTCTCTCCGACGAAGCCGAAGAGCTCGACATGGAGTTCCAGTTCCATGGCGTCGTTGGCCAGCTCGAGGATCTGGATTTCAGTAACCTTCGAGATGTCCTTGAGATAAAATCCGGCGAGGCGCTCGTCGTCAGCTGCACTCTTCAACTTCATCGTCTTCTTGCTGCTGATGACGATGCGATGTATAGCTCTCGCTCTGCCCATCTCAACCAAATGGCGAGCATCGCGCAGCTCCAGCAGATGGCGGTGAGCTCGTGCCCGCCGAGTACAGGCGGCGGCGGAAGCGTCCAGTACAAAGACGACGACGACGACCCATACCGAAGCCCTGCCACGCCGCTGACGTTCGTCTCGCCACCGGCGTCCACCCCTCACCTCCAGATGCCGGCGGCGCTAGCCAACTTCCTGTCGGCGGTGCGCGCGCTGTCACCAAAGATCGTGGTGGTGGCGGAGCAGGACGCGGACCACAACGGCGTCTCCTTCCGGAAGCGCTTCTGCGAGGCGCTCCACCACTACGCCGCCGTGTTCGACAGCCTCGACGACGCCGCGGCCGCCACCACCTCGGCGGCGTCGCACCTGTGGTCGCCCGACGAGCGCGCGCAGGTGGAGCGCGTCGTGGTGGGCGAGGAGATCAAGGGCGTCCTACTCCGGGATGGCGCGCACCGGCGGGAGCGGCACGACCGGCTGCGGCAGTGGGCAGCGCGCATGGAGATGGCCGGGTTCACCGGCGTGCCGCTCAGCTACGCCGCCATCAGGAAGGGGAACGACATGGTGAGGCGATGCGGATTGAGACGCTGCGAGAACAGGGAATGCGGCGGCTGCCTCCTCCTGTGCTGGAGCTCAAGGCCTCTCTACTCGATCTCGGCATGGCGGCCGGCGGCGAGCGGAGGAGCTGGGTCAGGTTCAGAGAGAAGCGAGTACATACATGTCGGTGCCGAGGCAGATGATCGATGACTCCGGTACATAGCTTTGATGACCAACCAGACGAAAGAGCATGCATTTGTAATTTAGTTTTCAAGTTGTAACCTGTTTCTTTTTTTTTCATTTTTTGCGAGATTAATTAATCTGTATAAGAGGCACAGAGTTCTTGACTTGCAATTATGTGGAGAGGAGAAATGATTAACTATGAAAAATCTAAAAATACGATCAAACTCTTTTTTTTCTGAGATTAGAGTGTGGCCATTTTGATCTGTTTGAAATTCCAGTTATTTTTGGGCCAAATCTAGCAATGTCAAGACGGGCCACTTCTTATGGGCTCCAAGCCCCAAAGGCCCAATCAACCATACGCAAAGGCTTCGGCCACCTTCTCCTTCTTCCCAGTCCCCACACTGATCCGCCATGTCGCGTCGGCCGTTCGGCGGCGGCGGCGGCGATGTCCGCCAGTCTCCACCGGCCAGCCCTCGCTTCTCTACTTCAGATCGAGGCGGGAGGCTGCGGAGTCCTTGGTGTATTTGCGCCGGGACCCCGGCTCCCCTGTCGCGGCTATCACCCGTGCAGGAGTAGCAGCATTCTGGGTTCCGCGTCACTGACACCGCGGCGCCGGCATATTTCCCCTTCCGGACTCCGGATCAGGGACGTTCTGGTAACAATTTGTCCTTTCCTTTATTGCACCTTTAAATTTGCAATGCGAAATGTTGTGGATAAGTTTCAATTTAGAAAAAGAAAGTGAGTATTTAGTCGCTACTGTGCTAAGTGCCTTTGTGCTAATGTTGTGGTTGTGGTTGTGCCTTTGTACCATGTAACAAGTAAGAAATCACTTAAGCTGTTGGTACTAAGCGTTACCAATTTTATCAAATTAACAAAATTTGATTCTGATCAAATGCTAAACCGGCTAACCGGCTAAACCCTAGTGAAAAGGAAACACAATGCAGTTATACTAATCAAGAAAAACAGACCAATGAAATGTGCATCTGCCTGAAATGTAAAATATATAACCCAGCTGAAATGTAGAATATATAATGTGATTCTTCCCTTGTTAAAGCCATCATCGTTCACAACAAATATTTAGGGTCTGGCCAACAGGGCAGTTGGGTTTGCTAGAACTTGTGTCCAACCATAACAGGTTACTTAGCAAATAAGGATGCTAACCGCATAAAAATTGCTAAGATATTAGTATCACTTAACAGTATGTACTGCATATATTTTCTCATTCTAAGTAGGTACCACATGATCCACATCTCTTCTTTGTATATTAATTTTTTTAAAGAACCATATCTGATAAGCTTGCCAAAAGTTCCATGCATAGTAGTATTCCATAGTCCAACGAGATTGACCCCAATGTTTGTCAGTTGCTACCTGGTGGATATGAAGAAACCAAAGGGACAAATCCAAACGGAACAAACTGAATATTCCTATAGTATTCCTTTCGTTGCGGACATGCCAACATGTAAAACTTTGCCTATACCGTGAATCCTTTCAAATTGCCTAATGTAATTCTATATAAAACCAAAAATCTTTATTTTGTTCTATCAGTTAAAGACATGAGTTAGAGTGCTTTCCCTACGTATCACATATGTAGCTGTGCATAAAATCGGAGTTACTCCAGCAAACTCAGCCAAACAATACTTCCTACTTGACCACGCCAATCCTTTCCTAGAGAGCAGAAAATAAAATGATGCATGGGCTATGGGTGCAAGATCAGGGTATGGTGGATCACTTAGCACAGCTCGTCCCTCTCTTGCATGAGTGTGCTTCCCATGTAACTGAGGGATCTTTTGAGAAGGCTGACTTCAGCTTTAAGAAGATCAGAATGCTCACCATAGCTGACGGGCCATTGCAGCACCTATCCAAGATCATTGTTGACAGCCTAGATCACCGCCTTCTCTCCTCCATTCAGGGCCTTTATGGTGCCCTTATCAATCCATCTGATTACTTTGAGAAGTCAACCCTCCCGGGCTGCCCCGCCCACAACTTCTTCAAGCTGAACCCCTACCTAAGCACCGGTTTTGTCACTATCAACCGGGCCATTATGGAGGCAATGGAGGATGAAAAGGTCATAGTATGATTTGAATGTGCTTTTAGGGAAAAAAAATGTTTTCAATAGATATGCAGTTCACCCAATACATTGGGATCTGTCATTACTTTGTGGTTGAAGCATGTATTTTTTTTCACCTGCTTAATTTGGATGAAGTCTTCTTTTTTCGGCTATTTATTTAATTATCAATTTAGCATGGTGCTAGAATAACAAGAAATATAATTCTCCTTTCCAAGGCATATAAACTCTATAGCATGCTGACTTCCCAGAACATCAATGTTTGTCACTATTGATGCAAGAACTAGAGTTGATACTGTTCCTTTCTACTTTTCTAATAATGCTGGGTAGTGTAGATTTGTTAAAATTTCTTCCTGAAAACATGCAGAATTTTTTGGAGATCAAAGTAAAGAGCAATTTATGTTCCATTTTAAAACTTTCACATTATAACTTTAAAACTTTACAAGGTGCAATTTATGTTGAAAGGTCATTAATGTTTAACATGGTAGGTAAAATTGATATACTTTTGCACACAACATTCTTTAAGAACAAACTTAGGACCTGCAGAATTGTTGGTTAGCATTAGCGAGCATTAATGAGAATTTGAGATTATTTGTACCCTTGCTTGTAATCTTCTGACGCAGGTAGAGTTGCAGGTTGTCCACATTGTTGACTTGTCCTGCTCAGCTGCTCATCCATGGCAGTGGCTTAAGCTCCTCGATGACTTCCATGGACGGCCTGGCGGGGCACCTGAATTATACCTTACTGTTCTCCATGATGACAACGATTTCTTGGCCGAAATGCAGTCATTGCTATCTAAGAAAGCTGAATCTCTTGAGGTGTCCTTCCGTTTTATTTCTGTGATAGGCAGACTTGAGACCTTGGATTTCAGCAATCTCCGTAGCACCTTCCAGATAAAATTTGGTGTGGCAGTTGCAATCAGCTGCGCTCTACAAATGCATCGCCTCCTCTTGGTTGACGACAATTTGAGCTCCACCAGCATTGCTCAGCTCCAGAAAATGGCCAACTTCACTCAGCCTAAGCAAATGGCCAGCTCTGTGTGCAGTCCAGCCTCCACACTGAACTATCTGCAGACACCATCCCCTCGTACACCAAAATTGCTGGCAAGATTACTGTCTGCCATCCGAGCGCTCAAACCGAATATCATGGTGATCATGGAGCAAGATGCAGACCACAATGCCCTGTTGTTCCGTGATAGGTTCAATGAGGTACTCAACTACTATGCTGCCCTCTTTGACTGCTTCCATGCAGTGGCTGCAGCTAACCCAGGGAGGACTGATGAACGCTTACGTGTGGAAAGGATGATCCTGAGGGAAGAGATAAAAAACATACTGGTATGCGAGGGAGTCCATCGGCACGAACGGCACGAGAGGCTGGACCAGTGGGCAATGCACATGGAAGAATCTGGGTTTCACAATGTGCAACTTAGCTTCAGTGCCATCAGGGAGGGTAAAGAGAATCTGCTGAGCTTTGGATTGAAAAATTGCCAGAACAAAGAAGACAGGGGCTGCCTTCTACTGAGCTGGGGTTCTACGAATCTCTACTCTATCTCGGTATGGAGGCAAAATAGAGGTTCATCCTCTGGGAGCAGAGAGCATATGTTATTAGTTCAACGCCAAATAATATGGCCATTCCAGTAGGCCTCTCTGTCCGTGGCAATTCTAGAGCAGCAGACTACATCCAAATTTCCCACTCTGGGTGCTCTGTTCAGCATATGTCTGGCAGCTCAAGGTACAGGCTGATATTGTGTGTTTGCAGCAAGATTTGACTCCTGCACTAAAGCTATGCTAATATAAGCTCACTTGGTGTAAAAAGAAGGGTGGTATAGGACATAGAAATATCTTTTGGTGTGAAGTATGTAAAGAACTGAAAGTTCTGTTTTTTTCTCTCTTTGAAAATTGGAACCGACTAAATGGGATTGGCAGAGATGCTTAATTCATCATCGATCCTTGAATGACTGCCTATCATTTTGTAGTTTTCTCTGTGTGCAAAATGATTATGTTTCTTAGAAAATGCTAGTACTTAGTTTTGGCAGAGTAATCTCATATCCAAAGTTTATGCACCTGATTAAGAGGCTGAGAAATGCAAATTAATCTCATATTCCTAGCTTTTCCTGCAAAAATAGACGAGAAAATTAGGTTTGGAGGTAAAAGAACAACAACAGCTTGGGTCCAAATGCGAACGTTTGCTCCAAGAAAGCCCCCTTGCAGTCACCTACACTTTGACGTTTGCAACTTCAGACAAAGCCAGGTTTTGTTTGGACTAAGAACGCAGATTTTGGAGGTATTAGTTTCATTGATCATCGCTTAGTCATGGAGCACAAATAGAAAAAAAAAACAAAATCGTGACTGCAATAGACTGGGAGCAGAAGAAATTGATCTCAAAATTGTCAGATAGCATCTGATCCAAATGCTGGAGATAAGTTCCAAGGGAATAATTCCAAGCTCCTTAGTTATTCCACCAAGATACAGACGACATCTCTTAGTTCTATCCGAAGAAGCATCCACTTCTTCTTTGTCCCTTCGTCGTCCCATGACAACTTCGTCGCACAGGAACACCTGACCTTGCAACATTTGTCTCAAACCCAACAATGGCGACATGCCAATGATGCCATTGCTTGATAAGCTTCACGGCTCTGAAAACTGGTAGCAGTTGAGGCTGTGCTGCACGGACAGGGGCATGTTCCAGGACGACATGCTGTCGTCGGCGACGTCATCGCCGGCGTCGTCGGTGTACTCGCCGTCGCCGTCGCCGTCGAACGGGTCGTGGGTGCAGGAGCTGAGCCATGACCAGCAGAGCGTTCGGCTGATCGGCCTGCTTTACCAGTGCGCCGCCGAGGTGTCCGCCGGCTCCTTCGACCGCGCCAACCTCTGCCTCGAGCACATCACGCAGCTCGCGTCCCTGGACGCGCCGCACGCGCTCCAGCGCCTCGCCGCCGTCTTCGCCGACGCGCTCGCGCGCAAGCTGCTCAACCTCATCCCGGGCCTCTCGCGCGCGCTGCTGTCGTCGGCCAACTCCGCCGACGCCCACCTCGTCCCCGTCGCGCGCCGCCACATGTTCGACGTGCTCCCGTTCCTGAAGCTCGCGTACCTGACCAC